TTTTGTAAGTCGATTGCCGAATCATTAATACAGTTGCTGACATCACGTCTAAATATGTTAGTGCATGTTCAGTCAGTCTTTAAAATCTTATATTTGATCTACTCCTTATGCTTCAGTTGGCTGAAAACATCAGCATTAAGTGGAAATTTTGCTGTCAACACAGTGCCAAGTCTTGATTGTGAAAAGTGTTTCGTCTACTTTGCCTACGTGTCTTTGGGTAGAAGACTCAAGAACCGTTCGTCAGCTGTGATTGGTCAGTTTGATTAGCTGGCAGAAGGATGTGGCTTAATTTTGTTTATTCGTAGTGTCAATGGAATTTCCTGCTAAGTTATTAGTTACGAGCCGTTAGTGGTTAACATGGTGCATGGCAATTTGATTGCGCATGTGGACTTTGCATCGTCTTGTTCCTCGTGCATGTTTTGTCAGTGTCTAACAGTAACTGATTCCATTAGATAATCATCCTTTTGTAAATGTTATAGGATAGTTATGCAACTGTCCTGAATAAAATATATTGTCACCAAAATAGAGGTCATGACTCTGTTCGTTTCAGTTGTTTCTTAGTTAGCTGAGTATTTCCTAAATGATAAATTGTTAACGCTTAATAAGTTTTATGGAGCTGTTTTGTTAGAAAGCGTAACTGTCGGCTGCTCAAACCAAGCCAATCGGAAACAGCAAAAAAGTCATTGTTCTCTTTTCGGTTATAGCTTATCAAACCAATGGCCAGAGCAAATCAATGAAATTAAGGTGACACTGTCAACTGCACGGCTTGTGCTCCTATGTGTCTAATGATCTCTCTCTTTTCAAAAATGACCCAAACGGAGAAACACCGTTTTCATTATCCATCTTCTTCAATGATAATATGAATATGCTAGTAACAAAACGACTTCTCCAGTTGATGCGAAGAGATTTTTTTTATTCGAGGTGTTAGATCGTATCCAACTGACCTTTTCTCCCAAATGGAATGAAAACTTATAAGAAGTGGTTTTTTTTTTCTTAATTGACGGGCAGTTCCACCTTAATCACATTCTTTGCAGCCATGATATGTCGCAACTACAGCAACGTTAATAGAATGGTGACTTGAGGCACTGAATTGCTTTGCGTTTGTGAATTTAGAGAAACCAAGGTTTTTTTTTAAACAAATGAACATCCGAATCACATAAAAAAGAATTTATTTAAATGCTTTGCATCTTGAAGTTTAGACAAAGTAAATGGAGTCAGACTAGAATCCAAAACTTGTCTTTTCTTTTGTCTAAAGAACGACGAAATTAATTTAGCATGAATTGTTTTATTTATAATCGCCGAAAGAGCATGTTGATCTGCAAAACAATAAGTACCTCAAAGAACAATTTGCTCTGTCTCGTCTACTCACTCTAGTATTTTTCGGCAACGCAGATGACTCACAGATCTGACATGATACAATTAAGAGTGAGCTTCTCGAAAAACTCTCGACATTTGTTCAGTCACCATTTTGCAAGAAATATTCCATAATGTAAAGTTCTTATCTTTGTCGAATCTTCTCGTCATTCTAGTGATTCCACTTGTCCATTAGATTAAATATTTCTCCATCTTTTTCCTCTTTCTAAGAGCTTCCTAAAACACAAACATAGCATTCCGCTGATAAGCAACAGGCCAAATTTGGGTAAACCGACTTGTAATTCACTTAGTTCTCGGTAACTAGCTAAGTGTACAATGCATATCAAGCAAGGCAAGTTTGTAAAGTTGTATTGTCAAATTTTGCCATCATGCAGGAACTATACAAGAAAAGTTAAAGAAACTTCTGAAAAACCCTTGCAAATTCTATTTCAACTAAAGTCCCTAAAGACACAAGAATAGAATTACTGTATGCACGTGGCCATGTCAAAGATCATTCACGCATTCTTGGTTATTTTCAAGGGATTATGCTCTAAATACCTCTCTAGTTTTAAAATTTTCCTCTATTTTCAGTTTAAGTTAGTCTCTAAAATTCTGTGGCTGTAGTGCATAAATATACTTTTCTTGATCTCAAATTCGAGTTTTAGCAACCTACGCCCAAAGCCGACTACTCGTGCACGTGGCTACTCGCAAAGATAAAATTCAGCTTAACTCCCATATTTGCAAAGATAGTATTTCATTTACCTTTGTTGAAGTAGAGAACACACTTCCTTCCCTGTCGTCAACGTTTCTTCGTGCAACTTCCAAGTTCGGTGAAGTTATTCTTCGAAACTTCATCATAAACGTCTTCACACTTCGACGATGAGCTTGGTTTGCTGTAAATTCTATAGTTTCGCATGAATATGGATTAGAAACAACAACCAATCACTGATGATTATATCACAGATGTTCGCGTAAGCCGCCTGCCAATCAGAGAATGGCCAAAAAGGAAAGTCAATTTGCATGTTAACGAGCCATCGAAAGCGGATCATATTTTACTTCAGTTTTTCATGAGCGTGGAATGAACATTACAAGATAAACGTTGCAAAGTAATAATTAGTAGTAAGGTATGAAAAGAAAGAAGTGAGGCTCAGAGATAAAACCAAGGCAAAACTGGGAATATTTTATCAGAAAATATGGAGGCCGTTACCCTTATGAAGAGTAAAAAAAACTTAAGCCACTATTTTTTTTAACTTTCCCTTTCCGGAACAATAAGATATTTCCATTGAAAGGAAGGGTTTAGAAAAAAAAATGCATGCGATGCAAACCTATCTATTTTCTGATTTTTTCGCTTTCCCAGTGTAACACATCTTTCTCTAGTTCCCAGTCTCACAATAATGAGATTTGGTTGGAAATAAATAATAATATGAACGAAACGATGTATTTTTGCCGACATTTTTAAACAATTCTCTCCTATAAGCCCTCTGATCCTGAGGAGTATCACCCTGAATCAAACATGAGGGTCACTAGAAGAAAGGAAATGATCACCACGTAAAGAAACTCTTGATTGTTAAACATATTCTCCTTGCCAGTAGCTTAAGAAATGTGTAGAGAATAGTATGGAGAATATGCATACTGATGATAGGGTGTAAAGGGATAATGGAGACGACGAAGAGGATTGGTGACAGGTGGGTCTGGAATAAACGTCAAAAATAAGTTCATAATTAAAGCCTGGGATATCTTTAAAATTTCAAATCGAAGAAAAGAATATAAAAGAAAGAGAAATAGAGAGAAAAAAATGAAAACTTAACTATGGCTCAGATTTCCACCGAACGCACGGTGAGCGAAACTCTTGTACCATTCACCACTTGACAACAGGGTGAGGGATGAGGGAATTTTTATGTATTAATTGTTTAAGTGTTCATTGAGGGCCAAGAATAGTGGGCAAAGACGTTGCTTAATTTTCGGATGGCAGTAGGTATAGTAAACCCCCAAAGTTACATGAGATACCAAAATCTGAACGGCTGCGAAGGAAACTAAGAGGCAGCTACCGCCTCTGAAGATACACTTACGCGCGCGCGCGCCAGTCAACAAACAAGATCCTACAGTTTATATCTACTAAACTGTTCATTTTACTGCTTTGAAAAATCGATAAATTCGACATGAACTTATCAAATTCGTCCTCCTGCATGTGAATAAATTCCCGGTCAATGTCAACAAACGTAGTGATAATACCACAATCTACTAGAAACCTTCACGAAGGCACAAATCAATCTAATTTACAAGTCACAATTTACTTTTCCGTCAACCTTCACTGTACAATTAAAATGTACTTTTTACAAAACAAAATTGCTTATCAACATGAATGTGTGTTACGGTGACCACTGCCCTTTTTACAATACAACCTGGGGATTTAAACTTTCATTTCAGATTCAATAAACTTCAAGATGTCTTTGACATCACAAGAGAACAGTGCAAACTCGAAAGGGAACATAGAAGAGCCCTGACGCGCTTTGTTTTATGCGTATTTTAAACAAAATTGTAAGAGGAGAAACCTCGGGCTTTCAGTTTACCTAGTGCGCAATTTGGAGGTAGTGTGATGGTTTTTTGTCGGTGGAAATCGGCTCGACACCGGAACACTCCGAAATCGACCAAAATATTGACCTTTTCTCCCTCTTCAGTTCGACTACGCGCTCAACCGAGTGTCCTTTGCCGTACTTATTAAAATCGCAAAAATATGCTGTCTTCAGCCACAGAAACGACAATATATCACATTCCAGGTAAAAGTCTGTTTATTTTGATGATAATCGAGAATAGCCATCCCTGTTTGTTACAATAACACAAAGCTCTTCGAAATTCCATATATTTCCTTTAAATTCAACCATACGTCAAATGGTCAATCTGTGAAACTGTTTGGGTGGGTTCCCTGTGACTTCTTCAACATGGAGTGACTGAAGAAATGTAAATCCATCCCAATTTATTCCCAGCATTCTGTTAACCCTTTTAGAATGAACCCCTAAGAATGATTGGAATCTTTTTTTTTCCTCACAATATCACCCCTGAATCACACATTAGGTCAGGAGAATGTAGGAAATAATCACCAACTAGGGAAGCTCTTGATTGTTAACCAAATTTTCCTTGTCAGCACCTTGAGAGATGTATCGAGAACAGTTAGGAAGATGTGAGGGTTGAGTATGCCTGCTTTACTGTACTGGTAGCTACTTTTCCATTCCAGTATCAATAGCGCTTGCCCCGAGTGAATAGTATTTCTGTTGTTCTGATGTTTTACTTTTCAAAGTAAATTCTTAAACAGAGTTCCAACTACTACGCTGTGTAAGAATTGACACATTAAATTTCCTAGAGTGACTAGAGTATGTCTAAATAGTATGTCCTAGAACGAATTTTCCATAAAACACCAACAATTAAGATTCAAGATGTATTAAAAATGTATTCCCAAAATGTATTCCCAATGTAAGTTGGAAAAGTGTTCCCTACTGATGAGACGACACTGCAATCTGTCCATGAGGTTTTCCGACATATTAATCCCTGATGGTGCGCTTTTGAGCTCAAACTGAAAGTAGGTTAGAATAACAAAATGAAATAAAAACAATAAATACTGTTTTATTTGTCAATTAAAGACTTTACAAAAGTGAACAGAGCTTCATGTTTTACATATATGTATATTCCTTGATCAAATAAAAAACCCCGTGTTATGTATAACATGTTGCTGAATAAGAATAACTTTACATTAACATATGTTTGTTGTCCTTTGTATTTACTATACTAAGTAAGAACGCGATTTTTATGAGGTTTGTTTTTGTAACATTACTGCACAAGTAGCATCTGTAGAGTAATTTTCAATTGAGTGTCGAAAGTAATACTAGTTTGCGATGGTTTTTTGATTGGTCAAGAAAACTCGCGCCACTTTCTCAATCAATCAGATCCAAAATTAAAACCAATTCTGACTTGTTACCTGTCTGGTACCGCGCTTTGAGCGTTTTGATTGGCTCATTCTAATATTAATCTTTCTTCTGATTGGCTCCTAGTGATCTTTTCCTTCGCTCTTATTGGTCGTATTTGGTAGTTACGACACTCAGTCGACAATTACTCTCAATTCTATGATTGATTCATGGTTTAATTGTCCCGTCTGTTCTAAAATTTCAGTAGTAATTTTTAGTGAAAATCATATTAATTTAAATATTCCCCATTTACAGTTGTTAAACATGAGCATTTTCACTAATGTAAGTAAACAAAATGTAGCAATGAAAAAGAGTTATTTGTGTTTTTAGATAACAAATTACTGAAGAACACAAAAGAAAACTTTCAAAATAACAAGATCATCTTCAAGTAATATTTTTGACAAACCAATTAAATATTAACTAACCTTACTCAATGACTCCCAAGATCTGATTGTAAATTCTCCCCTCTAGCTGCTACACATTTCATTGTAAATTATTTACAAGAACTTGTTCAATCCAGATTATAATATCTAACTGATAAGTTTGAGTATTCTCATTACCTTTTTGCTTGATAATGTATGGGTATGTTAAGGAGAAGTTACATGTTAATCACTTTTGGGAGTTTAAGGGTAAAGGCGATCAAAATAAACATTTCTTTCTCATAATTTAAAACTTAAACCCTTTATACCTTGAAATTAGTATCCATTATATTTTCCACACCATTCTCTATACATTTCCTTCAGTACTGATAAGGAGAATTTGTGTAACAATCAAAGCTTCTTAGGTTGACAATCATCTTTTGTTATTCTCATGATTTTAAAGAATGATGTAGCAGTATTGCTGTTTGGAGAAATTAGAAGCTGGTCAGTTTTAACCCTGTTCCTTTACCCTCGCAAAAAAAATCACTGCTCTATATTTCTCAAGACTTAGCATACCATCTACATCAATTGTAATTTTCCTTTTTATATTATCAAATAAACATAAACATAAACTGATTCAGATTTTGGAGGTTTGCTACATCTAGCTACACCACCACTGCATCATTGAATCCTTTTTTTTTGTTTTATTTTGTTTCTTTGTTTTAGTCCTTGTCTGGTGTTATTTTGTTTTGTTCTAGACTATACCTTCTATGGTAAAGATCAAATTAACCATTTGAATATTAGTCTATTGAAAAACTATCATTTATGCATCCATATTCTCCAAATATGAAAAATTATTCTATATGAACGTTGCCTGTATTAATATACATGTATGTTTTGCCAACAACACCCAGCTTAGTCACTCAGAATGTTTGAGTGGTGCACAAGCTAAGCCGTCCAAGACTTCATTTGCAGCCCTTTGACCTGCTTGTACTGCTCCATTCATGAAACCACGCCATTCGGTGGCTGTCTCAGTTCCTGCCCAGTGAACTCTGACAAAAGATGACACCATTACATCACTTGTTATTTCATCACTCTGTAGGCTGAGAGGTTATATTAACTCCGGAAAAACCTGACATAAGTATGAAATAATATATTCCACTCTCTTCCACAGCTCTCCTATGGAACTGAAGCATCAAGTGTAACAATCAATAGCTTCATTTGATGGCCAGCATTTCTTTTATTCTCATGACCCTAATGTGTGAATCAACAGTGATACTGTTTGGAGAAATTAGATGCATGTCACTCTCAGGGATTAGATGGTTAAATGCAGTTTCAGAGAGTAGACAACGCCCTGCACATCTGTTAAATTCTCAAGTTTCTAAACATGTGGTAAAAGGTTTTAGGGGCATAGTGTAAGCTTACATTTGATTGGCGTTAATCATCAGCCTCACTTTTTCTAAATTTTCTAGACAAGACCCACCTAAGCTGGGGTAGATGGATAAATTTTTTTGGAAGGGGAAGGAGATACAAACATTGATTCAAAAAACACATAATTTTTTAATGTTATAGCCTTAATAACCTTAAAAATTTTACAACAAGACAAATAAATTCAAAATACTACATTTGCTGTTGTAAAATGCAATATTGTTATATTGCAAGAAGTTTGGTGTCAGACAAGATGTAAAATAAGGTCCCAGGTCTAATGGTAAGAAGGGATCCCCACCCTTCCCCACCCCATCCCCCCCTTCCCTACCCCATCCCCCCCCCAAGTCTCCACCTGGATTGCCACTGCCTGTATGGCTTTAGTCTTAAGAACCTAAAGGTCTGTGACTGCAGCAGCATATCCCTGATCTGGGGGCAGATCCAGGAAACTTGATTCAGAAACCACAGAATGTATTTACTTAACACCAGAGCCCAAATAGGCTAAAAAATATTTCAAGACATGTAAATTTTAATAATTCAAATTGAGTGTGTGATGTGTGATCCTGTTGTTGTAAGAATTTGGAATCAGACAAGCAGTGAAAAAGCCTGCAGGGGGGAGGGGGGGGTTAAGAACCTCCAGACTCTCCTGCTAGAACTGCTCTTGTTTCATAGCACATACTGAGCAGGAGTATTGCTCTCTCATTCAAAGGAACGTCAATCCCTCGCAGGTCACCCTGCATTCATCAGATTTCCCTAAGAGTTTGCTGGTATACATTAACAATACTCCTGGATGGAAAGATGCTCTGTGAGGGTGAAGTTTATCAAGGACTCAAACACTGCTGATGCTTAAAGCAAATTCCTTCTTACCTAAGAAATGGCTCACGTAAACAGTCTCCATAATTTGTCATTGCTCCAGGGACCATCACATTCACTGGACATCCACCATTCCATGCCTCTTTTGACCAGTCCTGATTAAATAAACAAACAAAAATAAACAAAAGAAAATTAATGAAACACACATCAAAATGTCTTAACGTAATCAAAACGTTATCAATTTAAAAAATTATATCCATTCATGTTGAATGTGAATTTGATGTCAAAATGATTTCAAACTAGTTTGATTTGTGATTTTTTAAAAATTATTTCAAGAATCGTAGAATTTCTTGTAGACAACTTGAACAGAGGAAAGATAACTGTTATGATAGTAAAACTAGTAGGTTTAAGTCTTTTAATTTGACTTAAGTTAGAAGTACTTTCAACTCTAACATATTCATCTTCTACTCCTTACTCTAGAAGAATAAAAAAACTTACCTGGATGGGGCACCTACAATTCATGAAGACAGACTAATCAAGGGAGGGTGCTTATCAAGTTCAGGACACTTTTTATTTTTGATAACCAGCAGAACCAATGAAACAAAGCTTTGATGCTTATAAAAAAAGCAGCAAGAACACTGGAATAGGGATGCTTCTTGGAGCAAGAGTGCTTGCTCAGTAGGGGCACTTACTAACAGAAACACATTTGAGGGGGCACTTATTAGAGAGGGGGATGCTTATCAGAATGAGGGCGCTAAATCAAAATAATACTTATGATATTCCACTCACAGAGAGAATTCTTTTATCAATGAAACTACAAGCTCCTCAATAAAATAGAAATTATGGAAATTTTACACAAATTATGGGGAATTATTTAAAGTAACACTTACATTTTAAATTTCACAAATCTGGTCATCTGAGGTTTAAAAGCCAATTGAGCATACCTTTATTGTAAAATCAATAGGCTTCTCTGCTTCTTCACCAAAATACAATTTCAAAGCCTTAAGGATTGCTTCTCTTTTATTTTTATCCTAGCAAAAAAAATTCAGGATCAAAAGTTAGAAGTCTCAAGGGAAACTTTCACACTTCCTTCATTAACACTTAATCCTTTGACTCCCAAGATCTCATTTAGTAATTCTCCTCACTGTCTGCCCCACAATTCTTTTGATAATACGGAGAATTTAGTGTTGGATCAACTGTTGTAGTATTTATCCCCTAACTGATGTTTTTTTATATTCTCATCACTTGTCTGCTTGATTTTGTAGTGATATTGTAAGGAGAAATTCTGTCTTAGTCTAAGGATTAACCCTTTACACCCCAACATCATAAATATTCTTCATACTGTGCTTTGTAAATTTCCTTAGGTGCTGATGGGGAGAATTTGTTTAACAATCAAGACCTCCTTTAGTTGATGATCATTTTCCCTATTCTTATGACCTAAATTTTGGATTCAGGGCTGATAATGTAAGGAGAAATTGGATGCTGGTCACTCTTAGGGGTTAAAGAGTTAAGTACGAAATGACTATGGTGAGACATGGCCATTTATAATTATAATGGATAACTTCCTTGAAAAGAAGGGTGATTACAGGTAAATGGTTTGTGGCCTGTCTTTTCTCTCATAGTCCTATGAGCACCCTAATGGAGGTTAATTGAAAACGCACAAGAAAAAACAAACCACTCTACAGACCCTTCTCTCTTTTTCTAAACTCTTCGCAGGTCAAGGAATGAAGCAGCTTAATTTTTCAACAAGGAAAGATTTGATATATTCAGGGTTAAATAAGTGATTTGATCATTAAAGCAAGAGTATCACATCAAGTTCAAGTTTCAGATGAAACTTTCTGGAGCAAACATAACCCTAATTAACTCCCATGATCTGATTGATAATTCTCCCCACTGGCAGCTACACATTTCCTTGTAAATTAGTGACAAGAATTTGGTGTTACTTCAAGATTATCATAATAACTTCTACCTGATTTTAAGTATTCTCACCACCTGTTTTTTGCATAATGTATGGCTACCATAGAGAGAAGTTACATATTAATCATTCCTGGAGGTAAAAGGGTTAGCTTCACCTTTAGGGATATCATTGAATATCAGTTGCAACATTACCATTACTGTGCTCCACTGAGCTGCTGCATATGAAGTTATAAATCCAACAATTGCAGGGTTTCCATCAGATGATGTGGCATCAAATGTTACTGCAATAGGATTACTCTCACAAAAACCTTTAGTTGTGTTCCTGGCCATGTCTCCTGATAACCCTGCCTTCCTCCAGAAGGCTGTGGAGTATGTTGCCACAAACTTCATCAAATGTGATGGAGGCATGTTTTGAATAAGACGCTGCTTGTTGTATGGGAGGGGTGGACTAAATTTGATCTGACCTTTGGAAAAATTGGCAATAAAGTTAGACAACTAATAGAGTGGAAATTGGCATGAATCACGCTTTTAATTCACTATGGCTACCAAAAAGTTTTGTTGTGCTCAATGTAAATTGTGTTCCCCCACTCTCCTTTTCCAAAGACTGATGAACTGCCTGTATAGATAACATAAGGGCAGGTTTGCAATACATATTGAAAATTATAACACTACTTACAAAGAGATAATCAAAAAATTGTTTTTCTCATCTATTTAACTTTCTAACCTATCAAATGAGGTGGAACAGCAAGAATTACAAACTTGGCTTTATAAGACCGGCTACCAAGGCTGGTTACCATCACATGGTCATCTTCCTGACAAAACAAAAATTTGCTGAGTTATTCAAGTTATTTTCTAGCTCAAATTTCAATCATGGTTGTTAAGTCAAGCAATTGGGGCCATTTTCACTCTTGTTAGAAATATCCGTTTTTATTTCACATATGTACTTTGGAAAAGGAAAGCACTCTGAGAGTGAAATCTCACAGGTCTTAAATTCATGCATGCATGCATGCAGCCACATTTTCTTGGACAGAATACCCAATAATTACTCCATGTGCAGTTTAATTACTCAACTTGAGTCACAAAAGTTGCTCAAAGACAAAAGTTGAAAGTCCCTTTCTCCATAAAGTATCATTGGCTTGCTAGAGCAAAGCTCTGTGACTTTAAAAGTGATGAGCAAAGCAGGAAATGACAGCTTATTATCTCATGTACTACATGCTTATAGAACTTGAACCAGGACTATCTCAGAGTCTCAAATCTGAGTAGTTGTCAATGGATCACTGGACCCCTGGCACAAGTGATCAGTACTACATATTTACCTGTTTAATTGATGTGACTGGCTGATTTAAAAGAACTCTGCCCTTTCCCAGTCTGCCAGCAAGTACTTCAGTTACACTATGAGCAGTCCCCTTTTGGCAAAAACAAATATAGTGCAAACAATAAATAAAATTCAATTATTAAATTCAATATACATAATAAGTTATCACCCTGTCGTAAGCAGTCCATTTTCAGAGTCCCACACTTCTTCCCTATAATTACTGTAATTTTTACCTCAGTTGATTAAGCAGTCACCTCTAATAAGCGGTCATGGTCACCTGTTACTGAGTTCTAACTGCATATTTGTATTGTTGCTCACTGTACAGTAAAATTATAAATATTCTTTCAAGAAACTTTACTACATGTCTGTATCCCCAAATTAATGTTAACCCTTTAACACCCATAAGTGACCAAGACAGAATTTCTCCTTACAATGTCAATACAATATCAAGCAGACAAGAGATGAGAATAAAGAAAAACATCAGTTAGGGGATTATAAGTTGACTAAATTCTCCAAACCACCATTACAAGAACTGTATGAGAGATGGTAAGGAGAATTACAAATTTGATCTGAGAGTTAAAGGGTTAAAAGAATCCTGTGGTGCTTCATTGGTGGGAGAGTATAACAAGATAATTTGGTTTCATTAACTTGGTAAATGTAAATTTGCCACCATAGAGAGTTTCTGAAGCTGAAAAAACTCCTTTAACCCAAATTACACACTAACATCAGTATGTATATTCTCCATACTGTTCTCTATACATTTCCTAAGGTGCTGACAAGGAGAATTTGTCTAACAATCAAGAGCTTCCTTAGTCGGTGATCAGCTCCTTTATTCTCCGGACCTTAATGTTTGATTCAGGGGTGATGTGGTAAGGAGAAATTACATGCCAGTCACTCTTAGAGGTTGAAGAGTTTAAGGCACACAAACATTTTAGAAACTCTCCACAGTACCTTAATTTTCCACTCCTGCGCATGGCCCTCCACACTTGGATCTGTCATAATAGACCACCCCCCTGAACAGTTCAGGTAATGCAGAAAATACAGGAAGGACATCTGAGATGGTGTCACTCCAAACATGATGCCTATCACTATGTCAAATAATTCTTTTGCAGCTAAAAGTAGAGATTAAGGTAGTGTGACAATATAAATGTCAAAAATAGTCATGGACATAAATATAATAATATAATATTAATATGATAATAACAATGGAATAAAAGAAAAGAGCGCCAGCATTTTCATACATGTCAGGTTAGAATTAGAATTAGAATTTGGGAGTGTTGGTCAATTAGGAAGGGTAAAAAATCAGTTAAATAGCCTTAATAAAAACTCTTACATGGACAAGCCATTAGTGAACTCAATGGACACATGATGCTTAATGTGGGTATCACACCTCAGTCACAGTCAGAGGCATGCAAACTCTAATGGCATAATGCCCTCATCTTCCTTTCAATACTTTTTGATGTCAGAGGAGACTTGTGATCAAATATACATTCTTGATGACAAAAATTTTTTCTTATTTTTCTTATTTTAGGGGGGAAAATTTGAACAGCAATGTTATCCAATAAAAAATATAGGTAACTGAGCTTGTACAAAAGACTATCACACATTTACATCATTCATTAAATAATACCATGTTCTCAGAAAGCCTGTATGCATACTGCTCAATTATGATGTTATGCATAGTACAGGATTTGCAGTGCAATACTGAGGAATCACCTTAATGCAAGAGGATAATGACATGATTTCTGGAGCATACCAGTACTTTCCCTTCATTATGAAATTTGGAAAATTTCAATGGTGTACTGACCAATCACAATAAAGTTTAGAACACACAAGCAATCCTCAAAGCCACAAACGTATTAGCCATGATTTTGCTTTGAAATTTAGTGTTCTAACATGCAAATCACACGGATGCTGTGCCATATATATTTCATGGTTTTCTGAGTTTCAATACAATTTGCCTTCCAAATTAAGGTAGTTGGGATAAGTAAGCTTCAAAGAAAGAGAGATCACTGTGCCTAAAGTGCATATTCTAACAACTTGTGACACTTAAACACATTTCTCACCATTTGTCCATAGTGTCTGATGTTTCCATGTCTCTAAAGTCATTCCATCCCATTCTTCAGCACAAGGACACTTACTAGGATCATCAATAGGAACTTCTTTGCACAACCTCTCAACCTTGTGAATCATCAAGGGAAAAAAATTGTAAAATAAGTGTAATCGGTAATATCTCTTTCCAGCTCAGTTCATCCCATCCTTTGAGCGAGCCTTGTTTCCAAACTCTCTCCTCTTCTCCTGGGAACAAGGCTTTGAGCGAGCAAAATAGTGATACTTCATAAAATATCTGAATACCCAGCATTACTAAATAAACAAATGCGAGGATGAGGACAGACTGGAGAGATGAAAAGGTACAAGAGAAATAGGAGCTCAGAGCTGGAAAAGAGAAATTCAAGCAGACAGAAGAAGGAACATAATTCAAAGGGACAAATATCCCTTTGTCATTAATTGGCTGTCTGAGGAGAGGAAAAGGAAGAGGAAGAGCTAGGAACAGAAAGTGAAAATGTCACCTTTCTCTGAGTATCCCCTTTCCCCCTTCCCCCGCCTCCCAGCTTAAACTAAAAGAATTGGGTCAAGGACATTAAACAGTTTTATAACATAGCTAGTAAATTTGTCTGATCAAATTCAATTGCTCAAGCATGCACGCTCATGATGTCAGCAAACATATCCCCCGAGAAAATGTTTCCATTGAGTTGAAAATGTTATAAAACAATTGGTTCATATGTCAGCTGTGCATTCATCAAGATATGAAGCACTTGGGAAGTTTAGAGAGCACTCAAGAAGCTAGAGTTGCTCGAGGCATAGCCAAGAGCAACTCTTACCCATTTTTCGTGCTCTCCAAACTTCCCATGTAATTCATATCTCGATGAACACACGCTGATGTATGAACCAATTGTTAAGAGTCAATTAGCTTTCAGAAGACAAGAAGACAAACTATCAACAGAATTGTCTGCAACTTACCTTATAGATGGACCACAACAGGTCAAGAACTGCAATATAAGACACTGGTGGAATCTCACCAGAATACTTGGTAATGACATCATTATTGCTGTGCCACACTTTGCTTCCACTGTACAATTGATTATACACTTCAATGTCCAATTCCTCAAGTAGACTCATAAGAGTCTTTTGATTCCTGTGAAGGAAACAAAAAAATTAGCTTAAGGAAGTAAACTTATTTTCTCATGCTCCTAGCTGTTACCTCATTGTCAAATATAAACACACTGATTATTCTAAGACTAATTTTCACACAACTTTGAAAGGAACAATATGCAAGAAAAATTATGTCTCATTGTTTGAAACATTCACAAAGAAACTTGTTCTGTAGAACCTTGCTAACTTGAACTTAGCCAACCCTTTAACCCCTAAGAGTGACTGGCATCTAATTTCTCCTCACAATATCACCCCTAAATCAAACATTAAGGTCATGAGAATAAAGGAACTGATCAACAACTAAAGAACTCCTGACTGTTCAACAAATTCTCCTTGTCAGAACCTTAAGAAATGTATAGAGAACAGTATGGAGAATATGCATTCTGACGTTAGGATGTAAAGGGTTAACTCCAATCCCTGGTAACTCGAATAAGATCTGACTTTCCTTGACCCCATTTTCTCAAAATGTAGGATATTATCTCCAATTGTTCTCACCTACATACCCATTGTCCTCCAACATCCCATCTGTCTGTTCCTTTCACAGTTTTAAGTTCCACACTGTCAAGTCTTCCACCAACTCTGTCTAAGTTTTCACAAATTGTTTTGATTAAAAGATTATAGTTTATAAACTTTACGTCTACGATAAAATGTCAATTTGTCTTTGAATGCTGCAACATATCTCTGATTTCTGACACATGCTGCCATAAGGAAGGTGTCTACTCTGGAGGAAATCTTCACCCATTAATCTTTTGACCGCTAAGAGTGACTAGCAGCTAATTTCTCCTTCCATATCACCTCTGAATTACACAAATGGAAGTCAGAGGAATAAAGGAAATGATCACTTTCTGAAGAAGCTCTTGATTGTTTAACAAATTCTCCTTGTCAGCATCTTGAAAAATGTATAGAGAACAGTATAGAGAACATGCAAACTGGGTATTGAGGGTTAGGTGTCTCACCATTTAACAGTGTTGAGAAAACCTGGATTTGACCAGATTGGATCACGGACTGGACCACAAACTGGACTACAGACTGGATCATGGGTCAGATCTCATTAATTGAAATTAGAAATTTTGCGTGACGAGCCAAAATAAAGTCTGTGTGACATAATGGAGTGCAGGCCCCACTGAGGTTTTTTTTTTTTGCCCAAAAACCCCTTGTTGTCACATTTCACCAACAAGAAACTATTCCAGTGACATTTGGTTTGTCATGCAGTTCTTTCAATAACATTAGTGTTTCGCCACTGTTTGAGATCAGTAGAGGTGCTTAATTGCTGTTCAGATCACAAAAAATTCCAAAAATCCATTTCCATTTTTGACAAAAACCAAAAATCAAATGCTAAATCACATAAAATCTGCAAACCAAAATGGAGAAAATTGAAAAACCAAAGTTTTTTGACACAAAAAACCAAAAAAACCAATCTAAAATTAGCCAAAACTGCAAAACCAAAAATCCCCAATGCCCTCCTCCTGATTGAAGAATGATACGTACCTCTTGCTAGCTTTTGTCCATGACAGCATGACACAACACTCCTCAACACAGCTGTGAAAGTGACTACATGGAGTTTTGGGGAAAACTCTCAAATGGACCTGCACTCCACTGTGTCACCCAGACTCTATTTTGGCATTTTATGTAACATCTCAAATTTTCATTGAAATATTTTTATTTTTTAACATCCTTTTTTTTAAACTATTTATTATTTTGTAAGGATTTGATTGTTTTATTTTTCAAACTCTTTTCTTTTTTGAAACATGATCCAATCTGTGAGGTTTTTGGGCAAAAAACTTTCAGGGGGGCCTGCACTCAACTATGTCATGCAGACTTAATTTTGGCTTGCCACGCAAAATTTCTTCTTTTATTTAACATGATCCGATCCATGATCCGTGATCCGGTCCGTGATCCAATCCGTGATCCGGTCCTGTCCGATCCAGATTTTGTCAACGCCGCAAATTTAAACGACATCGACTCAAACCGTTCCTTGAGTCGTTCCTTTCAAAGTCATAATTTGCATCCTCGAGTAACGGGCTTAGTGTACGCTTTTAGGTTTACCTTTTTTCCCTTTCGTATATCTCTTTTTAATTTCTCCAATTTAAAGGACACAATCTGTTCACCAAAATTATGCAATAAAAAGTATAGGTCGCCTTGTTTGTTTACGGGCGATAGACCATTGTACCACTTTACCTGGTCAATGGATTGAAAATAAATACCATATTCTCGGAATGCGCGCGCGCTCATTCCCTGGATTATGTGATTTTTAAGCGTAAGATAGGATGTGTGGTGCAAAACTGAGGAATCACCTTAACGGTTGCTAACGCGCTCGACGGGATCTTACCATGAGCCTTTACATTAATTTTGTACGAGTGGTTTCTGCTAGTCGCGAAGAGAAAAATGAAAACTTAACAGCGTGAGGGAAAAATAAAGAGAGGTCAACCGGCTAGCATGCAAGCTTAGCATTTAATTACAAGGTCAAGCTCAAAAGATCAGATAAATTAAAGTTACTTACCGACGCCCTCAAAAAAAATTGCATCAACAAATTATCAACCTGTCAAAACTTTCAGGCATACCTTTAGCTTCGAGAACTACAAGCTTTATTTTCGGACGTTTCTTCAGCAATTCGTAGGCTGCAGAAAGGCCTGACATTCCTCCTCCAATGATGACAACGTCGACATTTTCTGGTGAAGCAGCCATGTTCCTAGGCTAAATTACTAGCCGCTGTTCGAGAATATGAGCCCGCGCTCATCCCCGTAACCCACTCCTCTCGGGGAGGAGTGAAGACCGGACACGAGAGAGCGGGGGAAATCGAGCCAACTATGTTCCAGAAAACTAAACTTTTGGCTTTCGCGAAAAAAATTGATTAAGCAATTGTCAGGATGCAAAAGCTGGGCTTAAAAAAAAAAACAATCATAGCTTTTACGTATTAAATATCAGAGGAAACACGATAAAGGCAGGTGATAAATGTTTTATAGAAACTTACTTGGTAAACTCTAAATGCCCGTGAAAAATCTGGAACCAATAAAAGTTTCTAACCAGGAGAGAGGGGTCGTAGCTCTTAAGTGAGGGCTGGGGGAGGGGTGTAAGAGAGGGTGTAAGAGGGGGTTGTAACAAGGCTGGGCTGACCCCCTTCTGGACTGGAAAGTAATTATTTATTGCAATGCTTTAAACATCTTTATCATGCCCATAAGTTTGCGCATAAAATCTTGTTAAAAATTCCTTCTTAAGTCTTTGATCGAGGGCACACCACCACATCAGTGCACCTATGTCGGAAGTCTAAAGATTTTTTTATATAAAATATATAATTTAAATAAAATTTCTAAAACAGTTTCAGGTAGTTTAGTCTAATCTCTAAGGATCTCTTCGGTCAAAGGGGGTCTGTTTTCGAGCAAGAAGGACAAATGTCTCGATAACATGAGTGAAGGTCGGCATATGAATCGTAAAAATAGCTTCAGCTTTTCATCTTTAGTTTTCAATCAAACCTTGGTTTTCACCAGCGACCTAAGCACGTGGGCAAACCGAAGAGCATGCGCAACCATTGTTTTGATCCTTCAATTCCCCATGAGTGACCAAGACATAATTTCTCCTTACGACATCAATACCATATCAAGAAGACAAGTGATAGGAATGAAGAAAAAAACAATTAGGGGATTACTAATTGATCCAATAGCAAATTCTCCGATCTAACACTATAAGAGTAGAGATTTGCAGGTAGACAATAAGGAGAGTCACTCATTAGATCTTGAGAGTGAGAGGATTGACGTGGAAACAGCCTCGATGCGAATTACTGCGATCAAACGTATTCATTTGTAGTGCTTCTGTTTTTAAGTTAAGCAACAATAAAATGTCTCGTAAGTACAAGAAGAGATAATCATGCCTAAGACATGGAAGAAGGAACATACGATGGGTATATTTGAGACTGAAACAGCAACCTTATCACACGTGCATAACATTTCAAAAACTTCCCCTCAACCAGGATAATTTTTGAGCGACTGCTAAAAGTATGTCGATAGTTTGTTGGACTCCTGTAATTGGCTCACCCAAAGTGGTCTTACTGCCAATGGGAACCAAGTTCACTTTCTTGTCCAATCAGGAATGGGACAAGAATTACAAAGCTTTAACAGATATTCCATAGCTTCTCCCGCACTTTTTGTCGATGGCTTTGCATCTTGTGATTGAATAGATGAGACAGAAGATTCGAAAAATGGGCGGATCCAAATATTTTTGATAGGGGACATCGAATTCATTATTTAGAAAACAAATTACCTTCTTTCACACAATTGCCTGGTGAAGCAACATGTGATTTCATCGTTGTAACAATTTTTGAGACAGAAAAATACTAAAAAACACCAAAAGTCTGATGGAAGATGAGGAGAGGGGGGGGGTGATCCAAAGTTTCCTTCGCTTTATACGGATGTCAGGATTTGAAAAGGAAAAAAGTGCTGGTATATTCTTGACCTCTAATAGTCGTTCAAAAATCCCATTCGGTCAGCTCGAACGCATCTCTGGTTTAGATCAGTTGGGAACACGTTTCTCTCTCCCTTCTTTAGCAGCATGGACATAGTTTCTTCTTGATCACACCCAGTCCAACCTAAATCAATTCAAATTGAATCAGGAAAATACGGCGTTAGCAACCTTTATGCATAAAACGATACATAACAAATAAGCCAGAAAAGAGTATACTCATTGTTGTCTTTCTTTTTCAGTTGCTGTTGTTTAGCTTCATGTTTGTAAGAACAGCATGCGCTTGAATTGCGCGAGAGCTAGCTAAAGGAGCAGGCTCTCATTATAAGCGCTGTAAGATGGGCGTTTTTCCGCCCGAGGGAGGATTGAAACGAGTCGGGGAGAGGTTTGCCGGGGGTCTGGTATTCATTATAGGTGGATTATTAATGATTGTCACGCGAGAACTGGACAAGGGGGTTGGGGATAGGGTGCCAAGGAAACCAAGGAAACAATCGTAACTACACCCTTTTCCCCTTGATACCAAGAACTTCTTGTTTTACTCTCCAAGGACTGCACTGGGCGTTCGGTTATCAAAAATAATCGGCATAATACACAACGCTATAGTAACAGAGGAGTAAAGAAACGAGAGAGGCGTGGGTCAAGGCGCGCAATGAACCGAACCCGTCCCAGACCTCCTTCGCTTTTTCACTCTTCCGCTGCTATAGCGCCGTTTACTACTTCACTCCGTTTTACCAATTGAACGCGTGCAACAGGCAGTACTCTTTATTTATATTCAACCCTTCCTCAGCCCTTGCTTCGCTGATAAGGTGAAAAAAGCCTCTTGAATAATCTGAAATAATTTCACTGTAATCCACCTACCTTCACCGTAGTACAGACAGATGGCTTGGGAATACCAGAGGGAAGCTTGCGGCGCAGGCAGCAAATAAAAATTGCAAAAAGCAAAATGATTAGGAAGATGACACCTGCAATTCTGTAAGAGAAAATGAAAAAGTGAAAATTCAGCTAGTGCAAATGTGGGCGGCTTCATTTGGATCGCACAATATATAACTAGGGTGTTCCTGTAAATCTTAATTCAAAAACTAATGAAAGGATGATTTGCCGACGTAGAAAGACTGAAGACTGAGAAAATTTCCTCAACAAACCGAACCGGTCCGTAAAACAATGAGGAGACCTGGACACTAAGTTAATTGTTGGAGTGAATTAATCTAGTGTGCAGGTATCCTCATTGTTTGGTGGTCACTGTCCAATCATTAGAAAAGTAATTTTATTCACTCACGCTATTCCTACGATAGCACCAACACTCAATCCACTCCCGCCTACATCTGACGAATCAAACCGAATCCCGGCATCCTCTTTGGCGTCGAGCAGACATCTTCCTGGACATGCGCACATGCTGTGCAGGGAGGTGTGCTGTAAAGGATGAAAAAACATTGAAACACTGGAAGGGTTTGGATCGTCTAATAAGCGTCCAAGAGGAAAGATTACATGAAGAGGCAAAGGAACGCAGAACGATAACGAGGACCGCTTTAAACTTACATAGGACGAGCCATTGACGCTCATGGGGTCGACTTTTCCAACTTCTGTTTCACTACACACCAAGGAAATCGATGTTCTCCTTTAAAGTGAAAATTTAACCACCCAATAAGGTTAGCTTTCCACACCATAAAATGACGTGTTATAAGAAACGTCGCACCTCCCCCTCCCCTAACCCAACATCAAGCAAGGGTCATAGTTAGGGTAGGGGAGGAGTAGGTGTGTAGTTCCTCAACTACTGACATGGATCCAAAAAATTAAGGGTATTAACTCCGGTGTAAATTTGCCATGAGGAATCCACAGACTTCCCGTAAGTTCACTCAGAGTGAACTTCAGTCAACTTGTGAAAAATTCAGAGAGCAGCAAAACAAGTAATACTTACATTTGGTCGTTCCCCGTGATTCCATAAGTCAACATACATTGTCCACTGTTCTCGTCAAGGACGCAGTCCGAGAGATCGCGTTCTCCAATGTTCTTGCGTGACACGTCAGAAAGTGTTATCTGGCTAACTTGACAAACCTGCAGAATTTGGTGAGGTTAGCATTACCGTCACGGATGACTCTAGAAATATTCCGATGATGGCATATCATTTAGGCTGCAAGTAGGACATCGTTATTGGCACTTGTTGTTGGTGATATGCATCATTGGCGCTTCGGCACGTTTATTGGCCCTCGGGAAATTATGAGGCCTTCAGGTACGCGAACCGGAAATTATGAGGCCTTTAGGTACGCGAACTGACAAGAGGTTCATAAGAGGAGTCACATCTTTACCCCCCTTCATCCTCCTTCACCCCCGTAAACTCTCCCCGATTTGTCTCGCATCTTTCCACGGGCGGAAAAATCGCGCGTCCTGTAAAGCTATCAATAACGGCCTGCTCACAGGCTCACTATTATAATATTGAGGATAAAATACAATTATGTTCTTTAAAATTATCATTATTTCTTGATGTTTGTTTTTTGCCATGATCATTTATGATTAGAATTGACGTTGTCAGCAACGCAATAATGTCGGCTATGCGGAAACATAATCTCAATGTCATGTTACACGTAGCTATTGATAAGTCATTTATTCCCTTTGTGTTGCCCTCGGCGTCGTCGTCGTCAACGACGATAATCATTTCCATCATTAATTTCGTCGTCGTGGCAATCGTTAGCATTGTTATCACATCATCATCATACTTTCCATAATCACCACTGACTTAGCTTTGCTCACAGCTCTTATTAAGAATGTCACGCCACAGTAGTGAGCATTGCGTGACATAACGCCTGAGTACCCTGAAAAGATTCAGTTCCGCCACGCCAACTGACATCCTTCGTTTTTTTTTCTTTTTTTTTTTGTACACTGTGCGGTAAGAAAGGGGGTGTAGGAATAATTAAGCTCTGACAAAAATTTTGGAGGAGCTCAACTTGCTCAACACGCATGATCTTATTTTATTTACTTCTTTTGCATTGTTGTGTCGACGTGAGGCGCGTATCTCGCCCTTCGCGTCCTCTTTGTTCTCGCTCCACGTCTGCGGTGTTTGCTTGTATGAAATAGCTACTAAGCGACATCGGCCACAACGTGGTAATTGCACACTGGAATCTCTTAGAGCACGAATTGTACGAACTTACTGATGAATCCTGGCAGGGGTCGCCCTGCTCGGTCCTTGGGCTACAGGGGTTCCACAGATAGTAGGTCGACTTTTGAGCGGGACCGGATGCCGAGATGTTGAATCTGTTCGATTATAAGAAAGGAAGTTAGTATTTATATTCTATAGTCTCCCCATTCCTCCCTCATCTAACACCTTATCTTACGCACACTTTGTCTGAATCACGCAAACTGGAGTACGTTGTCATGGTAATTTATTTCCTAAGACGTGACAGAACAATTAACACTGGTAATCACTGGGGTAACAAAAGACACCCTGAAAACTGACCGCGTGGTATGTTTTGACTTCGCAGGCAAAAAAAACATAGGCAAACTTAGACTGCTTACTTTCTCATCAAAAGGCATGTTAGAAAAAAACAAATTAAACCAAAAACACAATCTGGATGGACAAAAATTTAAGAAAGAACGGCTAGTTCTCTTTTTGTTTTTGTTGCTAATTTTCCGTTAACGCGAAATTCATGCAAAAATTTATTCATCTCGCGGCAGAATATTTTCAACCAATATTACCAGCGGGAATAATTTACTCCGCTATCTGTATGCAATCGACTTGAAGATAATTTAGCCCGTGAGCAAGCTCTCGCAGCAGGGGGGATGGTCGGCAGAAGGAGGAAAATTCAGAGCCACATGACAAATTAGCGGCATGCTTCAATGTTTAAAACGAGGTGCTTCGGCCTAGAAAGAAAAAATTACACATGTCTGTAGCAGCGCTCTGCAGCGCTCGGAGTAAAGGAGATGAAATCCCACCCGGTCGAGAACATTTACACGAATTCATGCTGTGCCAAGGCCGGAGTCAAAGTTCAAGTTAAACATTGGTCTTGGTTAAGCTCTGCTTACAGTGTCGCTTTTTTAAAGAAGGATATATATAAATATATGCACATTTATCATCGCAGCTTCTCTCCCAAGTTGAACACTAGACGCAATGCGATCAAGCTGAAGAATAATTTATTTTTCAGTTACGTCTTCTGGCCGTTTTGATGAGGTTATTTCCATACCGAAGCCATTGTGACGCCATAACAATTAATTTCTTCTAATCTTCAGACAAATACACGTGTTCTTTATGCTTATTCAAACTAAAAGTTTCACTTCAGTCGATCTTCTCTAAAACATTTAAAAAGCTAACGCTTACCTCGCTCCGTTTGTTTTCTGTCCTGCAACGCTCCAAATATTTAGTTCTCCTTCATCCGTGGAACATCTGCAAGCATCTATCTTTTCGCATTTCTTTACTGCGTGCACTAGAGACGAAGCAGATAAAACCAAAGCGAAAGCGAAGATAAACACTTTCATTCTGAGGAATACCGGTATTTTGATGGTTACGAGAGAGCAATTGGATGAATTATAATCTCCTCGTAAAATCTGGTAACACTATACCATGCAGACAACACCCACGTGAACGATGGTCTCACGTACAAAGCGGTATGCAAATTACAGGATCAAAAGCGGCTGGTGTAAAAATAGCGCAGCGGATATCCTGCGTTTTGTTTACAACCAAAGGATTACATACAATCTTAGGATAGTTGCTGATAAAACATTCAGGATGGAGTGAAACGCTTTAAAATAATAGACAAAATGTACACCGATGTCTTGGAATCACAGATCAGATATGTGAGGAAAATCAGTGATATATATAAATGACACGTGTCACACTCGTAAAACACGATTTGAAACTGGGAAGAGCAACTATGAAGTGCATAAATTATCAACTCTTGTTTTCTTTGTCTAACACTCGTGACAAAACGAGTAAAACCTCTCTTTATTTCCTGATCTGTCACGCAATACAGTACGTGACTTGCTGATGCACTGATGTGACGCAAATACTTTTCTCATGTTTCTATACTTACCAGGTTACCTTTGTAGCAAAAAAAAAATAAATTGAGCATTTTTTTTCTCTCTTCTCGAACAATATTGCGTTATCTAGCGGCAATGGGCAGCTAAACTAATACTGTAAAAAATTATATGCCCTCGGCTAGGGCTGATATACAGTAGTCAGATGACTCGAAAAACCGTGAACACCCAAAAACATGTCTGGAATGCTACAAAGAGCTCGTGAGACTATAAACGGAAAAGCCACAGAAATAACTGGTTTGGTCATTACTCACATAACGTTCAAATTCGTCTTCTGTTCCACCTACAATAGATAATTACCATCATCCGTTCCTTTGGATGGCTTAAGAATTTTTCTAGTGCTGTTATTTGCTATTTTGTTTTTAGAATGTACCGTATTTATTCGGTTAAACAACGCCCTCGAATAAACGCCGCATTTTATAGCAGAAATATTAGTAGACGCCGCCCTCGAATAAACGCCCGTCAAGATGCGGCGTTTATTCGAATAATAGACTCAAAAGGCACACCACAATCATTGCTTCCATCGCAGTTGGCAATTTTGAGTGAACCAGACACAAAACCTTTTTGCATGTACCATGTTGGATTTTATTCACTTTATGTATTGCCGTAGTATTGACATGCAAATTGTGAAATTGAGAACAATATATGAAAATGACTTTTCAGTCAAGCACTAAAACGTGTTTATGTTTTTTTTTTAAAATCAAAATGGTTTTTTTTAAAAATTAAAATGTTCACTTACCATACTATCGTTTGTAAATAATAAATTTCCTTTAATAAACGCCACCCTCGTATAAACGCCGCCATCGAATAAACGCCGCGCTCGAATCAGGAAACATTTAATAAACGCCGCGACGTTCAGTCGAATAAATACGGTATGTCATATTTATTTTACATCATTTTATTTTAGGGAGTTTTTACAAAGGATTAACCTCTCAACATCCTTCTCTTGAAGCTTACTTGTGCATTTTTAGCTAGCTGCATCTTAAATAAAGTTTGTAGGTTGTGTTACGGCTGTTTCACTTGAAAACGGTAACATAATCCGTGATTGATTCATGCTTAACGTACGTCTATCGAGTTATGAATGCACGCGCGAGAAGTTTGGAAAGCACAAAATAAGCGTAAGAGTTGCTTTCGGCTACGCCTCGGGTAACTCTAACTTGGAGAGCACGAGAGAAGCGTAAAGCTGAAAGCAACTCTTACGCTTCTGCGTTTTTAACTCGATATACACACGCTAAGCATGAACCAATTCTTAATTCACGAGTTTTTTTATCGTTTTAAGTGAAATAGCCATCCAAAGGAATAGAAGATGGTTGTTATTTATTATAGTAGAGACAAGACACGTTTTAGCACCACGTGGGTAATGACCAAACCGTTCATTTCTGTGGTTTCTCCGTTTAGAGCCGCCTGATATTTATTGGTCAGTACACAAAATTCCAGACATATTAGGTGTTCACGGTTTTCTGAGTCGCGCAGTAGAAAAAAACACTGAGAAAGATCTAGATCGATTAAAGTTATCTAAACAATTCCATTTCTCCGATCACCTTCATCGTCACAGTGGGAATTGCTGTATTTATTATTGTTTACCAGTTAATTCATGTCTGTCTATAAAACAGTGTTATTTAGCCAGTTAGCCACACTCATCATCTTATTTACCAAACAGAGAAAAATAATTATCATAGTGTAGAGAAACAGAAGAACAGAAGAAGGGAGAGTCGATTCCCAGTCCATTTTTACACATTTTGCTCTTTAGAGCCTGTCACGCAATGCTTCTATTACGCACGACGTGACGCTTTCGCTTTGTTCGTTGCGGTACCAATACTCGACGCAGAAGACAAATCACTAATGCTTCATTTTTTTATCTGTAGACTGCAGTATTCGTCCATTCCCGGATCGACGATTGACGTATAAAATGTGTGTAATAATTAGTATTAATGGTTTTCTATGTCATGTAATCGAGAACTGAATTAAAAACGCCTAATCAGATCTTTGAGATGCGCAGTTTTTTACCGTGGAGATTGAAATGGGTCTTTTGTTAAAAACATCGCGAGAGTTGTGATGGTAAACCTTGTTTTACCTCAGACTGAAGAGTTCCAGTTTACCCGAAAGAGTATAAAACAACAAGAAGTAATAATAATCGGATGGGTACAAGATATTTACCGAATAATACAATAATAATGATGGTAGTAATAATAATAGTACCGATAATAATATTAATAGCCACAATTATAGTAACATTAATAACCATAGAATACGAATCATCTAATTGAAAAAGTCTAGACAACTTTTTCCATCAATATTTTAAACCCTTTGACTCCTAAAAGTGACCAGCATGTAATTTCTCCTCAAAATGTCAGTCGTGAATCATACAATAAGGTCACGAGAATGAAGGAAACGATCAACAATTTAAGAAGCTTTTGATTGTTAAACAAATTCTCCTTGTCAGCTCCTTAAGAAATGTAAAGAGGACAGTATAGAGAATGTGCATGCTGATCTTAGGGTGTAAATGGTAAAAGTAAGTCATGCATCTAGCATTTCTGATATCATCATCAAACGTATTTCATAACCAAGGGGCAAGTAAATTGAAGGAGTGTTTAACATAAGCAGAACATGGCTTTAGGTGTAACTTATCCTGATATTTGATATATGATAGATAAAAACTTTATAAAATGTGACGTGACTGATGTCGCGTGACTATGAACTAGCGGGAAAGGCACATGATTCCCGTGAAACTGTCCGTTTGAGTTCAGCTACCTGAGAGAACTTGAATACTTGATTTTCACATATTAATAAATCCTTTATATCGCAGTTTAATGTGGCCTAGACTATCCAAAGCATCTCATATGTTCCTTATTTACAAGAAATTATTCTAAGTTTCTTGCGTCACAGTGACCCCATCACGCGATGAATTTACAAACAGGTCGTTTGTCTGTTGGAAAAAGAATTCTATTTTGGTGGTCTAAGTAATTCCTAAGAAATTCCCCAAAGATAGGAAAGGGAACTTCATAAGTATGCGGTAAACCACTTTTAGAACCAAATCTTAACTCAGCACAATTCAAATCAAGCGCGAGAAAATCATTATGGTGTTCCATCAACAAGTCACGTCATAAATATGATACAAGGGATATCTAGCCATCACACCTATTTCTGTTTTAACCCGTTGACTCCTGGGAATAATCAGAATGTAAATACTCCTTCTAACTTTTATGAAAGCTTCGAGTAGACAGGTAATGAGAAAGTACATATGGTTACCAACAACGTGATGTCTTCTGATTTAACACCAAATTCTCATGAACAACGACCAAAGAAATGTATAGTTTTGATTAGAAGATTTAATTCCAGGTCTTTGGATTTACGAAGTTTAGAGTGCACAGGCTGGTCATCGGACAACAGTCACGCGCTTTTAGCATGGTTGAACCGTCACAGATAAGAATAGAAGATTTTGAGAATAGATAACTCAACACATTCTTTACGATTCAATTGAGTCAGTAAATGGCAAATGGCAATTAGGTTCAATCTTCTCCATCTTTATTCAGAGATTCTCGTAAAAGCCATGGCCAAATACGGGAGGTCCATCGCCGCCTTTAAGACCGCTGACCACCGTCTATTAAATCTGCTCGCAGGCTCTCGTGTTTCGATTTCGTCGCAAAGCTACTTCTGTGACGCCCCTATGACACTATCAGAGGCCGCTTATGGAAAAATTAATTCCAACCCCTTGGCTTTCTTTTTCCTTCCTCGGGTTGTTTTTTTACCTTTCCATCTTTTATTAAACTGGTACAATGTTATTTTCTTCAACTTGAAATTAATTTGCATGTCGCACAAACGACCAAAATTTGTGACCTCGGTCGCGTGACTATGAACTAACGAAGAAAACATGAGCAGTTATCGCATGATTCACACAACGCGGGCTGTTTGATTTCAGAACGCAATACAAGTAAATTTTCGTGAAAGTCTCGTGTCGGCGTAAATGCCCTTGGAAGGTGTTAAATTTGTAGAGCGACTATGGAAACAGAGTGGCTAACTTTCGATGTCCCGTGACAGGTTCATGACAAAAATTATCTTCTCTTGAGATGAGCTGTGCGCGTTTGAAAATAGGTTCTCCTTCAGTCTTCACGCTTCGTGCATAATTGAAAGTCGGCTGCAATGGCTTTTGAGCGGATTCATTTGGTCTTCCTTGGTCTGGCGATTTGTTTTCTTTCAGGCTCTGTTTCTGGCCATGAAAAGAAACTCAAGAAAATAACCTCTTGTCGCTGCTCAATGGATGAGGGAGAAATTGATCTTAGAGAACTAGCAGGAAAAGAAGGCAAACCAAGGTATAGACATATTATACTACAGTATGTAGGAGCGTATTGACACGAGTATGCTCGCGTACAAAGGCCGCTCGATAAATCGTTGACATGCACCTACTAAAAACAAGGATTTTTTGAACCGAAAAAGAAAATTTGGAAATTATTGGCTAAAAGTTAGGCGGTGTCCACCGATCTCTTCTATTTCCAGATTTAAAAGTACTTCTTGCCATGGACCTCGTGAGGATGAATCGCTCGAGAGTATTCTTAGCCCTTTTGGGCTTTTTTTAGACTTAGATAAAGAGAAAAAAGTAACAAGGACCACCCAATTGTTTGACTAGGTCGAAAGGCTTATTAATTCAATAGAATAATACAAGGTGATGAACGGAGGTTTGCATGTGTGATCTATGTCAAAATATGACGGTTTGCGAGAAGAGACAAACACTAGCAGGTAGGTATTGCAGTATTGCCCCTGCAGGGTTCTGGTTGAGTGGCCCCAATTCCCATTATGCTAGAAAAAGTTTTGGCATTATATGGAAAAACGAGTGCAATTTCTGCAAATTTGTTTTTTGAACGTCGCACTGCTCGCCTAATCAGCATATTTTCAGTTTTTTCAGAGTCATGACTTGTTTGTTCTCGTAGATTCATCATTTTTAAGTTCCGTCCATGATTCAGTCTATTTTCAATTTTGCAATGTCTTGGAAAAGAGAGGGTTACCGTACTACCGCGTCGTTCGTCATCCAGAGAACTGGGCACGCCGAAAGTAAAATATTGCGTCGGCCCCAGTTCCCGCTTTGATAAGCAACAAAATATCAAGATCAATAGCAGAAAAAGAGTGTATAATCTCTTGGTCAGAGCATATTTAAATTTGTGGTCGTGTTTCATCACGCATCAGAGCAAGTGCGTAACTCAAAATAAAATCGAAGTCATGCGTGATTAACAGTATACATGTAATTATGGCTTGTTTTAAGTTTCTTATTGAGAAGGATACCCTCCAAAAAAAGAAGCATAATTTTCAGAAACGAGCATAATTTGGAAACAAATTGGGAAATGCTAGTGTTATACTTTTTTTTACTAGAACAATCTATAAGGGCCTAACTACTTATCTTCTTTTAGATCTTAATGTCATTTTTTTCCCAGATTTTTCCATATTCCTTCAAATTACGCAAACTTAAGCTTCAGTTGGAACCCATGCAACTCATATTCACTGAATGGATCTGCTTGTAAAGATATTGCTGTGAGTATAATGTTCAGTATTAATCCCGTACCCAGATCCTACCGTTTAACCGTAACCGCTTGACCATGGAAAGTATGGGTACGAGACTAGGTTAAGTCTGGCTCAGCTGTTTTGCCAAATTACCGTCACTGAACACTTCGCCCAGCTACGGCTTAAGGCGACATGTCACGCATATAGTAATCATTGATCATACCTGAACTGATGTTAGTACCGAAAAATGAAGGAAAAAAACATCTCATGTCGTAATTACAGTCGATAGCACTGAAACTGAAACGCAAACTCCCCTAAGATCCTGTTAATTTAGGTTCAAATCCGTTGCGAGGTGAAAAACTTTCATATCATTTTGTTCTTCCATTCACTTTAAGTAAGACGAGAGAATTCAAACACCAAGCACAAACTAGCAACAGAGAAATGACGTGACCTTAATTGTCTTGAAATGACCCAAAACAATCCCAGGACCTCTTTGGAGCCTAGAAATTTGTTTCTGACCAAGTGTAACTGTGTAATACAATGTAAACAAGTTGATCTCTTGTAACTGTTTCAGCCCTACACTCTTAAAGTAATTCTTTTAGATGCGTTGCGCACACCAGAGTAACTGTTGCCTTCATTTTTACCTTCCAATAGGCTTGTATGGAACAAAAAGGAGTAAATACTTCAGAGTTTTACAGCGTTGCAAAACAAGACACAGCTGAATTTTTCCACAGAGAAGACGGGGAAAATTTTTTGACATACAAAGGGACAGCTTTCAATAAGTATGTATAAGATTTCCTACGACGGATCTATGGTAAATGAAGCAACCTTGAATGAAAGTATCTCGTCAATGCATGTGACTACAGTCAATCTGCGGCTCTCGTAGTCAAAAAGATCTTCATATATATATATATATAGATAGGGGAAATCAAAAAACAGAGAGTCGGAAAAGACGGTGAAAACCAAAACTGTGACCTTTGACCTCAATAAATTGGTTGGAAAGCCCACATTTTTTTAACTTCATGAGAGAATTAAGTATTTTATCATATCCATGAGTAGTCAGGGGTAACGAATGAGTTTTCTATTTCCCGAGGGCGCCCCGAACGCGCTCCGAGGGTGTCCCGAAGGTGTCCGCATGTTGACAGGGCAGCTTCAACTGAACTATCAAGACATTTTATCAGTGTGGGTGTGTAGGGGAATTCTGCTTTATGGCAACCTATTTGCTGGAAAACCCTTGTCTACCAGGATATCCCCCAAACAACTAAAAAACCCTGACGCAGTCTCTCTCCCCTCACTCTTTCGTTCGAAAAGGTCAAAGTTATTGCTCCAAAAAAAATTCTTGGAAATTTCATTTGCATGTGTGGGCCTAAGCACCAACTCGGAATTAATGAATGAAAATATTTTCAGCCATTTTCGGTGGTCGTCGAAACTTTTAAAAATCCTTAATAAAATAGCGATGTTAATTTACACTTGAGGTAAAACTGGCTTTTAAGTGATTACATCATTGATGAGAGCAAATTTATCGTAATTAGAATTCAGGAACAAGCAGTAAATAACAACTAATTGATAAAGTATTGTCTAATCGTCGACCAGAACTTTTTTTGTTTTGTTTTGTTTTGTTTTTCAGGACCTCAGTGTTTTCTGTGGTTCTTAAATGCGATCCAAAAGAGGAAGGCAAAGTCGACCCAGTGATTGCTGATACCATAAAAAATACTTACGTAAGCTCCTAGAACTCAGTGATTTTAAGCAACTAATTGCATTTACATTAAGTGTCATAACACTAAAGCCAAAGTAATATAGGAGCCAATCAGAAAAAAGGGAAATAACACCAGGAGCCAGTGAGAGCTCATAGAAAACAGAAAAATCACGCGTGACCAAGTCGTGACTGGTGTTAGTTTTGAATCTGATTGGTCGAGAAAGTGGTGCTCGATTTTTGGAAAATCACAGCGAAGAAAAGCAAAACCAAAGGAATTACGGATTACTTTCGACACTCAATTGAAGATTGCACTGACTATTACAGTTTGTTTGTTTGTTTTATGTGATTTAAATTATACTACCTTATGCTCGTTCCTCTCCTCTTATCGTTCCAGGCTCCACTCTTTCATTCTTTGCCTTGCTCTACTTAGTGTTCGACTGATAAATTGTCTTTTTCAGGAGACTGTTTTGTATTCAAAATACGCCTGCCCTTCTAGCTCAAGCTCTACTGGCTTGGGCTTGGGTGCAATCGCCATGAGGTAAATAAAATTGAGGACATAGTTTTAATTACTCGAAAAAGGATTTTGAACTGGCAAGCGAGGAATCGTTGGAGTCAAACTTGATTGTCTTTCAATCGAATAGCCGCGCAAATGTAGCGTGACTCGATCTTGTTGATTGACTATTGATGCATACGATCGCATGTGTCATCCTATCCGGGACATTAATCTACAAACGATCTTTTCCGAAGAGAGCACGATGGGATAGCGAAGCTTTTCGTGCGAGGCTGGAATTGTTGAGTAAACAAAGGAAATAACTGCGCTGAAGGTCCTCTCATGGTACGCTAAGAAGTTTTTATTTTGCGGCATGATCGCGATCGCAAACATCAACGGTTTCAACGGTTAATTATATTAGAAATATAGAGTAGAGCTACAATTGTATGGTTTACCCAGCGGAAAATGGAGTTTTTTGCTCCCTGCGGAGTGTATGTATGTGTGTGTATGGGGGGGCTGCTTTTGGAAGCTTCGAGTAGGGGTGTATAAGAAGTGTGTTGAATAACGTTTACCAATATCTGAAGTTTTCTCGAACGTAAAGGCTGCTATTCTAGTTGCCTCAAATCTGTAGACCAAATTATTCAGTTTAACGTATCAAACTTCACTGCCCCAAAAGAGAAGTTGAAGAGAGATTGATCATCAGTATGGTAATTTTTGAGTGCTCTATCTCTTTGTTAATCTGAGTTTTTTTTCTTTTTTTTTTAGTGTCATTACTATTCTGGGTGTTGTGATCATCGCCTTCCTTATTTTTGTTGTCCATTTACGTAACAAACTTCCCGATGGAGTCCCAAAGCCGTCTATGTGTACCTCGATGAAGGTGAGGCGGATAGCAGCTTTACCCTGAGTGACTGGCTCTTTCTTTCGTGAGGGTTTTGAGAGAGAACTAGATTTCTAGTATTCGCGTCACCACCACACTCATCAAGGAAATTTATGCGCGAAGTGACGGCAATGAAGGAGGGGTGAAACATGGGATTTATTGCGTAGAACGTTATTAGCCCTGCATGTGCATTTTGAAACTTTGCGCATTTTCTAGCCTTCCTTTACAAAACAACAGCAAAATTTTTGGTTCTCTGAAGACAGTAATACCGAAAGCAAATTACCCACGCTATTTACGTGTTAAGCTGAAGAGAGCTCTCGCGACGTTAAAGACGTTACACATATCGAGCCTTCAGCAAAATTCCTGAAAAAATGTTTTCATTTCAACTCGTGGATTTGCGAAGCGTGAAAACGAGTAATGAGGGGGTTCGAAATATCGAGGCGTTACCGCGGCCCTAGGAGTCTAGAGAGAGCATGCATCCTGTGAGGGTGGCTCCGTAAAACAGAATCTGTTTACTGCTATCCTCTCGTAGTTTAGTTTGAAGAGCGCTTTTCTTATTTTTCTCTTACAGGTTGCACTGGGGATGATATTCGCAAAGTTCTGTCCTTGTTGTAATGGATCAGGCTATGCCAAAGTTCCCTAGTCACAAATAACTTCTTCAATTCTGTTTAACTTTTTACAGCTCGTGGAGTATGATCGCAGGTGTCTCAGAAAGGATAAAATCTGAATGCAAGTGTAGGCTATTGGAATATAGATTTTTTTTAGTAAACTGCTGAGAACGACACAAAAGATGAAACAACTGAGAGTAGACAAAAAGTTCTGCATAACATTAAATTTGATTTAAAAAACTCGAACAATCCTGAAGTTCTCTTTTTTTATATTGGAAGTTGTCTACTTCTGATTTGGAGCCCTCTTGACAGTGCCGGAAGTAAAACTAGTTCAAAGGGTCCTCTCTCTCCCTCTCTCAAGAAGGTACAGTACTTCCTCGAGGGGAGAAAGAGAGAGGACCCTGGGAACGCGTTTGGGGTGTGTTCTGGCAGGGGTTATTGTGTTGTATTCTTGGTACAAGGCCCTTCTCCCACGAGTACTTCTCTCCACCCAGTAGTGAAGATAAATACCGACAAACTGTAAAGAAAACTTGAGGGGGCGCTGGGGGTATTCTCTTAGGGACCAGTATCCATCCGGGGCAGGGGGGTCTCAGAGTCTCTCTTCTTCCCACTGGGAACGAAGTCACTCGTCACTTCATGCCGAGGAGATAGGGTAACTTTGACGTAAATTACTTGGTTGTGCGTAGACTTACTGTAAAGGCTCTCACCACAAGTTCATACAGAAAGTAAAACCTTCTTAAAAGCCTTCCCCCCTTCGACTGCGCGAAGTTTTAATCCAGTTTCAGCAAGTTCGAGTCGCCGAATCTTCTAACTTTAACTGATTATTTGGGACCGTGTCTGTGCAGTACTTAGCTTTTTGTCGAGATCTGTTTAAATATTTTGAAAGAATGCAAAACAGCAGACTTCTGACGCTACTTAACAGGTGAAGGAAATTGATCTCAGGAAAGGCGCAGGAACACACGGGAAGTCAAAGGCGTTGTAGGGCTTTGGATCACGTCCCTACCCACCCTGTGTAGGCATGTTAATTATACGCTTCATTCATTGTTCTATTCACACCTAAACAACCTAGCGCTTCTAGCATCATTGCTCAGTATATCTCAGTGTGTATTTCACTCCTAAACATACCTATATCCACAGTCCTCTCTAACATTTGATGTTTGTTTTCGCCTTGTGAGCGCAGATCAGACTTTGCAAAAACTGCCAGAAACAATAGTTCATCATTCTAATCATTTCATGGAAACCTATGTTTGGATACAGCACATAACTTAGTAAAACTATAAACGAAAGGAACTTGCAGTGTCGAAAAAAAAAAACACGGAGAAAAATTATAATGAAATAATAAATATTCTCAACTTTGCTTTGTAAACCATCTCTCTAAATGCGATCTAAGGCTGCCTTGCCAATCTTCACATTTCTATACTCTTTTGTGGTGTTGCAATTAAGTCACTTCGCAGTTCCCTCACAATTCTCTGATGCTGTCTCAACGTACAAATTACAGGTCATTGAACTTGTAAGCTCAATGCAAGCCCCTTTTTATTGTTTTGTCACTGTCTACCATTAAAACTAAAGTCACATTTTGTCATCCTGAAGTCACAATATGTTTTTTTTTCATTTCTAATCATTGACAACGCCGTAACTTAGGCCCATTCCAGACACTAAAGTTTTCATGAGCTCCACTCCATTCTACTCTGAACTGACCCATAAGAATGCCTGTTGATTCAGGCAATCATAGATTACCAACAGTTTCACCAAACATTTATCATAACTTATGCATTAAGTTTGGCATATGGTGAGCTCAGTTCAGTATTTGAATCAAAGTCCTTCTAAAGTCAAAATCCCCTCCCATCTGAAAAAGTGGCAGAGCCATTACAAACTGAAATTGTTATTCTTAAACTGATTAGATGTCTCACTTTTCATGTTCTGAATTGCCAACAAGAGCAGATGCAAGTCTGAACTAGATCTTACACAACAAGGCAACTACATTTGCAGTTTGGTTGCAAAACTATATGAATTATTGTTGAATCTAATTTGACTTAACAAACACTAGGAGAGGTCATTCACACTAGAGACCAAACACTCAGTTCACAGAGCAATGCAGGGGTAACCAGCTGAGATTTGTGAGGAAGTACTGACAACAACAATACTCTCCGCACCCCCTCCGGCCACATGGACATAGTTGATAGAACCATTCTCTCCAAATTTTGGCACAAGGTCAGCCAAAACCTTCCCAGGACTTCCCTTAACGAAGGACAAATTTCCAGAGAGTGGCACTGCACCAGAGAACACCAGGCTGTCAAACTTAACAAGCACTGGTACATCAAGACCCACCACTGTTCCAGTTAAAGTAGTATCTTTGCCGTCACAGTTGAATGTGATGGACACTGCAGCAGGATATGGGAGACCTACTGTATCCACATGGGTGGACGATACCTGAAATGAGGAACCACAACATCCTAAGAGAAGAATGCAATCAATTTTACCTGATTGCTAATAAAAAAAAAAAAAGGTGTAGCAAAATAACTCTTGAGGTTGCTCAAATATGGCATTGAAAAATACTGTGAAAGATCAGTAAATATCCATTTCCCAAACCAAAAAATACCTTTGACATTTCAGTCTCCAATAACCATTCATTAATATATTCTGGAAACAGAAATTCAACTCAATGCAATAGTATTTATATGAGAAAAGACCCAATTTACAGTTTCAGGATTATAAATAAATGGCACATCTGGTTGTTGTCATAAATAGTACGAGACATGTGTCCCCCTTCCACTCAGATTTGGACCTGATTGATTTGGCAAAGAGAGGGCATAATGTAGGCATACTGTTGCCACTCGTTGATGCATGGCCGTCACATGGGTTACCATATGGGATATCTAAGTTTTTGAGCCAAAACAGTGCTGGCATTCTGGAATGGTGCAATGAGGCCCATGAGTTTTTATGTTGTTCAGTTTTTTTTCTTGATTTTGAACTTAATGTTACCTTAAATACTGTAAGTATTTAGCCTAATTTTTTTTAACGCCTTCATAAAGGAGTTTGGATGAAAAGTTTTGTTTTTCCATGCCTGGTCACCATTGGCGGTAACACATGCTTTTTATCATGATTACTACTTTGTCCAATTCAAACAAGAGGGAGCCTTTATGTCCATGTTAACTGTTTGACTCTTTTGACTCCCATATGAAACCAAGACAGAATTTCTCCTTACAATATCAATACAATATCAAGCAGACAAGGGACAAGAATAAAGAAAAATATCAATCAGGAGATTGTTAGTTGATCCAATACCAAATTCTCCAAAATCATTTCTAAGAATTGTATGGCAGACAGTAAGGAGAATTACTATTGAGAGCCCAGGAGTGAAAGGTTTGAAGTTAACTTGACTCACCTGACATCCCTTCTCCTTGGCCATTACAGAAGAATTCACTAAATTAGCCTCACTTCCCATAATTCCTGATGACACGGCAGCTGTGATGTAGCGTCCAGCAGGTTTCATATCAGCACCATAAGTTGTTACTGTTGCCTTGGCAACTTTTCCCTGAGAGAGGCATGCCGCCACCTTACCCAGTTTTTCTCCCAAGCTTAACCAAGGCTGGGCCTGAGGCTTGAGGGCATCTGCTAAGAATGTGGCATTGACCTGTAACAAAATAATACCCTTGGTTCTTTGAAGGCTTTTTTTGTGTTCTGTAGAAAATTCTGCTCTCAGCCCATGAAAGTTTTCATCTTTATAATCCACAGTTCACATCATGTGATTTTCATATATTCACAGTCTCATTCATCACTTCACACATTTATTTGGAACCAACATAATGACCAGCTCCCAGTTGGCTTGTCAGCTCAGCTGGTGGAGCACTGCACCAGTATTGCAGAAGTCATGGGTTCAAAAGAATCCTGTACAGGCCTGAATTTTTTTCAGGCCTTAATTTCACTACAGTTTAAGAAGTGTTCATTACTGCAAAGATCACTTTCATATTCAGAGTTTTCACTGTATGTAACATTTAGCAATGTCATCCATCCCTCTTTCAATTATTCAATGTATTTTTTCCTTTACTTCTCAATGGCTGCATGAGAACCCACCACATGACATACTGGGGCAGATCAAGGATTTTTTTTTTTAAAGGAGGGTGCACAATGAAGGAATGAGGTCACTGACAGGTGATGCAAAAAAATTTTAAAAGCAAACAATGAAGAAGAATTAGGCTTATGACTAGGATATAACATAATGTGAACTGCTGAGAGTACATAGCAAATAAAAACACAGGTAAAACTGTGAAGCATACTGCACAGTGATAATGGATTGATGTAAGCATATTGTTCTGATGAACATAAATTCTTCAACCTAGTCCCATATTTTATTTCAAAACAACTAAACCACAGTTTTTTTTTTGTTTTTTTGTAGGATACTGGCTATATTAGAAAACTGTTTGTGACATACAGTTTCCTAATTTCTCACCTCAGAGGGGAAGGGGGATTTGCACCACCAGCACCCCTAGATCTGCCCCTGACATTTAAAAACTGCCTACAAATAATGGTCAGTTTGTGCATCAGAGGTTTCAATTAATTCAAGGTACAAATGGGTAGTGTAGAAGAGCAGTCGGGTTGTGTTCTGAGGGTCTGGGGGACCTTCTCTTTCTGAGGATAACTGAACTCTCCTGGGAAATTTTACTTTTACTTCAAGGTAGATTAAAATTTATTTTTAATGTTCCACAAAGTCACCCAATTACAAGAGATATGTCTGTTAAGAGTACAATGACATTTGTAGCCTGCAGGGTAGCCACCAGCACATTACAGACTTTGACATCTACCTGCAAGCCATCTGCTACCCTGGCCCTATTATGACTAAATTACATATTTTGCTACAATTTATCTCAAAAATGAAATATTAACTCACCACACCAAAGAGGGACTTCCCTTGTACAGCATCAACAAACTGCTCAGCTATCTCCTTGGCAACTCTAGTTTGTGCCTCCACTGTGCTGGCACCAAGGTGAGGACAAGCTATGACTTTAGGATGTTGGGCCAGCTGGGCAGACACTCCTACAGACAAAAATTTAACACAAAACTTTTACTCTTTGAAACTTAAAATATACCTTAACTTTTACAGACCTTTTCCAAAAACTTTTTGATATCTTCCATAACCAGTGATTGAGAAGTTGGTTTAAAAGTATAATGAGGAAAGAATCATTCACCAAATTCAAGACATTTCTTTGTTCATTCTTTTCCACAAATAAACAATGGTTACTCATTTTCCACTACTTTTTATAACCTATGCTTGAATGTCGATGACTCTCTGAGTCTGGAAAATGACTGAAAAAAATACATTTTATTTCTATTCAAATTACCCACCTGTTGAACATTGTGATCATATTTTAAGTGACCTGAACCAATATCAGAATTATCACTTTTTTTTTATTAGTAGAAAACTGGAGGTCACAAAAACAAGAACCAAAATCAATGCTCAATTTTCTGTAACTTGTACAAATCCTTTGACCCTTTAACCCTTACGAGTGATAATTAACTATTTTCCTATTTTCCCCTATCTGCAGTATCACCCCTAAAACAAACACCAAGGTCATGAGAATAAAGGAAATGATCACCAGCTTAAAAAACTCTTGATTGTTAAACAAATTCTCCTTGCCAGTACCATAGAAAATGTATAGAGAACAGTATGGAGAATATGTATACTGATGATACAAGTAAAAGGGTTAAGGTGGCTGTGAACCCAAGAGAACCCCCTCCCCATACAAAAAAATTCCAGAGGATGAAGCTTGATAATCTAACTATTACTCTGACATAAACTTGACATGAAGTCAGATCTAACCCATTTATAGTGATCAAAAAGAAAAAGAAATCCATAAAACTGACAAACAATGGAAAGAAAGAAAATTCTCAGTTCTACACTCACCAGTGGGAGGTTCAGTTTCAAACACATCCAGACCTGCTCCACCACACTGCCCTGATTCCAAATTCCTCAGCAGAGAAGCCTCATCAATGATACCACCACGAGCACAGTTGACCACATACACACCTTTTTTACAGAGTGGGAAAGTCTTATCCCCTAAAAGGCCTGCATAAGAAAAAAATAAATATTGATTTTCAATCAATGACTGACAAACATTTTAACAAAAGTAGTTATTTATAAAAGTAACAATAATACTTTTGCTCAGATGAGGGGCTACTGCCAAAAATTTCAGCTTTGAAACCCTTTACAATGGGCAATTTACATCAACAACTCAGTTGATAAAAAAAATTACCAGTATCTTGCTACACTCCCCCACCGATGCAAGACCATTGTTTCTTTAGAAGCTAACCCCTTTTAACAATAATATTGATTTCAATAATTATGATAACAATAATAATAAGAGTAAACAGAATAAGGGAGATGGTAAGTTTTGAGCTTGGTAAAGAACTAGAAAAAGATGTTTACATGGGACAAAGAAAAATTGGAGCATCAGAGCATGGAATCCAAAGGCCTGAGGTTTGATTCCTCATGGGGACTCCGAATTTTTTCTTTCTCCTATGCTTATGACACTTGACAAAAAACATCTTTCCCCAGTGATAAGAGTAATATCTTACACCTGGCTGAAGTAACTGCACTGGATTTTTTTAAGAAAGATAATTTTCCCTCACAATGCTTTTCCCCAAACAAGAATTTAAATTGTTACATGTATAGCAGCAAAGAGAGAATTTAGTATACCATTATCATTATCATTATCATTATTATTATTATTATTATTATTATTATAATTATAATAACTTCTTGATGGCACCTACCCTTTGTTTGTGGTATAAGAGGCGTGTGCACAGTAATGTAATCTGCTTTTGGCCACAGCTGATCCAGTTCCATCCATTCAATGTTATATTTTGCTGACTCTTCAGCAGGAACAATTGGATCATATCCAATGGTCTGTTAAAAGAACACAAAAAAGTGTAGGAAAAATTATGAATTTCATAACTGCTATTAATACAATGATTAGAATCCATATTTAACTTTTATAAAACACCTCATTTGTGAGAGATTTCAATTTACCGGCATTCTGTCACAAATGCTGTAGTCTGATTTGCTACCCTGCTTGCTATTCATTTTCATGACAGGTAATAAGTTAAGTAAGTGGCCTGCCAGTACCTCTTTGTTTAAAAAAAAAAAATTAAACAAAAATGAGCCTGTCTTCATTTATTGTTCAGTTTTGAACAACAAGTTGATCTTGTACTAAAACAATTAAATAGTTTATTTGCTCTTGAATTCTATGCAGGATAGCTGATTTGCCCTTTGCCCTCTTCAACAATCTTGTGATGAAAATACCACCTGTAGGCTGATCAGGTCATTCATCCTCATTACCTGTCTGCTGGGGCCAATTATGGATAATATCAGGAGGAGGTTCATTCTGATTACTTTGAAAGTTTGAAAAAAAAAAACCAAACAAAAGAAAAAAAAGGGAAGAGAAATATTGAATTTAGGATTATCAAGCCCATATCATAATGTATGGAGCATATATCAAAATGAAGTGCACCCATTTGGCCATACTGCCTCCAACGACAAGACATTATAAAGGACTTGCACTTCAAATCTTCACAATTTCTTACCGTCACACCATAGGATTGCATGCGATGAGCAACTTCTCTTCCAATCCTTCCTAATCCTACAATTGCTAACGTCTTGCCAAGTAGTTCGCTTCCCATGTACTGCAAAATGATTATGAAACATAAAGCTAAGATAATTTTTTTTGTTTTTTTTTTTTTCAATATTAGCTGGGATAAAGAGGTTGAACACCAGAAAAACCTCTGAAAGAGCTCTGTTGAAAAGTGTCTTTGAAATACAGTGCTACCTTTGTTTTTGGAATCAGTTAATTTCCTAAGACTGTGTGCTACATTCAGATCTATATACATGCTTCAAAATTTTTCCTACATATTTTCAAGACTTATTTTAGTGACAACCCTGGTAAACCAAACTTCCAGTGGGGGATGTTGATTGGAATTTGTGTTCATTCCATGAGTACAGAAGATCAGGGTGTGGCTCACACTCTTTCATAGCTCCCTAGAGATGCTTCTTTTAAAACAGCTGGTAGGTCAGAGCCACTTTAAACTTATTATTGAGACCATACAGCCTTAATATTGCTTCCTCTTTAGTCAACTTCCACCAAAACACAATGGCAACTATGACTTATTCTCAAGAGCACTTAACCAAAGAGGGCTAGAAATTTAAAATTTGTTCACCTGTACAAGCCAATAAGGCCACCTTTCTTTTCAGATTTAAGTCATCCCCCCTCTCAGACCAAAATGGTAAGCATACCTTCTTCCTGTCCCATTTTCCTGCTTTCATGGAGGCATCTGCCTGAGCTGTATGTCTGTGTCAGGAGAAGAAATGTAATATTCAACCTCCAGACCACCAAAGCATCTTAACTTTAAATTTTTTATATCTCATAGACCATACGTTATTTCCCTTTTTTGGGTATCTTTTTTTAATTGGGTAATAAATAAAGATAACAGATATTAAATGCTAGGCAATTATACAACTTTGGTCATTTTCCTAGCTACAACATCAGATAAATCTGGTTAACATGACCAATCCAGTGGATGTACCAACCTGAATACCCTGAGAAGAATCAACTGTTTTTCTATTTGCTATGATTGATTATCACAAAAATGCATAAACAACATAATTAATGAAACCAAATACCCAAATTACTGCAAAGGTATTTACATCTGCATCATATAGCTTAAAATAGAAAATTCAGCACTGATAACAATTATTTCAAAATTTTGTCCCCGAATGCAAGAAGTTATTAACAATTATATACCTTACTCTGATATTTTTTTTTACACTAGTGTTATGGGAAAATTACTTCAAAGCTTGGATTCTTATCATAGAATTACCCTCTTAATTGTTAACCAAGTTCTTTTACCTTGCAAGGGTGCTGATAAGTACACAAGTCTGTTCAGCGGCACTAATTGTATTGCCTCCTGGTGTGCTAGACAAGATACAAAAAACAATTGTTGAGGGGGCTGTCACTTGACATCTACAAAGCTCCTATGTATCCTTTCGGCTCCTAAAGAGTTGAGCAAAGGTTGTTTATACAGGCTTGATAGAAACTATGGTTGCATAATGTTTGTTGTGCAGGCTAATGGCGAATATTTCTATTTCATATTTAGAAAATGTTACACCGATCATTTGAGGACTAACGTTGTTGTTTAAATAATCCTTGGAAATGCATTGGATGACAAAAAGCATGTGATCCCCCAGCTACTTACAACGATCACACCGTTGTCACAAGGGAAAATAAATAAAAATTTTATGAAAATTTGAATGCGGAAAGATTCATTTGTGAACATAGTCAGAAAATTAAAATCAGTAGACAGAGCTCTTTAGATATATTATTTTATGAAAAGGCAAAGGATGATGTTATGGCTTAACGTGACGTAGTTTTACACCTCAGTAATTCTACGACGGGTTAGTGATTTCACAGACCAGCGAAGTCACATAATCGAGAAATATTACGTTAAACTGAAGCAATCTAACTTTCACCTCTACACTTAAGTATTCCTCTTTCAGTTAAAAGCGACCTCCCAAAACAGACTGGTCATGTCTGCATAGTTTATCTCAAACATCGCCCGAATATTTGCATCTAAGTTTATATTAATGTACAACTTGTACAAGATTTTCAAAATGGTGTGACACGAGTACCTATTACCGACCATCGATGAAATTTTTTTAAAACTAATACAACTTATTGAGATTTAAATGAAAAAAAATTTAACCAAATAACTTCTTACTTCATGACAATAATTCCTTGAAGAGAGGCAGCCGGGATGTCGATGTTGTCAACGCCTGTTCCAGCGCGACCTATAATTTTAAGATTTTTTCCAGCTTTGATCACTTCAGCCGTTACTTTTGTTGCGGATCGGACAATCAGACCGTCATAGTTCTGAAAATAAAGTATAGAATGAACGAAAAAATCCAGACGCGACAAATTTATCAAAATTGGTTGCATAGCGTACAGGAATTTCTGCAAGAAGTTCTTCTTTGGTGAGCTTCGTTTTAAGATCCACGGCGATTCCATTCGCTTCCAGAATGGTTTTACAACAGTTATCCACACTGTCACTGATCAAAACACGCTTAAGATTTAGAGAAAACGCCATCCTGTTTCAACAGTTTGCGAATATGTGCGCTCGATCACTGTGGAAAATTAAATTTTCCACGTGTACACACTTTCCGAATTATGTAGGTGCACCTGCGTGTTGTGATTGGTTGAATTTAGCCGACATCACGTGAAGGTACTTTCCCGCCATTATACGAACACTTTCTCCTAGGACGATCAAACATTCTTCCTCTAATTTTCAGCTATCGTAATTGTACTACATTTATTGGAAAACTTATAAACAATCATAGTTATTATGGGCCGAAAATCATTGCGAAAAAGATCCTACCAAATATGAAAAAATACTGGTTGAAGTCCTAACATTCTGTGAACAAAGTTCACTGATAGCGTGAAAGGTATTTTGCAATACTTCTGAATCTTGTGAACAAAGACGACTTGTCATGACCGAATCGTGCTTTCTATAATTTAGGCTAATCAATGTTTACCACTGCTAGATTTAAGCTTTTAAAGAATTCCTCTTAGATTTAATAAACACAACACTCCATTCTAATCTATTTTCTCAGTATCGTCTTTACAATTGCGAAGTTCTGAGTAGTCCAAAAATTTCTGGTCATCGTGACGCTTCGGTACTCGTGTGATCCCTGGGCCTTCGGTCACGCAATGCTTACTCCGGTCGATATAGACGAGCTTATGGAACTGGGAAGATATAGTGACGATGAAGGCCTGAGTAAATTTTGAGCGGAAAGAAAGAAAGGCACTGGGAAGTCAAAATGTTCCACTAGGAAAAAGGATGCTAGATATTTTCTTTTCGGCGACATGATCTTCTCTCAGCACTATATTTGGCGCAAACATACTTGCGCTCTAACTAATAAAATATACTACTAAATAAACTGAGAGTATTATTGTTCTCTGGAGTCCAATAGGTCTTTTATCACATGAAAAAACGACCCAGTGAGGTAACCACAAAAATTAATACGTAAATAAAAGATAAGGACTGTCCAGTCTTTCAAGACCGCCCAAGGTTTTCAGCCAATCATGAGACAAGTCCACACAGAAGAATTTTGGACCAATCAAAACCTCAAGTCCATTCAAGACCTACCACATGCAAGAAACACGCATTTTGTTACGGGGGGTGGGGGGGTATGGGGGTATGGGGGGGGTACATCACAGCACATTCTAACATTCAAAAAAGTTCATTTTTATTCAACAAAGCATAATAGCACTAAATATAATTATATCTTAAAAATAGAGATTATTTTCAACATCTTTAATAACAATGACAATGTATATAAAGTCAGCATCTCTTCAACTTGGGAGATGATAATGATGATGATGCAACTCTTCCACATTGTTAAAAATAATGATAAAATTAATAAAATAGTTGTTAGATTCATATGTGACATTTTCCTGATTTATTCTTTGGGTTATTTTTAAGACATGTGTGACATGGATTTGTTCTGTAACACGTATGTAACATTGTGCTACCCCATTGGGCAATCACATTTCAAGGTCAAATATTCTTGAGGTTTTCCTCAATCACCAGGTGTCTTTATGTTTACACTACTTGCTTAGTTCCTGCCAGCAATATTTTCTTCTTTTGGATGATCTCCTGTTTGCTTCACTTAAACATGGGAATATTTGTAAGTTTTGTCTATTTGCATTTTGAATTAGCTCTTTAGTAATCCATTAGTTTCTTAAAAATGTTGTAATTTATTTTCTCCTCAAATGAATCACATGTTCTTCACAATCTATTGTTCAAGTGCATTCAGATCACAAGTTGGATGCATACATTAGTTACCTGGTAAATTCGATTATAAAATAACTATCTATCAAATATTTCAATAAGTAATTCTACCAAAACCAAAGTACATATTCTAACAGGTACCAATCAGAAATACTCAATCTCTGAAAAGTACTTTTGTAAGGGAAATTTTTTCAAGCCAAATTTACTCCAGCACCAGGCTGATTGATTCATATTTCTTCATACGAGCTTCGTTTTCGTCCACAAGTCTTCTTACAAAATTGGTATGAAAATTCTACACCATCCTATAACAGAGAAAAATATGTGAGTTTCCATAATAAAAAATCACAGTTTAAAATCAAGTATGAAAAATCCTTATTATGGGCTTAAAATACTATGCATGGCTATTGCCAAGACAACATGGTCAGTTTTACAATAATTGGTGCAAATTGCAAGAGAAAAATAAATGTAAATGCAGGCATCTTTAAAACACCTCTGCTCAGCTGTGTTCTGTAGGAGGACCACTCTATCAGCCACAAGCATAATGTCCCCCTGCCCCCCCTACCCATGGTATGATTGTCCAATAAATCCAGATATCTGAAAAAAGTGGACATTTGACAGCACAAAAACTATTAAAAGATGATAGAATATAATTTTTGTGATATTTTGCAATACTTCAAAGCAAGCCCTCTTGCAGTCATGCCACACACCTTCACAAGCAATGGAAAGTCCATCCAGAAGTTGACATTAGGAATGACCTCTTTTCCAGAGGCTCCCCGATGAAACTTATTGAAAAGAACTCCAGCTACAATATACACTAGAAGTAAGGATCCAAAACTGAAAAAACAAACAAACAAGAAAAAAATCATGGAATGGAATTAACCTTCAGAAACCAAACAGCTGACTGCATTCTAAATCCAAAGAGGTACCTGAAACAGGTGTCTATTAATTTCTACAGCTTTGCAAAGATGGAAGAATCTGTGAGAGTGTAGATTGAATTTGGTCCATCCCAGGATCAAGTGAAATAAAAAATCCCAGCATTTGCCATTTAGCTGAGTAATTTTCTTTGCGCAGTATTTACCTGTCTACCTAAAGGTGATGAAAAGCTGTGAATATGAGTTACCCATAATTGACAAACATATTTCAATTGTTACCCAATTCTACTTACATTATGATTAAGACACTTCCTGTACTCAAACCTGATTTTCTGGGACAGGCATACTTGGAGTGAAGAATGAATGACTGGAAAAGATAAGTTTGAAAGCAAGTTTTGAATAATTATGCAAGTAAAAAATGGTTAGTGACTTTTACCAGCCAAGTCTTGCATCTGTCTTCTCTTTTTACTGTAAAACAAACCTGTATTCAGCTTACACCTCTACTAACCTTTACCCCTTTAACCCTTAAGAATGTAAGAATGACTAACATCTAATTTCTCCTTACAATATTACCACTGAATCACGCATAAAGGTTACGAGAATATAGGAAATGATCACCAACTGAAGAAGTTCTTAATTGCTGAACAAATTCTCCTTAGCAGCACCCTTGGAAATGTATAGAGAACAGTGTGGAGAATATGCATACTGATGTTGGCAGAAGTGCAAAGGATTCACATTTTATGGCAGCATTGTCTGCAAATGTTTGAAGTATAAACACTAGGTAATAAAAATGGAACAGATTGCTACATGTCTGCAAATACAAGTCACCAAATTTGGGACAACTCCTACAAATTTAGCCCACAAAATTTATTTTTTCTATTTGCTATGGCAAGCAAAGTGATAATGGCTTTAAAACTTGACCTTTTGTGGGTGAACATTAAACCCTGAATGCCTCTTTGTAAGAAGAATTTGTTTGACAAGCAGGAGCTTATTATATTGGTGATCATTTTTCGAAATTTTCATGACCTCTACATTTGATTTTAGAGTTATACTATAAGGACAAATTAGACATCTGTCACTTTTTGAGGTTAAAAGGTTGAAGCAAACTTCACTGCACTAAACTTACAAAATGAGCAGAATCATCCACTTTCTTTGGGGGACCAACAGACTCCAGCCGGCCCTCTTCAGCTGAATCACATTGCAAAGTGATGAAGGTTTTAGGGCTAACAAAAAGCAAAGGAGTTATTATAATAGATACAAGTTTTTATTCGTCAAATCTGTAATTATTTCTTAACATACTGTGTAGAAGTATTTTCCTTTCTTTCTTTTCAAAACCTGCTGTAAGGAAACAACCCCTTTAGCTTTACCAACAAACTCAGAGTCATTATATTTTGATGTAAAATAGCCAAAATATAGGTGTTGTAGATGAGAGTATGCAGGATGCCACAACATAGCAGTTAGAGCATTGGACTCGGTGTTGTAATCTCCCATTGCAAGACCTGACCACATCATCATGCTGTGCTCTTGGGCAAGACATTTAACCCTTTAACTCCCATGAGTGACTAAGACAGAATTTCTCCTTAAAAAAAATATCAATACAATATCAAGCAGACAAGTGATGAGAATGACGAAAAATATCAGTTAGGGGACTATAAGTTGATCCAATATGAAATTCTCAAAACTAACATCACAAGAACTGTATGGCAGACAGTAAGGAGAATTACTAATGAGATCTTGGGAGTTGAAGGGTTAACTCTCACAGTGCCTCTCTTTACCAAGGAGCATGAATGAGTACTTGCAAAATACATCAAGAATTCCCAACAAAATGTTAGGGGTTGACCTATGGATGGACTACCATCCCATCCTGGGAGAATATTAGTGAGTATTCTTAGCTGCTACATACAGGACTAAGGCTCTGATGGCAGGATAACCAGCTAACTAACATGCAGACATGTTTAGAGTCTAAGAATAATGGGGAGGAAGAGACTCTACAATAACCAAGCCTTTTCACAAAAAAAATTATTTCACTTCTATAATAGCTGCAGTATTTCATCATATTATAGTCAGTTCAAAATACCTTGCTTTTGTTACAAGAAAAAACTTTCCTGTAAATGATAAAACACATTTCCCTGCTGTTAAGTTAAATTCTGCGGTCTCTTGTTCACCAATATCAAAATCCTCAGGAGAAGTTGGTGCCACTGTACAGCAAACCTAACAATGAAATTCCATGATAGGTTTCTTAAAAATATATTTGCAACTCTCCAACTGGGTTGTACATATCTACAGGCAGCAGGTAGCCTTTGACTTAACAAACTTTTGTCAGTTTCTTCACTTGTCAACTCAAGATAGCACCTGGACAGAGTTTAGGCAGTTTCATGGCCCCAGTACCCACCACATGTGGCCAACCTGAAGCTCAAAGCCTACTTCACAGCAACTTTCCTCACTCTCTGAGGCCCATTTGATGGCTTATATATCTCAGGAAATATTGGAGTTGCCTTTGAAACAAGATGAACATTTACAGGCTTCTATGCTACTTATTAATAAATCATATTTACTTCATGACTGGATGACTAGCATTGTTTGTTGAGTTATGTCTGCTAAGTTATAGGGTTTCACCATGAAAAACTTGTACTCTGGACAATGGTGATCTTTATTTGAATTTGGTGACCTTTATTTAAACATGTTAACCATGCAGTAGGCTTTAAGCCACTAATTTCTGGGCTGCTAAGGTGTGAATTGAACTAATGACTTAAAGCTGCTGGCTACAAGTGTAGGGGTCACAGGCTGCCATTGATGAGGTTATGTATTGGTTGCAAGGCATGTGCCTTGGGTCATAGGACATAGACCACTTAGCTGCAGGCCTACTTAGAGTTTTAAGATTCCATATAGCCATTTAAATTTCTGACAAACTTCTAGAGTTGTCTACAGCACCAGGTTGTGTAATGAGTTAGGATCTTAGCAGATCTGCTATTTCAGGCTTAGGCAGTAAACAGTGTTGTGAATATCTCGATAAATATAAATCTAGACGTTCACAACTGAGAGGTCTGGACTGGATACAGGCAGTTGACATAATTATTAGTTTTTTCCTAGATTAAGCAATTTGTTCAGCAAATAAGTCATAAGACTTGGATAGAACAAATGGCTATGCACTACATTAATGCGTTCTAGTTACAAGATTACTTTAGTATAGTACCATTTAGGTATTTGTGCACATGTTATTGGCAATCAAGCAAGCAAGCAACAAGTTCATTTCTAGCCTCTAAGAAAATTTTAGCTTCCTTCTCACCCACACCACAGACAGTTTTGATTTTTTTTTTATATTTCATTGGTGTTTGTAATTTATTCCTGATTAATGAACTGTTGCTTAAGTGTAGCCATCAAACACCTTTCATATAATAGTCTAGTGTTTTATGTATGCAGGATATATATATATATTTAATAAACTGTCTGGTCCCAAAACAAGCCTCTGTCAGTTGTGGTGTTTAGTTGGATATTCCTAAGTGCCTAAATGGTCCAGGTGTTACTGGTAGTTCTGTTTTGAATTCTTCATGCATATGTCTCACATGGATAGCTTCATTCAAAATCCCAGCCCTGACATCATGTTATATTTGAGGATACAGCTGGCATAGGGATCAACAAACAACATGATTCTATAGCATTAGTAATCAAACAATGCCAGTATTTATGGCTGGTGTTATTACCATACATGACAACCACATGATGCCAAATCCAACATAAACACTGTGGCTGACTTACAGCTATGTTTTTACAATCCTTGTATTGGGAACTTGGAGATGAAGATTTGGTCCACTTGTTACAGGGATTCCAAGAAACTGTCATACCTTCAGCACCTTTAATAGCAACATCCTTAAACCTATGAGAAAAAGAATTTCCTTTAAATCATAGTATTTTACATTGCTAATCAAGCATTATAAGATATTGACTGCCACTTACTATATTCCTCCTCTACCTAGCACTCTCACAGTAAATGACCTCATTGCTTTCACCATTATGCAACCAAATAACTTGATCTTTCAATTTCTTCCATGCCATCAAGTACAGATACATAGCCCCTATCCCAACCCCAACCAAGGATGACATGAATCCTAACTCTCAATTCTTTTTTGGTAGCTAGGTGCCCTTTGAAAAATAAAATGAAAATTAATTCTTGGGATACCTTCCGAAAAAAACAAGAACCTAAGGATTCAAGTTGTAAGCTTCTTTGAAGAAAAGTTTCGAACCTCTTTCGAAAAAAAAAAATCGCTAGGAGAGGTGAGAAAGTAAAATTGGAACGCCCCCACAAACTGCCATATTTTCAGGTTTTCATCAGTGATAAGAATATTCCTATGTAGAGCAACACAAAGAGCTGAAAGGAGCAAAATAAATCATTCGTAGAAGTATCACAACCCTCTTTCCTTTTAATCACTCTTAACCAATGCAATGCAACGAACGTTCGTTCCGCGAGCCTTCCCAAGACAGCAAGGGAAAATGCCCTCTCTCGACTTAAATTCTGTAAATCTCCAAACGTAAACAACATCAATGATAACTTTTTATGCATATGATATTACTCAAAAAAATCGCGTACGATGGGTCAATCTACGTTTCTATTTTTGAACCATCATGGATAACAATTACATCTGTTGCCATACCTGGGTGCGCTGCTGGAAGGAAGAGATAACTTCGACAAATCAATAGTTCCTTCATCAGTCGAACATTTACAATCATTTTCTTTTATACATTGACTTAAAGTCCGCACCACTATTGGAACATGGATATAGACAATGCATATAGAAATCCAACTACTCTCTGAGACCCACATGTGTGCCTGGAACATTACAGAGACAATATATTACGATTACACCACAAACTACCGCTGTCCTAGTTTTTCTTTTTCAATCAATCTTTCCCATGCCCTCCTCGTCCAATTTTAATACTTCTCAATGAAAGTGCTGAAGCAATCAGATTCCGATAAGAACCCGCGACATCGAGTCGAAACAACGCCACTCTGTGTCTGGCTGCTCTTTTGGTAATACTATTGTTAATCTTTTTAGTGATTTAAAAAGTGAAGGCGATTGGGTGTTCTTTTACACTTTGCGTCACTTGATTTGCTTTTGTCACGCTAGAAGTCTTTGTCACGAACATGAAAATTTGGTGAATAAAGGTAAGTGAAAGTTGGCTTTTTCCAGTCATTTATGAAACCTTCCACGTGCTGATAGTCACATCTATCTTGTTGAATATGTCACTTCTTCAATCGATCGAATGGTGAGAAACTTTTCAGGACCGCTGTCATTGAACAATTCAATTAATTTATTTCTAGTATAATGCATTGCAAGGAAGGTTAATTTCCTTCTGAAAAACAGAAAAATGACATCATCAGATTCGCTTTCAGAGCAGTTTCTTCAGTGTACTTCAACCAAATGTTCACACATAAATTTGTGAAAAACGAGTGGTAGTTGATGACTTTGATCATCGATAAAACGCACCGTCGTGAGATTCAAAGTTGTGGTAAAAGTAATCTTGACTTTAATTTATTTGTTTTCTTAAAGATGAAATATATATTTAACGCGTTTTACCACCGACCATTTGGTTATTTTCTGAAACAAAAACAAGGATTTTCATGGAAAGGGTTCACCTGTCAGTAACTTTGAATACCCCAATGCCTAGTTAGATTAGTTGCAGCTTTTTAGCTAATTGAACTTCACACTGGTTTTGCTTGTGTCTGCTATCACTTAAGTTGATGAGGGCATTTAAAACATGATAATCGTATGTAGTAATGAGCCATTAAAATAATGAAAATAATGATGATGATGATGATGATGATGATGATGATGACAGTAGTAACAGTCTGTGGAGCCAAGAAGCTTGCCTAATGAGAGAATTAGGAGTGCCAAATAAGGTGGCTGTGCAGTTACACCTGGAGATGTATGGAAAGGGATAGAGTGGACCAACAATTTGTTTGTCCTTCAACCTTTATCCAGTCTCAAAGAATGAAAAGAAGTGGTTGTCAGGGTAACCCAAGTCACTGCTATTTACACAAACAAAGGGCTGAAACAAAATTGGCAAGAGGTTATTCTCAGTGCACATATTTAAGAATATGTAAATGAATGCTTCTTTCCTTAAATCAGGATTATCTAGATTGTTATACTCCCTAATGGCATGAGTAAATAATATCTGTTGGGGTATTATTGCATCAGTATTTTAAATTGGTCTTAATCTGATATACAATTCTCTTCCTTGAAGGTGCACAACTTTCTTAGAAGTATCCAGTTGACTCTGAAGTGTTGAGAATCCTAATTTCATTGTTCTAAATATGGAAAAGGAAGACGTACTTGATGACAAGAGTTCAACAGCTTTTAAAATCAACTGGTCCTCTTCAAACATTCCTTCTAACTTTGTAGTGAACAATACACTGCCTCCAAGTCTGGCACACAGCTACTCACACCAAACATTACTAGGCCATGGTCAGCAGTTTTCCAAGAAACTACTGCCGTCTAGAACAAAATTTCGAACACATGCCACTGTTAAGGTTTCACCGATGGGACATGATCATTTGGCAGAGAGGAAACTTAGAGACTCAGTACAAAAATCTGATACAAGCACATTGTTTGAGCTGATCAACAAGGGTGTAAATGTGTCTGGTGCTGACTCAAAACATAGAACTGCTCTTCATTTTGCTGCAGCACAAGGAAATGCTCAAACCCTAAAGGTTCTACTTGAAAATGGAGCCAATCCTAATGCAAAAGATCTTAATGGAAATACACCTCTTCATCTGGCTGCTTGTACAAATCAGGTTAAAATAGTGACCCTCCTACTACAAGCAGGGAGTGACGTCAATGCTTCTGACTTCAGTGGAAAAACTCCACTTGACCTTGCAAACTCCAGGTTAAGAATTCTTTATGGTAATCAGAACATCAGAGGAAAGCCATCAATTTATTGTGAGGAAGTGAAGCAAGTTATAGAGATGATTAAGGCATACATGTCAAGACTTGGAAATACAAAGGCAGAAGAAACACTGGATCAACTTTGTAGCATGCTCGGAGATTCTACCACTACAGAAGAGGTTTGTAAAATTGTAGCAATGGTTGAATATAGCTGGGTGCATTTATTTCCTTTTTTTTTTTTTTGCGCCAATTAAGACATGTTGTGTGGTGTTAAAGGAGTTTCTATCATCATTTTTGACTTTACCACATTCATGTTGCAGTTGCCATGTTGATTTGAGTATGGTCCCTTTTGTTAGTGTGAGGTTACTTCTAAAAAAGAGTGTTGTCAGTGATCGTGATTGTGTTTTAATCAACAACTTGAGTAGAAGTCATTAACAGAGTCAAGATAAGGTTATCAAAATGTCAGTGACAATCACTCGTGACAGTCTATTTCAGCATTACTTTTACCTGGATGATAAGACTACACCACTAGAGTTCAATTGTCCAATAAAATTTTTTGATTTAATCATCAAACTTTTTGTGAAAGGCAAGATCAGGGACAGGTTTGGAGCACAGAGAGCAGTCAAATGTTCATGGGTTGCCAAGGGGGGAATGTTAAAGCTTTGAATTGATCAGTGATCAGGGCATAAGAAAAACATTGGGCCACAGTGTCGCTGATACTTTTTTATGGAGATGTTTCATCTCACAACTCTTACTGGATACTCCTTGCAGGTTGATGAAGTTCACTCTTTGCTGGCTAGTTTTACTGCAATGAATCTTTCACACAGTGCTGAAGACAGGAAATAGGATTATCAATTGAAAGTAATATCAATTTTTAATCCATTAAGAACAGGAATTTAGAATTCATTTTCTAACCCACAGCAGGCAAAACATTACTTCTGGAGTTTGAATTTTGTTAAATTTCAAAGTTTTGCCTGCTCATGAAACTGAGTTATGAATGGAGATTGCATTCTGTTACCACTAATCCTTTAACTCCCATCAGTGATCAAAACAGAATTACTCTTTACAACATCAATACAATATCATGCAGGCAAGTGATGGGAATACAGAAATATATCAATTAACCCTTTACACCCTAACATCAGTATTCATATTCTCCATACGGTTCTCTATACATTTGATAAGGTGCTGACAAGGAGAATTTGTTTCACAATCAAGAGTTCCTTTAGTTGGTGATCATTTCCTTTATTCTCATGACATTCATGTGTGATTCAGTAGTGATGATGATAAGAGAAATTAGATTTTAGTCACTCTTAGGGGTTAAAGGGTTAAGGGATTATAAGTTGATCCATTATCAAATTCTCCCAACTAATATTGTAAGAATTGTATGGCAGACAGAACAGGAAATTGCCAACGAGATCTGGGGGTGAAAGGGTTAAATATGGTGGTAAAAGGTATATTAGAAATAAAAAAGATAAAAAAATACAAAAAAAACATTTCTAAGGGCTATTCAATGGTGCCACTCATTTATTTGTCTTTAAGAAACACAGAGTAACATTTTTTGCAGCTTTGTAGATTTAAATAGTGCTGATGTAGTAAATCTTGAAATACAAAAGTATAAAAGGAAAAAAAGGTTAAATACAGTTATTAGGTTAAAACAAACAAGCTTGTGTATCAGTAAAGTTTAATCCAGGTAAAGTTCAACAGTGGTAAACTTCCAGTCCTCTTCAATGCTGCTGTTTGCTTCCTCAAGGTCACAAAGCTGTCCTTTCTCCTCCTTCATCTTTTCCTTCAGGTAATCCTCCAAACCAAATAAAGTAGAAAGAGTACTCTCATTTGCAGCAATGCTGGTTTCTCCTTTGGTAAACCCACATGATTGCCGCCTTTGCTCCTTCAGTTTGTCCTTGAGATAATCTTCCAGGTCAACAACTGTAGAGTGGCCACTCTCGTCTGTGTCAAAGCTATCCTCACAAAACCAACCAGATTTTTGCTTCCATTCCTTGGTGGGATTAACCACAGTAGGCAGACCTGTCTGTTCTTCTCCACTGCTACCATCCTCACTGGTAAACCCTCCCGATTGCGGTCGTGGTTTCTTTTTTTGGGGTTTGGGTCTCTCAGTATGTCTGGTCTGTTTTGCATTCTCATCCTCATCAGAACTTGAGGTGTTGGTGTTTGCTTCAGGGATTGCTCTGGACTTGCGTCTTCTCTTTCTCATACTCTCTGTCAAAAGAGTTTTGGTCTCTAACTCTCCAGCTTCCATTTTGTCCATTTCATCGTCTGTGGAACCGCGCTCCCAAAAGTCCCTAAAAAGAAACACAGTGATTCTAACTAAATACCAAAGCTTAAAATGACAGCTTCTTTATACCTTTCCAAATGTCTCATAGCCCAAAAGCCTTGAGAAGGAACTATTATATAATACTGGCAATTTGTGGATTCATTAAAGTCCTATCCAAACGAGTAAGGCTCTAGTTGGAGAGTTTCGAGACCATTGCATTCAAAACTTTATACAAGCCAAGAAACTTTCCATGACTTACTTAAGGGTGCTCATTGCTAATATTGCTTATAATACATATGGCGGTTTTGCGATTGCACAAGATGCAGGCTTATGCAAATTGAAAACCTATCATATCATCAGAAGTGACAATCATGAAATCGCTGGCAGTTCATACAATTTTTTTATTATTCTCAGAAAATTCATTTTCGTGGGGTTACTTGGTTACTTGTGAGTGTCATAGCACACTTTTGAGCAGTTTGGAAAATGCTCAGAGGTTTTCTATGCATGGACTGTCTCATGGTTTATCTTAAAAAAAAGTCACTTAGAAACTGGCATATACAGTACACTCTTAACTCTTTAACTCTCATGAGTGACCAAGAAAGAATTTCTCCTTACAATGTTAATACAATATCAACCAGATAAGTGATGAGAATAAAGAAAAATATCAATTTGTGGATAATTAGTTGATCCAATACCAAATTCTCTGAACTAACATCATAAGAATTGTATGGTTGACAGTAAGGAGAATTACAAATTGGATCTGGGAGTTAAGGGGTTAAGAGCTTACTTTTGAGAGAATGCAATGCAGAAATCCTGCACTACACTTTGAAACCTCTCTATGCATTGTCAATTGACTGGTCAAGAGCTATAAGAAAAATGTTAGCAAATAATAAAAAGTTTCACTTACGTGATCATGTCAACAAGTTTTTCCCCATATATTTTCATGATAGACAAGACCACTGCTATGAAAAGTAACACCATGATTACCATAAGAATTATCACAACTGCAGGAGATGACAGGCCTGAGTTGGCTTTGGAACTGTGAATTAAAAAGCGAGCCTGAGCTGCTGTTGCTGTAGAGGAAAAGAGATAACCATTGTGAAATATTACATCCATTGTATACACAGATTATAGTTATAGATTATATACTCAGAGAACAGCAAATATACAATTGAGTCATTCATTTTGTCCAATTTGGTCCTGGACTGCTCTATAAAGATTAACACAAACATGTCTTTGTTCTGCATTGTTTTCATAGGAAGAAAATGTTTCTCTTTTTGTGACACTTATCTTTTTAATTCTCTGATAGTAGGACTATACAATAATATGTGTTATTCTGTCTTTTTTAACCATAAATTTAAAACTTGAATTCAGACTTAAAATTTCTTTGTGAGTATGGCAAAGTCAATAATTATTACAATCGATAATTTGATCAACTGATCCAGTATACACGCAGATGAAGATGGGTCTTGATCTGGGCAAATATGTTCAGGGTAAATGTCTTGAACTTGGAAGAACAGTTAATAATTGTGTTGTGCATTCATTAAGGCGAGAGTCATCCTAATTAAAAACCCATAATTTCTCATCTGAGGTCAAAGTACCACTTATTAAGATCATTTTATTTTAGTTATGAGTAAGGTTTTTTATTCTTACTATTTCTGTAGTAAAGAGGCTTCTTTCCTTTCATTTCTGGTGGACCAAAACATTTTATTTTTCCTCCATCAAAGTTGTCAAGATGTTGATTTTTTTCAATGAGATCAATCAACTCATTTTGCAGGACTTCCAGAGAAGATGTGTTACATGACCAAGGATTTTTGTCAATGTACCTACAAGGAAAGTCATTCATTTTAAGCCAACTGATAGGGTTGCAAATTCTGTCATCTAAAATGCCAGGTGACAAGAGCTAAAACCCGATTAATATCAAAGATGAGCTACAAGCTCCTTCCTTTTCAGAGGAGTCCATCGCGCGAATTAAAAAAGAACCAAAAAAAAAAAAAAGAAAAAGAAAAAGGTGTTTGCTCCACTTTTCGTGCGCCTCACTTCCAGAGTTCCGAACGGCGCGCAAACATAATTTTGCAAACTCACTTATAAAAAATCCACCCATAAGACAAATTAATAATTAATATATGCTGGTTTGCCATTTGCACACACATATTTTTACCAATGCAAACCAATATTGAGCAGAACTCTTTGGTTTGCTAAAAGACTACGAGCAGTTCCATTGTTTCGAAATCGAAGGTTAAGTCTGCAAAAATCTGGGTAACGAAAAAAACTTACGTAAACGTGTACGCGCCGCGCAGGACTCTGGGTCAGAGAGTGAGACGCGCATAAAGTAGTGACTCTACTTTCGCGCGCTTCCCTTCCCTAAATTTATTTATTTACTTTTAAAATACTCACAATCTCCTTATTGTCCCCATCTCACTGAATAAACCCCGTTCAACATCTTTCAGTTCGTTTCCTCTTAAATCCCTGAAAGTTGTAAATTAAACATCGCACATTGAAACATCCTGATTTGTAATTTACCCCCTTTCACATAGATGCATGCAGCCATATTGAATGTACAGCTCAGATTGGCCTGATTTTGGAAATATTTGCAAAGTGAAGAAAATCGATAAATATATACACAGGACGTCGTTCTTAATGACAGGGTACCGATGACTGATTTAATGAGGAAAAAAACCCTTGATGCAAAGTGCTCCCAAAAAAGATCTTCGCGATCACTGCGTTATTGAAAGCAGCCCCTCCTTTTCACCGAAATCCGCCAGGCGATCAAAAAAATCTTGGCAAAAAAATTAATGTCTGCGCGCTGTGCGGAATTCTGGGAGCAAGACGCACGACTTCTTTTCGTGCACCTCAATCCCATTTGTTTTCATTTTATCATCTTTTTACACTGATTTTTTTGTCTCGCTAGACAGACCTCAGCGAAAAGGGGGGACTACTCATAACCTTTATGGCCACAGTCCCTTTCCCCCATCTCTCCCTCTTGCCTTTTCTTCCCATCCCCCCTCTCCCCGTGCGCTGGACCAACTCGACTGCAGCTTATGCATAACTTGTCATGGCTCTAAGTCTTAATATTGTTAACTGCATGCTTTGAGTGTTAAGTTCGGTTAACGGTTTTTTTTTTCGGTGTTTCATATCAGAACGATCCGTCAATAGTCTCAATCTTGACTTAAATTTTTGTTGTCGGCGTCTCATACTTTCTGGTTCCTTCGATAAAACGTAAATGATTCAGTTAAAAGCCAAGTCATCATTAGAGGATGCGCACCCAGACTTTGCCGCGCTTGGCCCCGCGATTGGCCTTCAAAACTGGCGTTCCTCTCTCAACCAATCAGATGTAGCTCTCTTTTTTCCGCCCTTTTGTCAGTTTACTTGATTTTATGTTATGTGCATTGGCCCTTTGTGATGTCTCTTTCGTTGTGTCAAAGTTGGTTTTGGTTTCAGAACACTCACTGTCTCAATTGAAATGCGCTCTATTTATTCCAGGTAAGAGCGCTTTTCATTTTGAGTGCTGTATGTTTTAAAACCAAATCCAAAGTAATTACAAAAGCTAATAAGAGCGAAGGTAACCTGAAGCGCGAGAAAAAGTGAACGACTAAGGTAAAAATTGATCTAAGATTTTCTTCCACATTACTCACAAATATTGCAAATTCTCGTATGCCTTCAAACTTTCCTTTCTTATCTTCTTGATGTACCCGTCAGATAAGTCTCTGAGGAGAGAGCGCGATTCGTTAGGAAAACGAGTAAAAGCAGGGAAGAGAGACAAATAAAAAAACCTTTTGCAAAAACAACATTACTTACAACCACTTGACACGAGCAGCAAAGGCAAAGTCAGGAAATTCAGTCATCCCGGGACATGTAACTCCGAAAAAAGAGGAACTGCAGCGACAGGGACTTGGACATTCAAACTTTTCAGCCGTGACGGGTAGAAAACCATTCGTTGCTATTACAAAAGCAAAGAATAATATAATTTTACCCACAGACATCTTGCCTCGTTGAAGATTTCAATCGAAGTAAATTGAACGTCATAATCGTCGACCGTTCATGCAGACTGCGTTGCGCGCGCGAGCTGGAAATTTGCGCAAAATTTCTTACTGCACATACTCGATGAATTCCAATCTAGTGTTCCAATAGACGATATATTACTCAGATTATAAGAAGTTAGCGCGCAATAAAGGTTATTCTGATTTTCTAAACTCTTTTATACGGCATTAAACAGGGTGAGATTCCTTCTTGAAAATGACATGATAGGTTTGTGAGCTTGTATCAGCAATTAATGAGATGTAGAATATGCCGCATAAAGCAAGTGGGAGGACTTTTAAAAGAAAGCTAAAAAAACCGAAAAAATTGCGTTATGTTTCGTAAACTTCGAGAATCTAATGAGCTGGGCCGTGTGAAAATTTGCCGTATGTTCGATACAAGCGGTCCCATTTAAAGATAGTACAAGTTGTAACCAGTGCTGTAGTAGAGAGGGCCCAGGGGGCCCGGACCCCCTTTATTTTGGGTAACAAAAAAAGGGAATTGCAGAAGGAAGAAAAGCCGCTCTTCCGCCCCCTCCCCTCCCCCGTAGCTCAAGGTCTGGATCCACCACTGGTAACTGATTATAAGGTTTTGTGACAACCTCCTCCTGCACCATAATATCAAATTATGAAGGACGGGGTAATCTAGTGTTATCAACTAAGTTGAAAACGTAAATGAGCAATGGGAAGGGATAACGCTCGAAACGTCAATCTTTAAACTCTTTACGGTGGCAAATTTACGTTTTTAACTCAGTTGATAACATTAAATTACACTATTGTATTCTCCAACCAACGCAGCACCACAGTTTCTTTAGAAACTTACCCCCTTTATTTATAAGAAGGACAATAAATTCTGTAAATCATCCGAGCTTTATCTGTTTTTTTATCGGTTGAAGTACTTCTATTTGTGCAAAAACTAACACTGGTAAATCGTTAGCGGCCGAACTTGTTGATGCATCATTTTTGTTTAGTTTGTAGCACTGGTTTGAGCGTTGTCAGGTGAGCAAAGGTGTGCACGGGGCGAGCACGTGGTTGCATGAAGAGTGAGTACTTAACTGTTTATCCTTCTTTTTAGGTAATTATGCATTGCATGTCTATATTTCTGCTCTAGCGCTGAGCGTATGTTTTCAAATTATTTTGTTTATAGAAAAAAACTGGTGAAACTCTCACGAAATAGATGACGAGTAACGTAGCCAATCAGATTAGAAAGCTTATGGTTTTATACTAATAATGTATTTAGTAAAAAAAGTCGTCAGCTTCCAAACGTATTTGTTTTTTCTCACCGAAATGCAATATGAGCATTACAATTTAAGAGGCAAATTCCTCGTTCGTGGTTAAACACAGGAAAGTATCGTTAAGAAAGCGCGAGATATTTGGATCTAAGTACGCACTATGCCCAGCTTTTACGCTTTCATGCAGGAAAACTTCACGATTCGTGTTGGGTGGCGTATGTAACTCCTGCGCAAGCTCATTACGGAACCGCTCTGTTTGGGCATGGGTTTCTTGTCGCTTTCCGCTGGACATCGGGAACCGTATGGGGGAGGGGGTAGGGGGTAGGGGGTAGAGGAGGGGTTGATGTTCCTCGTGTGTTCCTTTGTTTTAAGGACGAGCTACAGAATACATTGGAACAATCATTGAGAAGGTTGATGAGTCCTCTCCACACCACAACTTATAACGAAAAGTACACAGAGCGGGAATATCAACCGACATTTAATTACATCAGATGAAGCTGGCTAGGCAAAAATTTCATTGCCAGTTTAAGTTTCAACAAAGTTTGAAAATGTAAAAAACCTTATAAAATAAACAAATGAACAAATAAACAAACAAGCAAGACTCACAACATCTACAAGAACAACAACAATTAGGAGGCGAGCCAATAGTACTAAAAATATATTGTTAAGAAAACGAATACAAAAATAGCCTAGTAAAATGTACTTCCAAACTTCAGATAACAAAATTGAAATATCGAGACAAACTGTTTCCGTATCAAAATAACAGTAATAAATAAAGCACTGCCAAAGGTAAGCACTTGGCCACTTTGAGTTTAAAATTTATCTTAAGGTCAAAATTTACTTGAAAATTTTTATCGTCAGTATACTTTCTACAACTCCAAACTAAACTCACAACCTTAGAATTTCAAGAACTTAGGCACTAGGCATGCGCAAAGGATGAACCCAGATGGTACTGTCGACAAGAGGGAACTTGTGCGCATGCATTAGATCTTTATTTTACCCTTCAATCAGGAGGACCTTCGTCAATCCATCAAACATAAAATAAAGGCAGCCGATCGTAAAAACATTCCTCCCATATTAAGATATTCACAGCTAAAGTTTTCCTCTCCATAATTGAGGTTTTCTTCTCTCATTTTCCCCCATAAGTGGGATTTTGGAAAGTAGTGGTCGCCTGCTTGAAGATTGGATTCTCTCCCTGTAAAGCAAAGGAAAAGTCTGAAATTGCGCTTATGAGGACTAAAGAATTCCCTACGGGTGAACCATCGGAATTCCAAGGGGGGAGGGGGTGTCAGAATAATTTCGCTCGAAGGGTTCTGTATTAAACGTTCCTCGCCATTGTTTCCCCTCAAAGGTCAAATGAACTGATTGCCAGTAAAGAGGTTAACAGCTGACGTTTCGAGTTTAAAGGCTGACGTTTCGCTCTGACGAACGGCTAACGCTCGAAACTTCAGCCTTTAAACTCTTTACGGTGGCCAATTTACGTTTTCAACTCAGTTGATAATACTAAATTACCCTGTTCTACTCTCCCACCGACGCAGTACCACAGTTTCCTTAGAAACTTACCCCCTTTATAATTGTAAATAAGGATTGGTGCCTTTTGCCAATTGCTATCGTGAGATATACCAAACCAGGAAACACAAAGTGACCTCTTGCTGAAGAAAAAATCATTCAAAACTAAAATACCACAAAATAGGGCTTTTTTACGGATTCAAACCTGTCAAAATGGTCACTAGGTGAAAAAAAAAATAAATTCCACTTACTGTGTCCCACTGTGCATTCTGTCTTTCTTTCTCAAACTTGGCGAATTCTCGTCGGTCCTGTAAAATCAAAGTTCAGGTATGTAAGGAGCTAACTCGAGTGTAACTCTACCTTCAGCAAAAAGGGGGTTACATATATTTCAGCTTGCTATGATAGAAAACGCATGAGAGGCAATCATAAACCAAGAAGGAACAAGACTGATAAAAGTGGATGAAGAAGATTAGAACAGACTGCAGATGACAAACTTGAAAAAAAAATTAGGATAAATATGTCGAGATGCAAAACTCGAGAAAAAGGTCCCAAAACGGAAATGGCACTGAAAAATAATATATCTGTTTAGAGATCTACATTTACTTAACAACGCCGAAAATGGGCCACTTTCTATTCTCTTGCAAAAGACTAACGCGTTGTCTCCGTCGAGACTGACAGCCTTACATCAAGGCGCCTAAACTTGGGAGTAGTCTTCATACCTGGATCGTAGCGAGTAACTTCCATATAAGGAGCAGAGCTAGACCCACACCCAGTACTCCTCCGACAACACCCAGTATAACAGCAAGTGCTTCGGCTTCCTTGGGACAAACTTGCGAAAGAAGGAAAAACAAGCTGAAGGAACTGGTGTGTGAACAAATGCTGTGGTTTAACCTTAGAGAATTTTAACAATTGAGAGTTTAAATGTAGGTAATAACATGATTTCGCGTGCAATTTGGTGTAAATAAGCACGAGTTAATTTTTCAAAGACAACAAAATTACACAAGCCCGTAGAGCGAGTGCAATTTGTTTTTTTTTTTTTTGAGAAATCACGTTATTACTTTTTAATAATGTACTTGGAAAAACATCACAGAATGTTACAAATTTGCACACGCGTTAAAAGAGAATACACTCGTTTTCAGCCAATCAGAAGCGCGTAATTTTTTTCATGTAGGTTATTACTGAAGGAAAGCGGGATTGCACTGGTTTTGCTTTACTCCGCTCCGTATCCCTCTCAACCAATCGTATCAAGCACTGATTCGATAATTTTAGTTAACGTATAACTCATGGACCTAAACACGAAAAAGCTACAAGCATCCAAATATACTCCACCATAACGTTGGAGTCCGAGTTTGGGTATACACAATGTCTGGGCATATATTTAGCGAGACCACCACTGTACCTTTCTCCTTCTGGACGGATATAAGCACATCCTTGCCAGGGTTCTCTTTGTAGCTGAAGCTGAACGAACAGTCATCATCGTCCTTAAATGTGCACCTTTCTCCCATTTCTGTTGAACAATACAACAAAAAACGATCTCGTTCGTCAAAATAATGATTGGAACTACGTGAGAACATGCTCTATTGTCTCAGCCAGTAGAGCCTCAGAAGTGAAGAGAAATCTTAAATCAAATCATTGAGATACCGAAGTCGAAACTGAATTCTCCTTGTCTGCACCAAGGAAATGTATAGAGAACAGTATGGCGAATATGCATACTGATGTTAGGGTGTAAAGGGTTAACTCTTACCAGGAGAAAGTTCATCGACTTGACTGATCTTGAAATCTTTGCAGCGAGTACTGCAGTCCTCGGCTTTGATTGCGCCACTCTTGAACGCCAAACACTGCACACAGTCTTTGTTCAGAGAACACTTTCCAGCACAGCTCTAGAAAAAAGGTATGAGGATGGGGGATGTTTATTTATCGGAACACTGATACTCTTTCTCATACAGATTCTTGAGAGTAACGCTCGAAAGGTCAACTTTGAAACTCCTAACAATGGCCAATTTACTTTATCAACTCAGTTGATAATACCAAACGAAGTAAGGACAGGACGTTACAAACTAATTTGTTAGACTTAATAGAATACCACTGACATTCTGCTAAGTACAGAGGCTCCACTACCCCGCTTCGCGCACAGGAGCTAAGCTCAGCCTTATTCCAATTAATACCAAATTCATACAACAAGGAACGACGTGCGTTGCATAAAAAATAAATGGCCCTTAAAACACTTATAACTGGTCGTGAGTAAGGTGAACTAGTTCTAATTGCGACAAAATCCTTCTAAGTTAATTACTGTGGAAGTTTGAAGGGAATTTGAGTTGTTTTTACACATGCGCAACATCATCTCCTATAAGAAGACTACAAAATGAAACAAAGTTTCATTAGAGAAAAACACCAAAAGAGGGAGGAAAAAAAAGGTATATGCGAATATTTTAAGGATAGAAATATCGATCCGTAAAGTAAATGACGAAGTTTTCCACATTGGATAAACCAGAACGCTCCTTCTGATATGCGCATTGGACGTTTAAAAAGATACTGTCATGTAAGAAATGCACAATTTGTCTCTCTGACTATAGAGAATACTCACCGGACATTCATCACAGTACTTTCCCCTGTACACAGTGGATCCGTTACATACACAGGTACCGCACTGGCAGGAGCCATAACCATTACACAGCACCTGAAACAAAGACAGAAATTGCGAGATTTACCCATTGACTAGGGTGTAACTTAAAGGAGTGATGGAATGACTCTACTTCCAAGCCAGTAAGAGGCAAGATTGGGTCATCCCCATTGGAGAAAGCCTACAAGCACCAGCAGGCCCTGAACATAAACATTGCAGGACTCTAGTTTCTCCGCCCGGTTATGAGTGCTCGAACCCAGACCTCTTCCAGACCTTTAGCCGGCTTGCGTTACTCAAGGCGTCATACTTTCCCGCGGGCTAAGAAACGCTCGTGCTGAAGCACTAACAACGAGGGCCTATTCGCAGGCTACCATGGGGAATATCGCCTGGAATCAGGAGCCCATTACTAGTGAGTTCCTTCTAGAATTTATTCCTGAGAAAAGCAGTGACAGATTCTGGTCTTCCACACCAACAACAGCATGGCAAGATACAACACGTTTTGTCAAATAATCTTGAAACAACATATAAACATAACGACGCACGGGTGCAAAACCGAAAAAAAAAGCGTAACATCAACTTTAGGATATGTTGTCATGCCTGTCTCTTAGCCACATAGTTGCTCATGTCGTAGACGCTACGCACACAAAATTATATCCGCCACTTTCGTGTTTTGCTAAAGGTCCCCAATGTTACTACCAGAAATTTACGTTTGTACAAAGAATTCGTCAAAGCAAGGAAGAGATTTGCCATTTCTCTCTTCTTCGCCGCTTAATTTACCATTGAGCCTCGACCAATTAAGCTACCATGTGACTCACCCCATCCTTCATACATCCCTCAGTGCTGGTCGTACAGCTGCAAGATGGGCCTGTCCAGTTTCCGTTACAACTACAATTCCCACACACGCACTGGCCATGATCAGGACCTAACAAAAACAACAACACATGAGTTAAAAGAGTCGGCGGATCATAAAAATTAAAAAAGTACCCAAATAAAGCATCTTTCTCCCCAGAAAGTTTTCTCTTAAATAAAGAAAGATGTTGTTCATTTTTCACGAGCATGGGACAAAGCAAAAACCTGACTTTGCCACAAGGATCCCAACCTCAGACCTTCCACTTTTGCGGTTGAACACTCCATCATCAGCGAAGTCCGTCGAGCGAGTCAAAAAGGAACGACGGAAAAAAATTAATGCGCCACGTGGAACTCCGGGAGTGAGGCGCGCGAAACTACTTTCCGTGCGCTGATCAATATCAAATACAACTTATTCTTACCTCCACAGATCAGATCAGTGTCTCGATCTGAAGGACAATCCATGTTGCTACACTCACAGTATTTACCGTTAATGATTTCACCAGGGCGAGACTGAAATTCAAAATACATGATCAATCAGCTTATTAGAACCAAGGACTTTTCCCTCTTACATCACCTTCTTCGCAATCCACCCCCCTCTCACCTCTTACACAAGTCACTCAACCCCTCCCCTCCCTGCACCTCTTAAACAATCCACCCCTCCCCTCTTACACAAGCCACCCTTTCCCTCACCTTTTCCACACTCCACCCTTTCCCTCACCTCTTACGCAATCCACTCCGCCCCTCTTACACAATCCACCCTTCCCCTCATCTGTTACACAATCCACCCCTCCCCTCATCTGTTACACAATACACCCCTTCCCTCCCCGCACGTCTTGCACAATCCACCCCTCCCCTGCCTTACCCCCTTATCACATTGGCAGTCTCCGCACAGGCAGGTTCCCAGTCCACTGCACACCTCAGCATCCGATGAATTGTCCCTGGGGAAACACAAATTTCACAGTTGATGCACCTTTACAGTGGAACGACTGAGGAACAGCCTGTGAAGTTAGAAGCATGAATTTATCTTTAACCCTTCACTTCACACCTCCCGAGGAGGACTCAGGGACTCCAGGTGGAAACACTTCGGGATATCAGGGCTTGAAATGCCAGGTGTTTGAGATAAGGTAGGATTATAGGGACATAATGCCATAAGTTAACACTCAGGGACGCGGTCTGAGTGCCATAAAATAAAGAGGTCAAATTTGGAACGAAGTAACAAGCGGAATTTTTAGAACGTTCGTGGGCACATTGAGAAGAACTTGGGAATTGGGTATTGGTCAACTCACAGTCTTCCTTTAAAAAGAGAGAGAGAGAACTGCTTAAAAAAACAGATGCAAAACTTGTTTTTTTAACTACTCATGTTTTCCTTTCAGTTAGGCAATCCTTCTAAGCTCTACTGTTTTAGAGTCACTTTACTTGTCAAGACCACTGTTTGTAAGTACCTCAAATGATTTTCGTTGAGTTAAGTTTCAGTCCAGAGGGTTACATTTAAAAGGTCTCAATTTTTTAATAGCGTAGCACTAAACAACCACTATGATCTTAGTAGAAAGTTGTGGACGTTAAATTGTAGAATTTAAAGGGTTTAAGTCGACACAGAATTACCAACAATCCACGAGTTTAAAATATAATCACTCAACAACTTGTTAACTAAGAATAATTTTTTTCGCCTGAAATTTGATTTAAACGATCAATGCCTCCATTCACCGATCTTAAGCTGTTCACTGAACAGAAATAGATTACAGGTTCATTACTTTAAAGCCCCGTTATTTTATTTAATTGATACAGAAGATGTTAAAAGTTATCTTAATACTTACTTTGCCGTAAAGTTGCGATTACGAACCATTTCTTGTAACCTTAACAAAGCAGTTTGATTCGATCTAGAGATTCTTTACACACAGGCAATGAGATCTGAAATTAGTTTTTTCTCCACATACTGACGCAAATTTTTAAAGTATTTATAGCATCAAGGAGCTAAGTTTACTATCTTGAAAATAGAGAAATTTTCAATTAAGTGTCAGAAGTAATCCGAAATTGCGGTCGTTTTGCGGTATTTTGCTCTGTGATTGGTCCAGAAAACTCGCACAACTCTATCCTAACACCAATCACGAATTGGTTGCCCGCGTTTTCCCGCGCTTTAGTTCCCGCGTTTTCCCCGCGCTTTAGTTCCCGCCTTTTTACTTTGAGTTCTCATTGGTCCTTAATTATTCTCCTTTCTTCTGATTGGCTGATGTGATTACTTTGGCTTTTGCTTTACGACACTCAATCGAAAAGCTCTATCAAGGAACATAATATTATTAGATAACAAGTCTCTTTCAGAAAACTGTGAAAAGAGAGAAGAAGGTCACATTTAAGTATAGTATTATTCGGAGCCATGTTTAATGCAAGTCTGTGAGAAATTTCTCCAAAATTATCTTTATCATTTTTTCAGCTAACTTATAACAAACTGTTTGTTATTTTAATTAATTGCGAGTTTAACTATAACATTTAAACTTCTACAATTTTTAAGTATTGCAATGACAAACCTAATATGAATATATTAAGTTCAGACAATCAAATTCATGAAATGATATCAAATGAAAATTATGGTCAACTTCTGTCATGATAACAAATTTTAAATCATTGAGAGTTTAAGTAATATTTCAAGTTTAAACTCAAGAAAAAAAAATACCAATTTACAAATGGTTCTAACATCTCTAAACGCTTGTAAAATAAAAGTAAAAAAACTTATGACAACAAAGGAAAAAATAGCAAAGGAAAGTAAAATCAAAACAAAACAAAATAAACAGAACAACAAATACAAAAGTACAAAAATTTTGTGAAAGACCTGAAGCGAAAACAATCTGTGCTTTAACGTCATCGGTGGAACCTATAGACAAAGATAATAATACGCAAAGCTTGTACTCAAACCATACCTAATGCAATGTTCTGGAGAACTTTTAGTTTCATCTCGGCACTGGCATTTTCGTCCAGCCCTACGAAGACCAATGGTAATCATGTGAAAATTAATGAAACATTACAGTGATACCAGTTTAGGGAATGAATCAAAGTGAAGGAGATCTGTGCATAAGAAACCGGTTATACTTATCGCCTGGGGGAGGGGGTGAGGAGAAGGATTTCGATTGCGCTCCTAAGGGGTGAAGAGAGAAGGGGAGTGGGGGTGAATTAGATGAAAGAAACATGCCATTTTCTCCCCCCACCCCCCCCTTGATACTGCGTTCTTCCCCCCTTCATTCCTACTGAAAACCATGTCATCCACCAAAACTCTTCAATCATTCCACCCACCCCTCAGGAAATAAATGATGTATGGGTCTAGGTCTTAAAAGAGTAGCTAAATTGTTAATTATCTAACAAAATTTAATATATAATTAATATATAATTAATATATAATAAACAGGACACTACACTTCTGCTTGGGGATTCGAATTTATCTTTCTGCGTTGACGTCATCTATAACAAGATCGCTTCGCTTGAGCGTAAGAAATGTTATAAACACTCAGAGATGAAATTCGTATCTACGGGGAGGTCCACGTAATATACTATATTTCATGTTTGCCAGAGGGAGGTGAATTGTTTCATTAACTTTGTCCACCTTGTCTTAACTTTATCAACAGATCGGTGAATACATGTCACTTTAGTCTTACCAATCTTTGTCACATTTACACTGTCCACAAGTAAGTGTGCCATTTCCAGAGCAGTAAGGGCTTGATTCTTCCTGCAAGAAGATACAAATGTATTCATTTTAATATAGTCTCTCCAGGGGTCTTTAAATTGAGAGGTCTGGTTTGAGACAGTCTGTTTGTTGGGCTCATGGGAATATAAATTGAGAGGTCTGAGTTTGAGCCCAAGACAGTATCCCATTCAGAAAACACTCTTTGATGGAAGAAAGTCCGATTTTTTTTTTGTCCTTTTCAAAAGGTTATCATATCAGATTCTTAACTAACACAGTACATCAACCACAAGACAGAGTGTTCTGAAAAGCCCCCATTAGAGGCACTGTGCTGCGCTCTTGGATAAGGAACTTCCCTTTATTCCAACAACGTCTGCCTTGAGGTATAAATGGATGCCACACCACTGGGTAGACACCTCTAATGGAAGAGCATCCCTTCTGCACGTCCGGTTTTTTTTCCTTTTTTAAAGGTTACATATCAGAGCTGAGTGGCCCCAAACTGCCAGCACACATCCGCGGTTTCTGCAGGTAGCACCAAGAAACCTTGTGTATTTCTAAAGGACAGGATGCTACATTATCAATATTTTGCTTAAAAAATTCAAAATGTTAGAGGCGACTTACTGCATTCTCATCTTTCTCACACTGGCAGCTACAAATAAAATCCAAATTTATATCCACATTTCCAAATGGTGTGACCAGAGAAAAACTGTGATGAAAGGCAGAAAGAGAAAAATTAATTATTCAAAAGCAAATATTAATGAATCTAACCTACCAAAAAATTGGACTACTAAAGCACAAAGATAGCAGTGGCTAGGGTAAATTCAGTTCAAAGATCATTCTGATTCAAGAAAGATGATACACCTACCTCTTTTCCTTCAGATTACAGTCTTCAATTGTAACTGAGACCTCAAATGACACCTAAAATAACACAAGAGATTGTTTTCCTTCCATAAAAATATTTTGTTTATTACTGTTAAGTTAATTGGTGATTTGGTGTGTTGTAATAGCTGACCTTCTGTCCAATCTGAACATTAGCACATGTCCTGGACCCAACTTGTACTCCATCACTACAAATAAATAAAGAGTCTGCTTAAAACGACATTCAGTACTCCAGCTTACACAACTTTTACTGTTTGCTAAATGCTCAGATGCTTATCAAGCACATGAAAAATTAACTCCAATTAAAAGTCAATGCTTCATAAGTTTCACACGATTCTTAAGACTCTTAAATATCATTTGACCAATAAAATTCACGCAATAAAGAGGTGTCAAGTACTCATGAACAAGAAAAAATTCTGGCTGGTATGATATCGCGTTTTGTCTTCGCCAAAAATCTTCTCAGATACCATTCAGAATGTTAAAAGAAACTCCTTGTGCATTGCACTTAAAGTAGGGTTTGCAAATTTCAGAAATTAGCAGTTTGGTCTTCTACTGCCAAAGGATTCCCAACCACACGTTCACAAGTTGCAATTAATCAAGCTGTTTCACTTGATAAAGTCCACTTGGGTTGTCAATGACACCCGTTTTCCACACTGAAGTTTGCTATTAAGCAATCAACTCTAGCTTTAATACTACACTTAATTAACAACAAAAGGAACAGAAGTTGATCACTTACGGACAGTAAGCTGTGTAATTAACCCTCACGCCCTCTGGTGCTGTGTCGCGTATTGTCTGCGTTTGGGCAATTGTCTTCAAACAAGAGAGTAGTAAGAGCACTTTGGATAAATTGTAGTTACTGGTACTATTAAGAATTACATTTCACCTGCACTAGGATCAAATTAGCACACATTGTTAAACAGTGTCTTCAAGGAAGTATATGTCCCCTTAAGACAGCTGTCACAATTTTGAAGCTAAACAGTCATCCTAACTGCAGCAAAGTGTAGAGCTTGAGGAGGAATGGTATCAGATGAAGTAGTAGGTGAGAGTTATATTAACGTGGCATAAAGAGGCAAAAATCATGGAGGAGATGGTGGAGATTTAGATGAAATGAAAAGTGAGAAAGAATTAAGAGTAATAAATATGTCCATAATATTTATAGTATTTGGTGCCTTTAAATTTAGGGAAAAATGAAATGAAACTCACCTCATAAGCTTCTCGGATAAGCTCAACTATGTTAGAGGAGTCTTCACTCAGTAAATCAACCACAGCTCCAGACTCTTTGCCAAAGAAGTCAACTAGTTCCTATGAAATGATACGTTAAGGTATTAAGTAACAATAACTCTTTTCCCACTGAGCGTGTGGGCTGTACTGGAATATTGACCTGAAGTTAGGGCTGCACGGACTAAGCAAAGTGAGGTCCATACAAAAACAAAAACAATTATCACTCTGATGAAGTGCTTACATTTGAAACGTCAGCTTTTAAGCTCTGTACGATGGCCAATTTACGTTATCAACTCAGTTGAAAATACTAAATTAACCTGTTATACACTCTCACCGATGCAGTACCACAGTTTCTTTAGAAACTTTCCCCCTTTATCCCTACAAAAACAGCCGAGGGCTAATGTTCCCCAGTACGGTTCAAGCAAATGAGGTTAGTAAATAGTTTATTATAAGGTACTTAGACTAAACTTGTTTATTTTGAATTTGCCAGTTTTTGCGAACAATAATACACGGTTTATGACTGTTTCTGTATAAATAGTCAATAACAACCAATTAGAATGCTCGGATTTACCTGACAACTATGTTGCCCGATTAGAAGTTAACTTATTGCATGGCACAGTTTAATAGACCAACTGGACATAATTTTAGATTTTTGTTGTTGTTGTCAAATTGATTCTAGGTTCTTATTGCCATTACAATTCTAACATCTGAAATTTGGACAAAATCGCTTAAACACACATACTTTGTACTGTTCATACACATGCACTTTTGTTTTATTGATTGCAAAGATTGGTGACACTTGCTCCTCAATCAGTTTCTGTTTGAGAAATCCTGGAGACGGGTAGTCCTGTGCAATAAAATGTGTATTGATAAACAAAAAATAAACAGCCAAATATTTCACAGTATGACTGAACATGCTGGTCCTACTGGCAACTACCCCTCTAAATTCTCCTTAACCCTTTAACTCCCAGTTCAAATTTGTAATTCTCCTTACTGTCAACCATACAATTCTTATAATGTTAGTTCAGAGAATTTAGTATTGGATCAACTAATTATCCTTTAATTGATATATTTCTTTATTCTCATTAATTGTCTGCCTGACATTGTATTAATAATTTAAGGAGAAATTCTGTCTTGGTCACTCATGGGAGTTAAAGGGTCAAAGTATACCAAAAATTCATCGAAATTTTTCCTCTTAGAATCTAGCATTAAAACAAGCATTACATTCTCTACTTGATACTCTTCTTTCTCCTCAACTTCCTTGGTGAAAATGTACTGATATTGTAAGTAGTAATTATTTTCCAGTCACTCTTGCAAGTGAGCTGGAGAGTGAAGGCCGGAGATGGAAATCAGAACCTGCCCTCCTTCACTAGCAAGAAACTAATCAGCACTTGTTACAGAAAATCTTTGTAAACAAAGAATTAGTGGCTCACCATTGTTGTTGAGGCCATGTACTTGCCATGTTCTGTATGACAGTGACCATCATTTGGTATGATAATTCCACCAAGCTGTATCCAAAAAGAAAAAGACACCAAAAGTTACAAAATTTGACACAAATCTGTCTATAATCAATCCTATTTTTTTCCTCTCTCCATGACTAGTCTAAATTAATTGTATCATCTCAACAAAAGCTTGAACACATAGCTCTCACCAATAGATCATATTGTGATATTCTCTAACTTTAAGATCTTATGGAATGAAAGTCTTCAAGTAAATTTGATTCAAGAAGTGAAAATGATTTGTTGGAGTTAAATAAAAGTCAAATCTCAAACTGAGATAATTGCTAAATTTACCCATCTGCTGGAAAGCATAACTACAATACATGTACCTACAACTCTCCTATTCCCATTTTGGCCCCACTATACTGTGGCCACCTCTCTCTATGCTGGACATGAACATCAATAACAATCAATTAAATGAAAATTATCTATGACATCTGGAACCCACCAAACCATCACCAGCAAAATGATAATTAGCATCTGTTATTACAATAACCAATCTCCTGGCTGACTGCTTGTCTGTCCAACCAATTTTCTGAATGGAAATTAAACAAAAATAAAATCAAATTTAATCAGTTTGCATTTTTTCTTCAAAATAATGACACAAGTATACTTGTGGTACCCAAACTGTGCAGTTATGATGTGTAGTTCTTTAAGTTCTGTTTTAACCCCTTGCATCTAACTGGTAACATCAGTATGCATATTCTCCATACTGTTCTCTATACATTTCCTAAGGTGCTGATAAGGAGAATTTGTATAACAATCAAGAGTTTCTTTAATTGATTGTCATTTCCTTTATTCCCATGACCTTAACCCTTTACCTCCCATGAGTGACTCAAAGAGAATTTCTCCTTACAATATCAATACAATATCAAGCATAGAAGTGATGAGAATAAAGTATAATATCAACTAGGTGATTATTAATTGATCCAATACCAAATTCTCCAAATTTACATCATAAGAATTGTATCACAGACAGTGAGGAGAATTACTAATAAGATCTTGGGTGTTAAAGGGTTAATGTGATATTATTCAGGGATGATATGGTAGGAAGAAATTAGATGCTAGTCACTCTAAGGGCTCAGAGGGTTGCTGAGTGCTGTACTAGGACGAGCCTATCTCTATTGATGTTTTTGAAGGGCACCACAATAATACTGAATGATGTAGATGATAAAAATTAATAGTTCCCTATAATGTCAAATTTACTTACAAACAAACAATATTCTGTACATTTCCTCATAAGATTATGACATAACTGACTTGATCAACGACTTTGATCATTATACAGATCTACAATGTACACGAGTCTTACCGGACCACAGACGGCAATCTGCATTAGTGCATCCAAAGTTCCTTCAGGATTGTCAATATTCCCCGAAATATTCACTCGCTGAACAGCACTCTAATCAACAAAGAAACACCAAAACCCCAAATTAAAAAGTATATTATGAATTTTAAAAACTGTTAACTGATAGAAGTAGTCAAGCTAATCAAGAGACACAAACTCGTCCTTCAAACAGTTTCAATCTACAGCATGAACACAAAGAAGGTATGGGCACAGGAGTGACTCTCACAGCTTCTAAGGCTTATCTTCGTTTTTGTAGCATGATGTCAAAGGGAGAAATACTCCTTATTCTTGTTGGAATACGAATCCACTGCAGTGCTATCCCTAACAGCCCTAGCCCCAGCCCACCCTCCCACAAGCATTTTGTCAGTTTCATACAAAAATGCAGAGTAGCATAAAAAGTCAAATTTTATTGCAAAGCATACAATTTTTCTATATACTATTAGTAAGATACTGTAAGTAATTTACCATAACATATTGAAAGTAGTGTAATCTGTCACAAAATAATGTAAATGTAGAGTATTGTGTAGGTAGTGTAAGTAATCGAGAGTAAGTCATCTACTGTAATCAAGTTTATTGTAAACTAAACTTTGTTAGTAGTGTGTTCTCAATAAATTTTTAAGTGACATATTGTACCTGAGTCCTGTAGTGTATTGTAAGTAGAGTAATATTTTGTAAAATGCCATGAATCTAATCCACAAATATTTAGCAATCACTTACTTCAAACTCAGAGTAATTTGGAGTCAATTTTAGTTGATTGATAAAACCAAAAGCTGGAACAGAGACAGGGTTTGCAGCAGTTGCATCCAGTGGATGTTTTAACCTGTTAAGAAAAGCACATTTACTTACTGCAAGTATCTATATCTTGCCGCAGAAAATACAGCCAATGAGAAAACAGGAAAAGGGTAGCATCTTTAGCTGTATTACCCTCAACCTTTGCCTCACCTGCTGCAATTTTAGTCCCTTTGAAATTAACACTGGGGTTTCAAAACAAGCCCGGTTGTTGTTGGTTACTCTGGTCAAAAAACTTATCTTTTGACCCTAAATAAAGTTTTCATAGTCACCTACTTTTACAGAGTCTGGTGCCTTCTTCAAAACATTTTAAAACCCCTGTTACTATGTCAACTACTGCCCCTTTTTCATAATATGTGAGCAATGGAGTTGTGGATGCAACCTCAAAAATTTTGTTATGTACATTACCATCAATTATGTTATGGGCCGCTTTGCAGAAATGCACATAATATGCTCAGAGGGTAAGGTAATGGTTATGACTGCAAAATAATACCAAACTTGAGTTTAATAGAATTCTTACGCTTCAGGTGCAGTGTCAATGTAAGGGGCTACTGGCTTGTCTACAAATCCTCCAAAACCAAGACGGAATCTGTTTGTGATGTTCTTCATTTCTTTAGCTGTAAAGAGAACAAAAGAAATAAGTTACAGTTGAATAAAAAAAGGGAAAATTTACAGGGAGGCACACTACCATGGGTGATTTGAATAGATACAATTATGATAACATGCATAATTGGTTGGGCATGTGGCGTGCATGTATGACCTGGAGAAAAAAGTGGGCACTTGTAGTCCTGAAAAGGATTGTTGTTGGTACCAAAGATGTTTGCACAACCTGAAGGAAGTGTCAGAAGTGGTGTGAGGAATAGTTTGCCTATAAAATGATAGAGCTTTGCTTCATAAAATTTGACTATCAGGGTCAATGTACATGTATTGGCAAAAATAAGTTACATCTATTTAGTGAAAGATGGAAGCAAACCACTCGCAACTGAAAAACAATCACAGTGGTTTTCAGACTGCTCCTCAGCAAAACAATCTCATCACATATCACACTCAGAGTGGTTTATATCAAACAACTAGTTTATAAGTTGCTATAAAGGTAGGTACCTATCTGCTGGCCAAGAGTTGGAAACTTTTTAAGATCTTCTACCATTGAGCCTGATAAATCCATTAGGTAATAAAGATCTACTGGATAATTTTCAGGCATCTTAACATCCACTTTAATAGTTGCTGGTTGACCTGTTTGTGTAAGAATGCAAGTCATTATTCATACTGAAGGACTCACAGCTTCAAGCTCAAGCAGAGCTTTCTGAAAAGACAGCAAAAGTAGTTGCCAAGCTTCAATCCAGTGCAAACAGTTATGTAAATAACCAATTAAGGAATGTATGATCAAGCAAAAAAAGAATTGAGCCTCATAAATTTCACTTTGATGTTAAAATGCTTCTGTCCCAGGGATATGCTTCTTTTGATCAAGGAACATGTCATTCTATGGCTCTGGTTGTCTTTACTTTTCCCACAGGCCACCCAATCAGATACTGCAGACACCTTGCTCAAAACATTATAACAGGGTTTGTGCCCTTTTTCAGAAACAAATTTCAAGGACTTTTCCAGGACTTTTCTAGAACTTAGATTGATTTTTCAAGGGCTCCAACTTCCACCTTAAACCCTTTCATTTCCAAGATTTCAAGATCAATTCTCCTTGCAGTCTACAGTTTCTTATAATGCAGATTCTGAAAACTTTACTGCCTAATTTAAGCAGATTTCTGGGACTTTCCAGGACCTGTATTCCTTTTCAAGAACTTTTCACACCTGGAAAATGTCCAAATAAAATCCCAGGACTTTACAGGTTTTTGAGCACCCACACTAACCCTGTAACTTCCATGGAAAGACAACGTTTGTATGTTGGATTTGTGTCCACAGGGTTTTGATCAGGAAAACCTATTGAGCCTTGAGTCACTAATGTCATGCCAAGGGGTTTGTATTTTCTAGGTAAGATTTTACCCTGATGCCTGCTCTATCAAAGGTAACAGCACCATGAATCAGCCATTAATAAGAAAGTATTATTACAATGTAATGGTACCTGGTCTAAGTGACAAAGTTAAATTCTGAGGGGTGACTTTGACATCTTCATTAAGTGGTTTACTCTGGAAGTAATTGAAACAAAATAGTTAGACAAACATTCACAATAGGGTAGAAAGTTTTTAGACCAAGCAGAATTAACAAAATCTGATAAGGACACCATGGAAAAACACCAAGCATTTTTAGCTAATGTCTTGTATGCACAACTTTTTAGGAACTTGTGGCTCATCTGCTTTGAAAAATTTAACAATAAATGTCTGCTCAAACAGAAAATTTGATTTTTCCTATCACAAAAATTATTAATTTTCTTATTGGAAACAGTCCCAGACAGTGAGGCAGCAATTTGATTCCACCCGCACACATGTGACTAAACTGGATTTCAGTTTTTCCTCCATACCTTACAAACTTACTTAGAGGTTACCAAGAAGAGGAGCTTACTAGCTGCTTTACTTACCTCATGTGTAACATAATTAGATTTAGGATTTGCTATCTTCTTGCAGCCATTTCTAGTATGATTCTTGACGTTGTCACACCTTGCTCTTGGCTGCTCCAACCACATATATTCCTGTCAAAAGGAACAAGAATCACTTTCTGATCATTGACAAATTTGCAATTTTATCCCATTTTTCTCCTGAATGTGTTTAGGATAAAAGTCAAAAGAACTGATAAAAACTTTTAATTAACACCCACTATGTATGTTAATACACAGTTTACTTTGATGTACAATGTTTACAGATATTATTCAAATAAAAAAAAAGGATCAGACACATCTGGTTATTAGATTTAAAAACCAAGTAAGCACCTTTCCTCTTTAGAGACCCCTTTGGATACTCCCTGTAAGGGAAAATAACAACTGAGACACTTACTGCATCCTCACACCAGGAACATGGTGGGTCTATGTTCTGTATACAGGCTCCACATGAAGATTCTATTGTTGTACAATCAATGCGAACACCTACAACTTTTTTAAAAAGGTATCACACAGTTAATAATAAGATAGAAATGAGTCTCTCTCCAGATCTGATCCATAATTCTCCCTCCTAGCTTCTACACATTTCCTTGTAATTTAGTTGAGAAAATTTGGTGTTAGATCAAGATAACAACTTCTAACCGATAATTTTGAGTATTCTCATAACCTGTTTGCTGGATAATGTATGGATGCTATAGGGAGAAATTTCATGTTAATCACTTATGGGAGTTAAAGGTTAATTTTAAAAGTGAGTAACAAATTTTGAACAACTCCAAGACAAGGGTTTTAGAATGGTTTCTGATAGAACTGAAACAATTCACAATCTTCTAACCAATTAATCAAAATTGTGCTCAAATTTAGGACACAAAATGGATGTTAACCATGTAAGTTCCAGAAGTGATTGACTTGTAAGTTCTCCCTATAATATCTATACATTAAGCAGCAAACAGGTAATGGGAATACTCAAACTGATCAGATAGAAGTTGATATCTTTATCTAACACCAGATTCTTGTAACAAATTTACAAGGAAATATGTAGCAGCTAGAAGCAAGAATTAATAATCAGATCTGGGGAATTTAAGTGTTACTTAGTTCTGAAAATATATCACTTTTTTTCCTGTACAAATTGATACCAATTCAAAGACTACAAATAAGTAAATGAATTATCCTTGATAAAATCATCATGAATGAAATCACCATAAAGTTTGATAAGACAATCAAGCATAAGAATAAGTCTTACAGCTATTAATGCTTTACACCCTAACATCAGGATGCATATTCTCCATAATGTTCTCTATACATTTCCAAAGGTACTGACAGGGAGAATTTATTAAACAATCAAGAGCTTCTTTTGTTGGTGATAATTTTCTTTATTCTCCTGACCTTGAAGTGTGATTTAGGGGTGATATGGTAAGGAGAAATTAGATGCTGGTCACCCCTTGGGTTTAAAGGGTTAAAGAACACTAAATTATTTAATGTTTACCTCTTTAAATTAAGAATTTTAGTGCAGCTTGTTAACTAAAATTGGACAAATCAAGTAAAGTAACTTAAATTTGTAACCTTAAAATATTAGGCATTAGTATAATCTTATCTAATATCCTTTTCATTAATCTGAGTTTTAACACGCGTGAAAATTCACAAAGTGTGGTAATAGCAATTATTGAACATTTGAAACCAACAACATTTCTTTTTGTATTTTGTTTTTTGGAGAGTGGAATCAATATACATAATATCGGAAACTCGTATTTCCCCACCCCATGTAGAGAAATTAAGGAAGAATACGATTCAAACATACTTTAGAACTTCTTTAGATTAAAACCAAGACAAGATGCCGCTTTCCTTTGGAAAATCATTTGGCTTTAAATTATTTTAAGTAAATTAATTTCTAAAACTTGCGACTATTGGTCACTACTACCAGCTGTCTGATCACGCTATTTTCATAATTGAAACAATAATGAAAACATCGACCTTTTCCTTCAAACAAATGCTTCAATAAATTTGCATGCAAATCGAAGAAATTTTGACAAGTATGCCTGCAGGCAAAATCGTTGTTTCGTTTAGCTAGGATACTAGGTTACGCCAACACAATTCCCTAAGAATTGAAAAGGTGTCGGTGTATGTTTGCTGTGAATTCGAAAAAGCGAATATTTCATCTATCTCGAATTTGATCATATATGTAAATATCTTTGGATAACCACAGAGAAATAAGGATTGAAAAAAACATACCGCAAACGCCAGAGAAAAGCCCCAAAAGCGAAACACACAAAGGAATCGAGAGGGCACTCATTCTGTGAAAAGAAGACAAGAATACTGATTCGAAACTTCCACATCAGACGGACGCAAATAATTGGTTTGTCAGAGTGAGTTTATTACTGCCCATTATCTGTATTAAAATTATACCAAAAGTAAAACTCACGCTAGCATGAACACTGTAGTAATTCTTGATGCGAAAGAACTAAATTAAACATTACTATCAATAATGACCACACTTGTGTCTTCGCGACGTGAATGCATAAAGCGTGTAAAAATTCGTCCATTCACACGTCCTTTGCATCTTCGACACGACTCAATAGCCTAAGTGCCTGTACTTTTACTCAAACATAAGACATGTGAAGTGACGAAAATTAACCTTAGAAAAAACAGTGCTTGAAGGGTTAAATTTGTGTCAAAACAAAACTGCTACATGTAGCTTACAACGACGTAGACCTGTAAGAAGTAACCTCGTACAACAGCAAACAGAAGTCTGCATGATTTGTCAGTAAGTGGCCTTTGTTTCACGAGTATTCCAAGTACTCTCTGGTGTAAACAGCTGCTGTTTTAGACGGAAAAATTACACGTAGACAGACTGGATTCCGCGGGCAGCACAAAGCTTACCTAATTTTCACGCTCCCACCTTGTTCGTTGTATCAATGGATTACACTTCTGTATGAATTGACTTTTGTGGTACGCGATGGGTGAATAAATTAACTCCTCAACAGTTAATTACAAAATCAAATATACAGGCAGCTGGTGCTTCAGAAGAAAAGTGAAACCATAGTATGTTGATGACAGTTGTAAATATTTTTCTTAGTTCATAGTCGACGTTCAAGTTAAATGCGATGTCCATTTAGGGGCTACGCACCGCAGGGCTTGTTGACATGTTTATAAATCGTCGATTCTTCACAAAACTATCAAAGAATCCTTTTATGAGGGACTAATAGAATTGCGAACACCTAATGCGTGAAACAGAGAGATGAATGCCGAAGCAATAGGATTATAGCGAAAGAATTAGGGATGTCAAAGACTAGCACAAAACCCCAAGACGGCCACTTTCTGATGTCGATAAAATTCACACTCTCTGACTATTTTAACAGCACCATAAAACGCGAATAAGACCCTACATTGCTATCAGATTTTTAAGTCTCACCTGTGGCAACCCGTGGCGACTTTTCTACTCAATCAGACGGACAGATACGTCTTCTGAATTTAAAAGAGACGCCGGAAACTCACAAATTTCTCCCATTCCCTCCAAGAGTCGTCACGCACTGCACATGCAAAGCATTCCACAACTCGACCACAATCCTCCTCCTCCCACTCCTCCCTTATAACGGTTTCGGTTTAGTACCTTCGCGCTAAAACGGCAAGACAGAAATAAAAGTTATGAAAGACTGTATGTAATTATGTATGCAACGCCAGCTCACGATCGCTCACGCATGTTGAAACGGTCTCAACGAAACGAAAACCAAAGTTGTTTTGCTTTTTTGTTTTAACTGGGCCCAATTAGTAACAATTGATGTTGACAGAAACTGTACCATTTGTTTGTGATAAACATGTGTCAGTGACCAACCGTGAGGTAAGGAGGGTCAGATTTTGTCTATCTTTATTTCTGTTTGTTTTTTCATTGCGTAGTCACCAACAAGGACGCGACGGGGTTAATGGGGTCGAGGTCTACTCGAACGCAAAAGGAAAAGCGACCGAGATGAAGCCATGTTTGCCGGAAAAGGTTTGCTCAATACAGGATTTATCACCTGACAACGAGATTAAACCAAATTAGATTGATGTAAGAAATCTATTGTGATTTTCTTTGTTCTGTCTTCTGACTGTCTTAAGACGTGTTTGTTACTTAGTTACCGTCAAAGCTGCTGAAAACAATTCAAAACAATTTAAAGTTTCTAAAATGAAACCAGCTGCCAGTACTATTTGTTTCTGTCACCATCAAGCCAGAAATTGAGATTGGCTCTTGCTGCCATGCCTGCTTTTGCGAAGGGGGAAGGTGGAACAGGGGGGTCAGAATCTCCCGATTCCTGTACTTTTGTGCCCCTTTGCCTCCCGACTCCCACCTGTCGGCTTACCAGACACTGAAGTATAAGTGTACATGTGTCGTGTATCATGCTATCTCATGACCCATGACGTAATCGAATGGAAGGGATTTCCAAATTCACCGGAAGTCGTGATGCTGTTTTTCCAGCCCGAGTACAAATTTAAGTTTTCTTGCTTCCAAAATTTTCTTTTAAGCATTGGTGGATGTTCTATCGCAACTATCGCCTTCTTTATTTCTGCTCCCGCTTCCCGCCCCTTGTTCTCCCGCTTCCCGCCCTCTCACGCCCCCTGTTCTCCCGTGCTCCCGCCCCTCTGTCTCCTTCCACTGTGTGGTACATGATAGTAGCCATTCAGAACACAAGATTCGTTTTATTTTATCCTTGTTCGAGGCCATTTTTCTACATGTGCGTTTTTATTTTTTTGTAAAATCAAAATCTTAAACAGAAAAAGGAACAATTTGAAGACATGAATGTCCAGGTTTTCATCCGCCTCAAAATGTGGTTTGAACGACTGGATCGAGTTATGACGAATACCTTATTCCCAGTTTCCCTCCTCAAGGGAGTAAGAGCGGGAATACTGGAGACGAGGTCGTGAAAAACTGTTGTGAAATGAGTTGTGTTCTGTTGATGATAATTCGAGATTAACCACACGTTTTAAAGTAGACTGTGCGATGTCTTTCAAAATCGATATTCACAATCATATATTACCCGAGAGATGGCCAGATCTGAAGGAGGTGAGTCGTTTAAAAATGATCGAGCTAATATAATTGGCAAATTTTCAGGCAAGTACGAAAAGTTTTGTCATTGTTTTCTGAAAAGAATAATTGAATTTCATAGAGAAATATATTTGATGAACTTGAATTATGTACGGAGGCCCAATTAACAGAATTAAATAACGTAGAAGAATTGTAATTCGTATGGTGTTGAACACGGTAGAAGCATCGATCGTAAAGATTAAATCACATTTGCAACAGAGACATGCAATGTAATTAGAAACACTTCGAATTCCTATACTGTTGTTAGGGGCCTAAAAAGAATTACAGTAGCACATGAATTAATAATAAACATTTTAGGCTTTGTTATTTTATGTAAACTGGGCTTAAAATGATTCCATGTGTAACAGTAAATCAAACTTAACGACCACCGCCCACACCACACCGCCAAGAATTGACAAGTTGTTAAAAAAAACAAAACAAACAAAGATCAGTTCACACCAGATTACTGAAATTGAAACTCTACAAGTTTGATAGATTTTGACTACCTTAGTTTATATTCAAAATCATAGAGTTCAAAAGCACTGGGAAGTTTGTTAGAAAGTGTTATGACTAGGCTGTAATTTAATCCCTAAGACAATATGGAAGTGAGATTTCTGGTGTTTAGCATGTAATTGAGTACATAGGTTTCATTACATATCCAATTCCAAATATTGCATTTCTAGTTTTCTGACTAGTTCACTCAACTCCAGTTATCAGCTCATATTCTCAGTCACCTTATATAGAATTACGCATCCCACCAACTGTTGTGGAGCTGAAAAAAAAAGCTTCAAATATTCAAACATTCAGGATTTAATGAAATTTAATAAAACAATTATTGCATATGTGCCTGTTGGATATGAGAATGCTTACAGCCAACTTGGTGCTTTGTGCCTTGTTGACGATTTACCATCTTATATCCAATGAGTACTCAAGGAATAACTGTCATATATTTTTTAATAAGTGCTAAATGGGGTTGTGAGAATGTTATACACTTATATAACAAGTAGATTTTTCTTCTTTTCAGCGATATGGTTATGGAGGATGGATACAACTTCATCATCATTGTGAGGTTTGTTAAATTGTCTCTTTTGTCAACTGGCAGCCAATTAATTAGCTTACAGTGCCAGCCTAACTTTTAAGAGGGAATGTTCACTATTTACCCAAGTAGAACCATCATCTTACCTCCTTCTTTTTTAAAGAAGAGGAAGGATTGACTCCATAGATAAGGAATTTATTTCCAGGAGCCTCAAAGACCCTTTTAGATGAACAATCAGTTTAAATGATGATAATAGGCTTAGAAGACTCCTACTGTTCTTAAAAAATTCTTGACTTCACTCTAATAAATTTATATAGTTAAAATGGGTTTTTTTTATATATTTTTATGAGAGGGTCTTTCCAGATTTGTGTAAAATATGATTGCTATTTTTTATTTCCTCTCCTCTTTGTACCTTTCTGGTCAAGAGACTACATTATGGAAAGTACAGTTAGGGTTAAATGATTATCTGCTCAAATGTTGAACTTGAAAGTTCTTACTTTCAATTGTTTTTTAGGGAAAAGCAAAGATGATGAAAGATGGGAATCTTTTTCGTGTGATAGATGAGAATTGTTGGTCACCAGAGGCAAGAATCAGAGATATGGATGCAACAGGTGAGATTTTAGAAGTCAAGAAATTACACTCTCCAAAAAACAAAAAAAATCTTTTTGCATAAGTATGGTTCTTAGCTCAGGTGCAGGTTCAAAGAATCTGTCTTGCAAAATTAGAAAACTGTGAAAAACCAAAATATTTATTAAAATTGATGTTATTCTGTTTCATGGAAAAAGCCAATCAGGCATCAGAAAACTAAACTGCAAACATGAAATGGGATGAGAATTTAAAGGAGAAGTTTTTCCCCTTTTTCCAGTCTATTCTTGACAAGTATTTTGTTCCACACAGGTGTCACAGTTCAAGCCCTTTCAACTGTTCCAGTTATGTTCAGTTATTGGGTAAGTGTGACAGATGGAATACATTTGACTTTGCTGTTGAATGAACAGTTCCTTACTAACAATGCCTTTTTTTTTTTCTTTAAGGCCAAGCCAGAAGATACTTTAGATTTATGTTGTATAATGAATGACGACCTTGCAAAAACTGTGAAGAAATATCCCAAAAGATTTGTGGGTCTTGGAACTCTTCCAATGCAGGTAAAATGCATTATAAAGTAAAAAGTTGTAGATCATACTGAATTATAAATTTTTAAATGTGAAGGTTCTCTGCCTTTAGTTAACCTTTTAACCCTTAAGTGTGACTAGCATCTAATTTCTCCTTACAGTATCCTCCTCCCCCCCCCCCAAGTCACACTTTAAGGTCACTAGAATAAAGGAAAAGATCACCGACTAAATCTCGTCACCAGCACTTTAGGAAATGTATAGAGAACAGTATGGAGAATATGCACACTGATGTTAGGGTAACTGTATGCCTTGTTAAATTTGCCAAACCTTTCAGTAGAAAATGAAGAGCCTTTGTTGCTGGCATTAAGCTGCAGTTAATAGAGTTGTTTAATAGAAGCACGAAAAATGAAGAGGGCAACTGTAAATTAGCTAACTGAAGTTATTTTGAGCTTACAGTGAATGTTCCTATTTTTGTTGTATTCAAACCATGAGGTGATGGTCAGGAAAACTTATCATGCGATGTAAATTTGTCATCTATTGCAATATTTATCTTAATAGGCACCAGATCTTGCAGTACAGGAGCTAACCAGATGTGTAAAGGTGTGAACCAGTAGATTATTAGAATTTTATTGTGATATCAAGTTGGTTAATGTCTGTTTTGGCTATAAACTGGAGTTGGTTGCTACTTCTAGGAACTAAGACAGCATCAATAATTTTTTTTTTCTGTCAGTCATAACCATTGTAGCCTAAAATATGCAATTCCAAGATTATTGTCAGTGACCTAGGTTATGATTTGTAAGATTCAACCAAAAACCCTTAACTTTTAAATTTTTTAAGAGTTTTTTTGAAGAGAATGACTGTTGATTTACTCATGTCTCCATCTCTGAAGAACACTGCTGATCAGCCATATAGAATCTGCCCTGTTCTCAGCACTGATAGAGTTTGACCATCTCATTTAGGATACAATGAAAAACACTTGTTCCTTTAATCTACTTTGTAGGAACTTGGTTTTCCTGGAGTGGAAATTGGTTCTCATATAAATGATTGGAATCTTGATGCCCCAGAACTGCAGCCAGTATTTGCTGTAAGTTATAATTCTGTTCATTATTTACTACATAATTACAATGGTATTTTAGCAGTGAAAATTCCACAAGGTTGTTCCTCTAGTCCTCTGAACTCTCAGTACTTCATGTCAAACAGCAGAGTTGCACTAAGAGAAGATATCATTGTCATGACCATGCTAATTTTAAGAGATTAACCCTTTAACTCCCATGAGTGACCAAGACAGAATTTCTCCTTACAATATCAATACAATATTAACCAGATAAGTGATGAGAATAAAGAAAAATATCAATTTGGGGATAATTAGTTGATCCAATACTAAATTCTCTGAACTAACTATAAGAATTGTTTGGTTGACAGTAAGGAGAATTACAAATTTGATCTGGGAGTTAAAAGGTTAAGAATTTCAAACTTGTTGTATTATTATTAACTCTTCAATCTTTTGTTCACTCTACAATTCACAACTTCTGTTGAGTAACCCTGTCACTCCCACAAGTGACCAAGACAGAATTTCTCCTTACAATATCAATACAATATCAAGCAGGCAGGTGATGAGAATAGAGAAGAATATCAGTCATGCGATTATTAGTTGATCCAATACCAAATTCTCTGAACTAACATCATAAGAATTGTATGGAAGATAGTAAGGAGAATTACTAATTAGATCTTGGGAGTGAAAGGGTTAATAAATATTTTTGTCACTGGAAGGAAATTTGAAGTCAATAGTATTACATAATGTAACTTGTTCTATCAGGCTGCAGAGGAGTTGGGTTGTGCAATTTTTGTTCACCCTTGGGATATGGAATTAAAAGGAAGGATGTCCAAGTACTGGCTGCCATGGCTTGTTGGTAAGTCTTTCTTATTTTTCAGCCACTTGAGTTTTTAGTGTGCATTGCAGACCTACATTGTTTGTCAGAGTCTTGAATCAGCTCAGTGTTATCAAAAATTTCTTGTTGTAGGAATGCCAGGTGAAACTGCCCAAGCAATCTGCTGTATGATATTTGGTGGGGTTCTAGAAAGACATCCAAACCTAAAAGTGTGTTTTGCTCATGGAGGTAAGAAAAGTTAATGAAAATTTTATTCTGTAATTTTTCCAAAACTTGGTCCTGGTGGGAGGTCTCAGTGATTCCCAAATGAATACAGAATGATCAATTATTTTAAGTAGTGGGAAAAACATTTACCAGGACTGGTATATTTTTTTACCCAAGGTAAATTGTTTACAGACTGAGTTGGGTAAGTATTACAAGTTTGTAACTGCAATGTTTCAATACTGCTGGAAAGTAGACAGCATAGGTTATCACACTTGATGATAGCTACAATATGTAACAAATAGATTCCATATTGCTGTGCATCTGTTCAGAAGTTGATGATAGATGGTGCCAGTTTTAGAAATTAACCCTTTAACTGGCAGAATTTCTCCATACAATATCAATACAATATCAAGCAGACAAGTGATGATATATAAATATTATATAATTAAGTTGATCCAATCCCAAATTCTCCAAACTAACATTGCAAGAACTGTATGGCAGACAGTAAGGAGAATTACTAATGAGATCTTGAGGGTTAAAGGGTTAATGGTGATATCATCTATGCATCTGTCCTCCAATAGATCTTATGTGAGAACCAATAAAAATTCAGCTAGTCATAACACAGGCAGCCCAAGCTCCAGCTGTGAGATGATCATCTTGTGTAAGAGGAGTCATGGTGAAAATGTAAGAGAAGGTCCTTCTCTTATGAGTAGTAAACCTAGAAGTGGATAAAATGGGTTGTTTTCAACATAGTTAGTGGTCAGATAACAAGCAATGCACTATGAAAGTAAGTTGAGGTATTTTTATTGAGAATTTCACAGTATTTTTGTATTCCCATGAGCAATCATAAATATTCCCATACAAATTCTTATATTTTCATCATGGTTCTTGTTTCACAAGATGATCATCTCACACCTGGAGCTTGGGCTGCCTGTGGTCGTAATTCACATTTTCATCCTGAAGTTGGTGTTCCTTAAATAGAGCTATATTATTTTTGGACTGTTATAGGTGGGGCATTTCCTTTCACCATTGGTCGTATTGAACATGGCTTTAATGTCAGACCAGATCTCTGTGCTGTTGAGAATCCAGTCAACCCAAGGTAAGTTCGTTGCACAACATTCCAACTATCTTCACCATCCTCCACATCTAGCTTAAAACTCTGTACCTTACTCTGTTTCTAAAAAAATCTACAACTCACTTAGAAGAATTTGGTGTAGTTTGCTAATTTGTCTTGAAGACATGTGCTAATCCCTTTTTGGAGGTGATAGCAGTAACTTGAAGTGTTACCAAAGTTTTGGCACAATTATATCATAGTTGCTAAGAGTTTTAGCATGAATTTGTGAAAATTTCTCCATCAAACTTAAAGAGATCAAAAATTTAAAATTGACTGACAAGGAATGGTGTGTTGAAGCTGCACCTGGCATTTCAATGACTCGAAACTTGTCTTTGTAGGAAGTACATTGGACAAATTTTTACAGACAGTCTTGTTCATGATGAGAAAGCTCTCAAATTTCTAGTTGACATTATTGGAGAGGTGAGACATTTATTTCAGTTGTTTTCATGCATTTATTACAAGTATATTGAAGTAAAGAAGCAGATTTTGCAGTGTATGCATCCAATGAAATTCAATTGTAAAAACCTGAATCTGAGCTCTGCAATTTACAAGTCAGACTTCTAGAATAGGATCACACACATTGTTCCCAACCTAAGCACTTTCATTAGGAGGGCCAGAGACAAAACAACAGATGGGACAGACACATACTTCTGAAGAAGATGGGCAGCGCAAATAGTTTGAGAGATTAAAAACGATTTGTCTGAGCACATGAGTAGCACAACTAGATCAATGCATAGTTTGGTTTGAAGGTTAATTCCTGGAAAGTTTCACCGTTGTGATGTTTCATTAATGAATGCACTCAAAGCAGTGCAGGAGTAGTGTATGCCTGATCTTGAATGTCTTGGTGTATGGTGCGTAGAGTTTTAAAATCTGTTGTACAAATCAAGATGTTGATCCCATACACTGCCTCTGGCCTTTACATGTATTTAAAACTTCTTAGCATATTTTGAAGGGAGCAAGGCCAGGTTATTCTGGTATGAGCATAGATTTAACTGTTTGGAGCACTGACCTGTTTATGTACAGATTTGCATCTAGTACTAATTATCTGATGTCTTAATGTGTAAATTTTTCAGGAGAATGTTCTTTTAGGGAGTGACTACCCCTTCCCTCTTGGTGAACATCACCCAGGCAAACTAATTGAAGAGGTGTACAAAGACAACACAGAACTCAGGGTGAGGGAAGAATGTGCATTATTTTGTGCTTGTCTAAACTTTTTTTGTGTGCATCCTTCACAAAAAAAACACCAAAAAAAAACCCACAGGTAGAGGGCTGTGTTAGCGTGTCATTTTTAATGTAATTATGTTACACAATATTCTTTTCAGTCCACTAGAGAAAAACAAATTTGTCATCTGATTTTTATGTCTTAAGACATTGAAAGAAATCATCCAATGTAACTCTCTTCTTCCATTTCTTGAGGGAAGGGTCGGATTTGGAAGGGAGTAGTTTGTTGCATTATTCTGAGTCAGTTCACCAAGTAATAAAGTAATAATAAATTATATATAATTAATGATAAGCATTTGAAGAATTATAATTATTCAGTTTTTCATCCCTCTTGCCATGTTTCCCTGAGTTCACCATCATGCTGTTTTGTCTTTCCATCTTTCTAATCAACCACCCACTTAACAGGATGCATTGACAACATGGTACATAAAATCTTAAGTACAATAATATGTTGGGTTCATTACACCAGTATTGCTTGGTAACAATGATTTAAAAATAAAAATAAAAGATGCAGTTACACTGCTCAGTTTACAAAACATATTTTGACAATTCCAAGCAACAGAAAGTTCTTGGTATGAGAAAGTCATAACATGGATTGCAAACTTAACTATTAATAGCATCTCCTTCTTAAGTTCTCTCCTCTGTTTCCAAGTGTTAAATGTAAATTAAGATTTTCAAGATAAACTATTGTATTTATCTTTTTATACTACATGTTGCTCACAGATTGTAATTGCTAATATTTCATTAGTTCTCAAAGCTATGTTGACAGTTTATGGTGTCTGTTCTGTTGCAGGACAAGCTCTTAGCTGACAATGCCTTGAAGTTTTTAGGATTACAGAGATCTCAATTCAATGACTAAGCTACAGACAGTTACAAGCTTGTGACTAGTGGGGTACTTGGTCCTGCACTAAATTTCAGCACAGATCAAAAACTCAGAAGGGTAGCTTCAGTAGGGAAGAATGAGTTAAATACAGTTGGTATAGGAACAAAACAAAATTTGATATTTGAAAGATGTTGGACCAACTATTTTATTTTGTATTTATCTCAGTTATATTTATTTAAAAGTAAGTCTTGAAACTGTGATTGTGCCAATATTATGCTGTAGCTCTGACTAATAATTTGAAGTTTCAAGCTTATGAGGATTAACCTTTCTCAGAATGAGAATTTATGAGGATTGACCTTTCTCAGAATGCAATAAAAGTACTTTGATGACTTGACTGCTTTAGTATTAGGCTTTAAAAGATGACATGAAGTTTGTTTTTTTTTTAGTTTTGTTAGGGAGTTAATTTTCAGTGACATTTGCATTTTAAACTTGATGTTTGCATGCATCCACTGTTTGGGTTAGCCCAAGGAAAAAAATTAGGATATAATGCCTGAAAATTTAACCATTTCATTGCTTATCAGCCCAGTGTGGACAACTTGAAGAAGCAATAATTTTATTCAATGAAGTTTGTTTTTGTTGGAGAAAAACCAACAAACACACATTATTCGTGCACTGTTCTGAATTAAGGGAAATATTAAGTTTATTTTTTATATCATACAACTGCTACTTATTCAGTAGAAACACCAGACAAAGTATATATTTTGACATTATTGATGTGACATTTGTCAACAAAGCTTGTAATTCAAATGCATGATGCTTGCTGTTTTTGGAATGTTCTTACTCCACATCACAAAAGATGTAAAAAGGTATCTGTACAATGTAAATAAATTGGGGAAAAAGAGAGTCCAGATAGTTGCACCTTTTATTTCAACTGCCGCTCCTGTTAAGAGCGGTCCTCACGACTTCCCGTCGGAAAAAAGTTTTCTTTTATTTTTTGCCCATGTAAAGGGTTTAGGACACATGTTTCAAAAACAGTTTAGTTGTTCTCCAATTCTCTTTTTCTGCGTCGTCATAAGCCAAAAATGAGTTTTGGCCAGACCACCCCTCGGCGATCGAAAGTGTAAATTTCAAAGATTTTGTCCAGCGCGCAGCGACTGCAACAATGTAGCTCACGGAATTCTATCTTGTTACAAGTTACAAGGTGTATTCAGTTAGTTCACAGACAAAATATGGAAACTTCAGCTGAAATATTTTTCATACCAGCGTGATCAGAGGAGACCCTTCTCTTCGACCTTTGATATGCAAATTAAAATTTGCATATCAAAAAATTCACTACTTTGTACAAAAGAATTCTCAAAATGTAGGCGTTAATCGGACTGAAAAAGCATATCAGTGCATAGCTTCTACACCAATGAGGTCACGGATTGCCTCAAACCCGCGGGTATATCTCTAGCTTCCATCCACCAACTTCTTAAAAACAACGCGAATCCATGTGTTTCCTCAATTGCGCTCGTGTCAAAGATTATTTTCATGATTCTTAGAATTGACCGTTCAAACTTCGCTCGTTTATCTTCTACAATGAGGATTTAGATTTTCACAGCAAATGAATGGAGACTGGATGCCGAGTTGTCCTAAAACGTAGCGTAAACGTGATCGGTCGTAACGCTTGCGCGCTTGCGTGACTTACAAAGTTGACAAAGGTGATCGGAAGGCGCCTTCTCGATAATTTACGTTGAAATATCAGGTCATGAACTACGCACAGTATGGAGAAGATCAAAGTTAAAAAATAAAATTTGGCACTCTGGTCATAAAAAGAATAAAACAAACAAACAAACAAAAAACAATCGTATCAAATTCGTATCCACGCGCGATTATCTAATACCTCCTAGATGGGTTTGCATTCCTGAACGAGTGCGAGCCTATGAAGGCTGTACATCGGTCAATTTTCCTCACTACATTTTAAGCCGAAACCGAGATGAAGGCTTCGTCAGCAATGGATCAAAGGACATATTACATGATAACAAAATATTTTCATGCCCCATTGAATTACCAAAAAAATCTGCTAGTCTCGTTGTGATTTTTTTTGTTTTGTTTTGTTTTCATTTGCGACGAGTCTGTGACTTCATCTTTTAACCAAAAATACCGGAAAAGCTTTTATTCATATGACAAAAATAAACTGTTTAGTTATGACATTATACGAGGTATTCAACAGGCTACGAACCATTTCTTTTTTTTTTTTCTTTTTTGTGAATCAACGAGGGAATCAAAAGAAAACACATTTTCCACTCTTCGGTAGCCGATCAAAGCACAGGTTTTCTTTCTCGCTCGCGGGTCCTACCACAACGTCTAAATAGCAGAGAAATTGGGAAAACCTGTCAACAAAAGTGAAAAATTCAACACCAGAATCACGATGACTACGATTTCTTGATCACGTATAAAAGGGAACCTCGTCAACGACACGATTAATTAAAAACCTAAGCAGGCAGTGGTTTAACGACTCTCACATCAGCAAAATTAAAAATAAAAAGTAGGACGTTTATGTCATTGTGCTATACTCGGGATTAAAGAAAATGAAAACCTAAAAGATCTTGTATGAGGCCCAGTCTCAACTTGGCGTATTAATAGTGAAACAGCATAGCTCCAAAATAGAATCATGGATCACGAAATAAACAATGATACAACATTTTCTGTTTCGAGCTCGATGAGCTCATATTCAGCTTCTTCAATACTGCTGGTGTTACCAAGAGTACCGTTTTGTTACACACTTGTGGGGCAAATCACATTTTCACAGGAGTTAAGGTGAGGAAGGAATAAGTCAATAAGGACCCATTGCAGTGAATGAGATAAACGGGTATTGACTATAGATACAAATAGAAATAATTTGAGACATGAGACAAAAGAATGAAAGAAATATCGATCTTATTTACTCGTCACGAACGCAGGATCGAATCTTAGACCATCGGATTTTACGATCTGAAGTTCTCACATATAACTGTAGATTTCTCGTTCATGAGCCATGACATACAGTAGATACATAAAGGATCATCCTGCATACTGCTTAGATCATCGATGTCGAAAGTTTTATGTCTTAAAATACATAAAGATAGAAAGGAAATTTCAAGCTCTTTCGTGACAAGGAAAAAAATCATTTTTAATCGACGACCCAAAAAAAAACCCTATCAGTCAGATCAGGTTAAAAGACAGGTTAAATAACAATGCTGACATTTAGATTAGCATACCAGACCTTGAGGTAGCTTATTTATCTTCCCATGAGGGATTTACGAAGCTGCGACATTTCTGATTCCAGTATCAAGTGCGTCACTTGTCTGTATGAACTATTATACATTTATTTATGGTCTCGCTTCCTGCATCCAAACTCAGCAGACAATTCTGGAGCTCAAAGAGACAAAGAGCTAAGGTCGTACATTTCTCCTCTAACTTTAAGACAACTGTTTCAGTAACAGTTTATTCATAAAATTCCTGCAAGATACCCTGAGGGTTTCTGTACACAAAGATGCATAGAGTACATAGATTTAACAAATTTTGAATATCTTTCTCGGTTATTTATCTAAGAAGAGTACTTATGGTATTCGCTTTAATTCTTTCCAAGACGCGAAACGATTTAAACATACTTTTCTATAGATACAACGATAAGTCAAGTATTTTTATTGGAAAAGAACTTTATTGGAGTTAAATTTATTGCAAGTATTCTTGAGGAGAGAAAAGCCGAATGAAGAAATATGTAGCATATTATAATCGAAAGACGAGAAAATTGGAAAAAACATTTACATACATCTGGTGATTTCGCTGGACACCTTCGCTTTTGACTGCAAAATATTAAGTGCAGAATTGGCGGAAGTTATTTACAAGAAAAAAGCTTACCGTTATTATTTTTAGAAACTTTATGAAGTTGTCACGGTGAGAGCGGAAAATGAAACTTTGAGAGAACTGTAACGCTAGGGGGAAGATAACCAAATAACGACAAATATGTATCATATTGAACGAGGGATATATCGAGTTGATCACTTGAAGAGAAATATCATTGATACAATATATCTCACAGTGTGAATTCATCCTTATCGATTCAGTTATGGCAGAGTGTAACATGTCCTGCTCTGAGGAGAAAAGTGATTTTGCGGACCGCGAGTGTTTTCCACTAAAAGAGAAAGAGCTGAATTTAAATCACAGAATAAATTAATCGCCATGGAGAAACATGTAAACAAGTAACAATCATAAAAATAATAAAACAAACAAACAAACAAAAAAACAATCGCAATAACTTTCTTATGGAAGAACAGCAATAATATTTTGATCAAGAAACTGGGCATTAGATGAGGTTAGATCTTTCAAACTCGTGAATATGTTACCTTCATTTTTTCATCGAAATTGTTGTAAAGCAAAACGTTATTCTCAATATTTTGAGGCATGTAGAACTAACAAGTGACATCTTTTGGAGATTAGAGGGATTCAGAGGATGACAGTCTAAAAGGTACAAATCAATTTTTATTCAGCAACTGATTAGAACTGTAGAGCTCAAGTTATTTATGATGAAACTGGATCGCAATCTTATTTTTCTTGCGGCTGACAACAACCAACTTTGATTCGGTCGAAAGTTCTCGGTTTACTGTTGTCAGATGCGGAAATGTTTCATTGGTTTCTCTCATTTGACTTGTGGTTCAATAGTTTGCACGCAATGCAATTTCCTAAATCCTTAAACTCCTGCAAGTGATATAACTTGTAACTTATCCCTGTAATATCAATGCATTATCCAGCAAACAGGCAATGAGAATACTCATAGTTTTATCAGGTAGAATTCGTTCTCTTTTAACTAACACCAAATTTCCGTATCTACTTTGAAAGGAAACATGCAGCCGCTAGAGGGGAGAATTAACAATTAGATCACGGCAGCTAAAGACTTAAATGTACGTGATCGTTGTAGCTTTTGTCAAAGTCAAAAACCAGCAAATATCTCTCGAAAACAAACGAAGTTTGAAACAAAGCTCGGGGTTGAAAAAAAAAAACACACAATTCCTACGTTTCTTTTCATATCGTAACATTCGCAATGGTAAAAATAACGGTAATATGGTTGTCGGTGAAATACCAGAATTTTTTCAGTTTCCAAAATGTGACATATGCATATCCACCGCACGCTGTGAATGTACCATTTATATCTTCACATATAAAAATATCAAGGTCGTCATTAGAACCGAATTTATCAACATGACAGTTTTACTTTCCATGTAGACTTTTATTTTGTATGTTTTTTTTTAACCTGATGCTGAATTTAATTCTTTTTTAAGGAAATACTTCTTGTAATAAGAAATTTTTGTATTACAATGTCCGAAATTGAATTGGTTTTCCGAGGAGCTGAGCATCAGTGCAGCGGATCTCTATTCTCGATGCTCCTATTTAAGAAAATTGTATTGGATGCAAATTTTCAACTAATATTTTTTCAATAAAAAGGATGATACATGTCCACTTTCGGATACGAATATATCTGCTTCAATTAAATTGTCTCTTTGAAGGTGTATAACATGTTATGAACACTTGATAGTAAAATTCGTATCCACGCGCGATTATCTAATACCTCCTATATGCGTTTGCATTCCTGAACGAGTGTGTACATCAGTAAATACTGATATTGAAGTAGAATTCTGTTCTGTAGGGCTTGAACCCTCGACCTCCTGCACGGTAGTCCAGCGCCCTACAAACTAAGCAGGCGGTGGTTTAACGACCATCACATCAGCAAAAAATATTTAAAAAGTAGGATGTTTATGTCATTGTGTTATACTCCGGATTAGTGAAAATAAAAACCTAAAAGGTGTTATATGAGGCCCAGTCTCGACTTGGCGTATAAATAGTGAAAGAGCATCGCTCCAAAATAGAATCATGGATCACGAAATAAACAATGATACACCATTTCCTGTTTCGAGTTCGATGAGCTCATATCCAGCTTCTTCGATACTGCTGATGTTACCAAGTGCACCGTTTTGTTACACACTTGTGGGGCAAATCACATTTTCATAGGGGTTAAGATGAGGACAGAATAAGTTAATAGCGACCTAATGCAGTGAATGAGATAAACGGGTATTGACTAAAGATACAAATAGAAATAATTTGAGATATAAGACAAAAGAATGAAAGAAATATCGACATTATTTACTCGTCACGAACGCAGGATCGAATCTTAGACCATCAGATTTTACGATCTGAAGTTCTCAAGTAAAGCTATAGATTTCTCGTGAACGAGCCATGACATACAGTGGATAAATAAAGGATCATCCTGCATAATGGTTAGATCATCAATGTTGAAAGTTTCATGTCTTAAATTACATAATTTGACACTCTCGACCATCAAATCTTGTTTGCCAAATTGGAGCACTATGGTATCCGTGACGTGGCTCTGCAGTGGTTTAAAAGCTACTTTTCTTGTCGCCAGCAATTTGTCCAATTCAATCAAACTTGCTCTCCAATGCAAACTATCAAGTGTGGTGTCCCTCAAGGTTCGATTTTAGGCCCTCTATTGTTCATTCTGTACATAAATGACCTCCCTAATGCCTCTGAATTAACAGACCCTCTGCTTTTCGCTGATGACACCAGTATCTTTTATTCTCACCCAAACCCAAATTGCTTAGAATCCGCACTTAATGATGAACTCCAAAATATTGATGTTTGGCAAAAACGCAATAAGCTCTCAGTTAATATAAAGAAAACTAACTACGTAATTCTTAAACCCAGACAGAGGAAATTTTACTCCAGCATTTCCCTCTCCTTTGGAGGTAAACCCCTTCAGCAATCTAACATAACTAAATTCCTTAGGGTCCATATTGATGATCATCTCACCTGGAAACACCATATCACCTATGTATGTAAACAAATCGCTAAATCAATGGGCATTATATTCAGGTCTCGCTTTTTCCTATCATCTATAACCAAACTCACTTTGTACTACACCTTAATTAATCCTTATATCGTCTATTGTAACTGCGCCTTGTCGTCCACATACGTATCTAACTTAAATAGTATATATTACTTGCAAAAGCGAGCTGTGCGGGCTGTTACCAACTCAGACTATCGAGCCCATTCCGCTCCTTTATTCTCCAAACTAGGAATTTTAGATATTTTCAAAGTCAATACGCTTGAAATCGCTAAACTCATGTTTTATTATAGAAATAATATTGCCTCCACTGCTTCTCAATCTTTTTGTAACGAATAGCCAAATTCATAACTATGGTACCTGAACAGCCAGTAATTATCGAACGCATTTGTGCCGTACAAATCTCAAGCAATTTACTATTCTCTGCCAAGGTCCTAAAATTTGGAACTTTCTTCCTGTTTCAGTCACTCGTTCGTTAAACCTTCTTAGTTTTAAGACGAAAATGAAAGAGTTTTTACCTAAATAATCCTTGAATTGGCCTAGCCGCACATTCGCAGCACTTTTCCTTTACTTTATTTATTGATGTAAGTGAGGTGGCTCTCCCATAAGCCCGGTGGCTTCTTGGGTCTCCTCGCCTTCTAGCTATAACCGCTGTAAAACCCTATCCGTCAGATCAGGTTAAACGACAGAATAAATAGCAATGCAGACATGTAGATAAACATACTAGACCTTGAGGTAGCTTATTTATCTTCCCATGAGGGATTTACGAAGCTGCGGCATTTCTGATTCCAGTATCAAGTGCGTCACTTGTCTGTATGAACTATTATACATTCATTTATGAGATAGATAAATAGACAGATAGACTGTGTTTTATTAAAATTACATTGCAGATAAAACTGAATTGCGTAACTTCACATTAATTAATTGTACAAACTGTTTCTGCAACACATATTTATGAAACTTGTTGCCGCTCTGTCGGTCTTACAACGATTAAGATTGAAATTCCTCTGTTTCCTAAAATTGTAATTAGCCTGATAACTTTTTGGGATTAAAGAATGAATTTTGTTGTTTTTGTTTTCTAAAACTGATCGGAAAAGTGTCGATGTCAACTGTTCTTGGTGGGTTCTCAAGCTTGGTTCTCAACCTATGGTCTCGCTTACCGCATCCATACTCAACAGACAGAGCTCAAAGAGAAAGAGAGCTAGGGCCTCACATTTCTCTTCCAACTTAAAGACAACTGGTTCAGTAACAGTTTATTCATAAAATTCCTGTAAGATACACCGAGGGTTTCTGTGCACAAAGATGCATGGAGTACATAGATTTAACAAATTTTGAATATCTTCCTCGGATATTTCTTTAAGAACAGTACGTACGGTACCGCTTTAATTCTTTCCAAGACGCGAAACGATTTAAATGTGCTTTTCTTTAGATACAACGAGAAGCCAAGTATTTTTCTTGGAAAAGAACTTGATTGGAGTTAAATTTATTGCAAGTATTCTTGAGGTGAGGAAAGCTAATGAAGAAATACGTAGCATATTATAATCGAAAGACGAGAAAATTGGGAAAAAAAGGTATACATAAAGAATACATCTTATTGATGTGATTTCTTTAGCTTTGTATCTACCTCTAATGATTTCGCTAGATTATAACAAGTAATAATCATAAAAAGAATTGAAAAAACAAACAAACAAACAATCAAGCACAATAGTTCTCTTAAAGAAGAACAGCAATTTTGATCACGAAACTGGGCATTAGAGGAGGTTAAATCTTTCAAATTCATGAATATGTTACCTTCATTTTTTCATCGAAATTGTTGTAAAGCAAAATATTATTTTTTATATTTTCAGGCATGTAGAATTGACAAATGATATCATTTGGAGAATAGGGGGATTCAGAGGGTGACAGTTTAACAGGTACAAATTAATCTTCATTCTGCAACTGATTAGAGCTGTTTAGAGCTCATTTTATCTATAAATAAAGGTCGTAATCTTAATTTTCGTGCAGCTAACAACAGTTAAGTTTAATTTCAGTCGAATTTAAATTTTACACATGCACTTTGTAGAGGAAAAGGGTCGATAAACGAGTTTCTTTACGCAATAGGCTCGCGGGGTGTTGGTAGAATTCGTGACGGTAACGCAAACCCTCGTAGGTGTTTCGGTTTCGAATAGGTCTCGCGAATTCTCCCAGCCCCACACGCGATAAAATGAAGGAATGAGTGAAGAGTCTTTTATTGCATTATTTTTGATCGATGCTTATCCATGCCTACCAGGTACAACTAGGTTGTTTATTGCAACTCACGCATTTTGTTAAGGGACAGACTTGAACGACGTTTCAACAGATGAGACTACGAAAACAAACAAACAAACAATTGAAAAAACAAATATGACACAACCCGTGGAACTTGACTTGGGCTGTCACGCAACCACAATAGCGTGACGGAGGAAGCTTTGAGATTCTCATTCTTTCTCTATGATTAAGTATACAACGTTTTCTTTAGATTACTTCATCTGAGTCTCCTCTTTTTGATTTTTAACGATGTAGCGCAGTACAATAGATTCAATTTTATTTCTAGCTATGGCAGAAAGCAACCTCCCAACAACTGGAGAAGAACTGGAGGTGAAAAAAGAGTTTTCAGCTACAGGTGAGAAAAAGCAACAGGGAGAGACTTCGTCATGGTGATTTTGTACTGTTTGGTAATTAAGTATGCTTTAATTCTGGTGCTCAATTTTTTGGACCACTTCGACTTGAATGTTTTGAGGAATCACTAAATACGCCAGTATTAGAACGCTAGTTATAATTGCACACGGTTGTGATCACTAACAAAGTTGAAATATCTTCTCGGTAATTTCAGCGACAGAGAAAAGTCAAGTTACGTCAAGTGACGCTGAACTGGATGTAGACAATGACCCTTTAAGAGGTAAGAACACCGGGTGAAACAAGACTTTTGAAAGACGCCTCGGTGAAGTTTTTGTCACATTTACATTAAAATTTGCGTATGTTCTGTGGATAAGTTTTTGAAACAGCAAAAGATTTTTTTTTAAATTTTAAACTTTTAAACGATCGAGCAGAATGCGTAGACATCATTAATTTTTTTCCTTAGCAATAAAGTGGCAAATTTGAACGCGACTACGCTTCGGAGAGCCCTAAATTAAAGAAGAATAAGCCAAATTGGCCTAGAAAGCTTCGTAAAACTCAGATTTCTGAGTTTTTAGATATGCTTATCTGTAAATCAACGCACAGTGTTTTGGAGATTAAAGATGTATCTACATTTTGCACCTAAAATGAACGATATTTGTGCAGTAAAAAGTATTTTCCTTTTGCACTTGAAAATATTGTAAATTTGGTCATTTATAGTATGAAAAGTCATTTTCGGTAAGAGAGAGCTGTTGGTACCCGTAGACCTGTCAAAGTCCAGTATTGAAACATTTGCAAACGGGTAACTTCTTTTAGGCCGCCAAAAGGAAAGTATTTACGCGAACACCTTTTTGTCCCTTATTGTTTAATACTTGTTCGGAGGAACGTTCACGCAATTTGAGAATTCTGCAGAGAAGAGGAGGCATTTTGTCTCGGCCGTATCGCCTGTTTTGATCTTCTTAACATTTTACACCTTTTCGGACAGTTATGTCAACACCAGGCTCACGCTGTAAACCACCAGCCAACAGAACCAGAACCCCTGACTTTCACAACAGGCAAAATAGAAATTCGCGGGAAAGTAGTACTTTCCCAATAATATTTTTTTCCAGTGAGCCTCTACGGGCATGTTCTCAATAGAATATTACATGTATGACGACGAACCCTTGTCACTCTTAGCACGACGTTTCTTTTGTTATCCGAACATTCACAAGTTTTAACCTTTTTCAGTCCTGGCTTTGCTTTGCTTTGCTTTATACATTTTTTTCTCAATAACTCATGGGGTTTTATATTCCAATTTGACATTTTGGAGAACGTAACCCAGGTGTAAAAGGAATTTTGGAAAGTCTTTCGACCTCAATGTAGACCGAACAAACTTGATCTGGTTATAGCCAAGCTACTGCTAAAACTCTTGATAGCTTGCATATTTTAAAGCAAATGAAATACACAGATAAAGTCTCCTGAAGTGCGATTGTAAACGAAGTTGAGTTGAAATAGGATCTCCCGGTGAAATTTGGGATACTTTGGAAAACGTAAACCAGGTGTAAAAGGGTTTTTGGAGAGTTTCTTGACCCAAATGTAAACCGAGAAACTTGAACTGGTAATAGCCAAGACACAGCCCAGACTCCCAACACCTTAAACATTTTACTTAAACAAAATGTACAAAACTAAACTTTTCTGATTTTTTTTTTTTTTTAAGCTCTAAGCTCCTTTAACCTAACAGATCGTTTGGAAGTAAAAAGTTGGCATCATTCGCCAAGGGTCGTGTAACTCATTACTAAATCATTAACACTAACATGGTGTGTTTTCAGGGATTGCGAAAGTATGTCTCGAGGAAGGTAACAAAGAATACACACGAGGAGAAGCTAATAACGCGATAAACTCCTACACGGAAGGACTCCAAGTCAACTGCAAAGATAAACGACTGAACGCCAAGCTTTACAGCAACAGGGCAACAGCTAATTTCCGTTTGGGTAACAATTTCATTTCTAAATATATAAATCTCTCATGCAGCGTTACAAGATAACGGAATACACAATCTGCATCAAGAAAATTATCGTTATTAGACTGCAATTTAAGCAATTGTAATTTTTCAGGCTTCTTTGCTCTAATTTCTTTGGATGACCATATTTTTAAACCTCATTTCCTGAATCTCACAGCAAACTACGTGGAATGTCTGGATGATGCAACAGTTGCAGTTCAATTGGAACCCACTTTAATCAAAGCTATTAAGAAAGGTGGGTTTTTCAGACATAAGCCATCAACATTCTATTCCCTGATTTCGTCAAAGAGGATTGTGTGGTTTGTGGCAGTTGACTGCACCCCAAGTGTCAACTTATCTGGTGTGTCAATGTCTGTTATGTGGGTAAAAAGCATAAGAAAATGTCAATAAGCTCTCAAATACCGCTGCCTGCTTAGTTCATGTTGCAGAGCGCCGGAGGTCGAGGGCTCAAGCGCTAGACCAGAACAACACTCAGAGTCGTAAAATATCTAAGGAGAATGTGCTGCCAACTAAGCTATGACATCTACAAATGGTTTGATATTCTTGTGTCGGATATGGACGGAAAACCGTTACCCCCGTCGAGTCCTGCATCTTCTCTGTAACTTTTAGTAGGGGACGTTAAAAAACCCGGCCAGGAGGCACCTGAAAAATTCTCTTACAAAAGTTGTAAACTGTTCAATGCAGTCTGCCCGAAAACTTCCCGAAAAGTGCTGAAAAGCGCGTAACAACACATTAAAGTGAAGAATACGCCAGATAAATTCATCGTTATCATCATCAATTAAAGCTTAATTGGTAGCCACTTTGTATTACCTACTTATTCTTCATTTTCAGTTCTTCCACAAGTTCAAATTCCCTTCATTATTACAATTTTGTTCCCAGCTAAATGACAAATTACGGTCCATTTTATCGATACGTTTATACCTTAACAGTGATAAATTACCTCACACCACCAATTATTCTCTCCTTTTCAGGAGCCAGAGCTTGTGTCGAACTTTGCTGGTATAAAGAAGCAAGGAGCTGGTTGTATATGGGATTGGCTGTATCCTTTAAAGAGTGTTTGAAACGTGATACGAGATGCAATGCGAATAATATTTCAAGAAAAATCAATAAGTTCCAGGAAGATTCTTCTGCACATAATGCAAGCGATGTTCTCTTATACTGCACTGAGCAGTTTAAAGAAGCTAAAATGTTATCAAAGAGTTCTTTCGATTATTCCACAAAACTTTACTCAAAGAGGAGGCCATACTAATTAATTCCCAGAGTTTGAGCTGAATACCCCTCATTTTTGTCTTCAGACAAGCATCACCATGACGAACGAGCCTAAACCAATAAATGCGCTTCAGAGATAATTAAACTCTCCAATGACTTGAGATCTAAAAAAAAAACCCACGTTCGAATTATCATTCCAGTTTTAAGGTTCTATCTAATACTCTCACTGTTTTTTTAAATACACATTTCCACTGCATTTTCGCAAATCTGCTCATGATTTATCGACCCTTGACACGTTTCAAGATTGAAAATAACAACAAACGTCTGCTTCAATTACTAAGGAAAACTAATGCTGAACTAATAGTCAAAGCAAACAGTTCTTGCAGTCTCGGCAACGCTTATCAAGGTCTAGGACAGTTCAAAACAGCCATCCAGTACCATCAACGTGATCTAGAAATTGCTAAAGAAGCGGGAGACAAGGCCGGAGAGGGAAAAAGTTATGGCAATCTCGGCGTCGCTTATCTCAGTCTAGGAGAGTTCAAAACAGCCATCCAGTACCACCAACGTCATCTAGAAATTGCTAAAGAAGCAGGAGACAAGGCCGGAGAGGGAAAAAGTTATGGCAATCTCGGCGTCGCTTATTACAGTCTAGGAGAGTTCAAAACAGCCATCCAGTACCATCAACGTCATCTAGAAATTGCTAAAGAAGTGGGAGACAAGGCCGGAGAGGGAAGAAGTTATGGCAATCTCGGCGTCGCTTATCGCAGTCTAGGAGAGTTCAAAACAGCCATCCAGTACCATCAACGTCATCTAGAAATTGCTAAAGAAGTGGGAGACAAGGCCGGAGAGGAAAAAAGTTATGGCAATCTCGGTGTCGCTTATTACAGTCTAGGAGAGTTCAAAACAGCCATCCAGTACCATCAACGTGATCTAGAAATTGCTAAAGAAGTGGGAGACAAGGCCGGAGAGGGAACAAGTTATGGCAATCTCGGTGTCGCTTATTACAGTCTAGGAGAGTTCAAAACAGCCATCCAGTACCTTCAACGTTATCTAGAAATTGCTAAAGAAGTGGGAGACAAGGCCGGAGAGGGAAAAAGTTATGGCAATCTCGGCGTCGCTTATATCAATCTAGGAGAGTTCAAAACAGCCATCCAGTACCTTCAACGTCATCTAGAAATTGCTAAAGAAGTGGGAGACAAGGCCGGAGAGGGAAGAAGTTATGGCAATCTCGGTGTCGCTTATACAGTCTAGGAGAGTTCAAAACAGCCATCCAGTACCTTCAACGTGATCTAGAAATTGCTAAAGAAGTGGGAGACAAGGCCGGAGAGGGAAGAAGTTATTGCAATCTCGGCGTCGCTTATGACAGTCTAGGAGAGTTCAAAACAGCCATCCAGTACCATCAACGTCATCTAGAAATTGCTAAAGAAGTGGGAGACAAGGCCGGAGAGGGAAAAAGTTATGGCAATCTCGGCATCGCTTATAACAGTCTAGGAGAGTTCAAAACAGCCATCCAGTACCATCAACGTGATCTAGAAATTGCTAAAGAAGTGGGAGACAAGGCCGGAGAGGGAAAAGTTATGGCAATCTCGGTGTTCATCCAGTATCAACGTCACAGTCTAGGACAGTTCAAAACAGCCATCCAGTACAATCAACGTCATCTAGAAATTGCTAAAGAAGTGGGAGACAAGGCCGGAGAGGGAAAAAGTTATTGCAATCTCGGCGTCGCTTATGACAGTCTAGGAGAGTTCAAAACAGCCATCCAGTACCATCAACGTCATCTAGAAATTGCTAAAGAAGTGGGAGACAAGGCCGGAGAGGGAAGAAGTTATTGCAATCTCGGCGTCGCTTATGACAGTCTAGGAGAGTTCAAAACAGCCATCCAGTACCATCAACGTCATCTAGAAATTGCTAAAGAAGTGGGAGACAAGGCCGGAGAGGGAACAAGTTATATCAATCTCGGCGTCGCTTATGACAGTCTAAGAGAGTTCATAACAGCTATCCAGTACCATCAACGTTATCTAGAAATTGCTAAAGAAGTGGGAGACAAGTCCGGAGAGGGAAAAAGTTATTGCAGTCTCGGCGTCACTTATTACAGTCTAGGAGAGTTCAAAACAGCCATCCAGCACCATCAACGTCATCTAGAAATTGCTAAAGAAGTGGGAGACAAGGCCGGAGAGGGAAGAAGTTATCGCAATCTCGGCGTCGCTTATTACAGTCTAGGAGAGTTCAAAACAGCCATCCAGTACCATCAACGTGATCTAGAAATTGCTAAAGAAGTGGGAGACAAGGCCGGAGAGGGAAAAAGTTATTGCAATCTCGGCGTCGCTTATATCAGTCTAGGAGAGTTCAAAACAGCCATCCAGTACCATCAACGTCATCTAGAAATTGCTAAAGAAGTGGGAGACAAGGCCGGAGAGGGAAGCAGTTATGGCAATCTCGGCATCGTCTATTGCAGTCTAGGACAGTTCAAAACAGCCATCCAGTACAATCAACGTCATCTAGAAATTGCTAAAGAAGTAGGAGACAAGGCCGGAGAGGGAATCAGTTATTGCTGTCTCGGCAGGATTCATCTCCGTCAAAGAGAGTTGAAAACGGCAATCGAGTGTTATCAACGTCACCTAGAAATATCCAAAGAAGTGGGAAATAAGACTGGAGAGGCGTGCTCACTCTGTTCCCTTGGAATCAGCTTTGAGTGCCAAGGAAATCTTACGAGGGCCTTTGACTGTTATTACTCGAGTGTTGAATTGTATGATGATATCAGGGCCAGTCTTCAATTCAACGATCAGTGGAAGATTTGTTATCGTAATCAGCACTAAGCAGCATACAAAGGTTTGTGGCGTATAAATTTCAATCGAGGTCAAGTTGTGAAGGCTCTTCTTGCCGCAGAGAAAGGACGTGCTCAAGCTCTGAGAGATCTCATGGTCACAAAATACCAGCCTGGAGATTCTTTAACGCCCAGCGCATCCCGCATTTCTCTTAGGTGGGTTCCATTGAGCACAGTTTTCGTAGCTATTAGTGGACCGTACGTTTACTTCTGGGTTTGCCTCAGTGAAAATAATATCCAGAAGAGAGAAGTACACGTGAACAATTACAAGTATGAGAATGAGTTGAAAGTTTTCATCCAGCTACTAAACAAAACTGCTCTTAAGGAGATCGGCGCAAGAGATACTGTTACCATCGAGAATCCTCCGCTTGACTCGCCGACAGAAGAGGAAGTGGCCAATAATGTGACCCGAGTTGATGTGAGACACTCCCAATCAAGTGCTTTAAAGAAGCTGCATGACATCATCGTTACTCCTATTGCTGACCTGATCGAAGGCAACGACGAGATCACATTCGTTCCTGAGGGGCCATTTTGCCTTGTACCTTATACAGCGTTGCAGGACTCCAACTCATCATATCTAAGTGATTCTTTCAGAATTCGTGTGCTTCCCTCCCTGACGACCTTGCAACTAATTCATGATTGTCCAGCTGACTTTCACATGAAGACTGGTGCATTGCTTGTCGGCGACCCATGTTTCAAACACATCATCTATGAGGGAACACTTTTGGTGCAACTCACAGGAGCAAGGAAAGAAGTGGAGATGATCGGACGTATCCTAAATGTCTCTCCCCTCACTGGAGAAATGGCAACAAAACAGGAAGTGTTAAAACGAATATCATCAGTGGCGTTAGTTCATATTGCAGCGCACGGTAAAAAGGAAACTGGAGAAGTTATCCTGGCACCAAACGCCACAAGAGAAAATCCTCAGCCGCAAGAGAAAGACTATCTACTGACGATGAAAGATGTCATAGAAGCTGGGTTGCGAGCACGTCTGGTTGTACTTAGCTGCTGTCACACTGCTCGTGGGGAGGTCATGGCCGAGGGTGTAGTCGGTATGGCGCGTGCACTTTTGGCTGCCGGTGCCAGATCTGTTGTGGTAACCTTGTGGGCGATTGACGACGAGGGAACCCTGGAGTTCATGAGTTTCTTCTACGACGCACTTGGCAAAGGCAAGAAGGCAAGTGAAGCTCTCAATCAGGCCATGAAGTGTATGAGAGAAATTGAAAAGTTCAAGGAGGTGATTTACTGGGCACCATTTGTACTCATTGGTGACGACGTCCAGCTGGATTTCAAAGATATTTCGAAGCTGAAGTAAGTAAATATTCTGTTTACACATTCTATTCAATACAAAGTTACATAAAATCATAATTATGGCTTATATGTTTCAGTTGGGTTACGAATTTATGTTTTGCTCCGGCAAATTGAGATGCAGTACAATCAAGAGGACACGTTTACGATGATAACATTCTTTTTAGGAAATCTGATAGGAGTAAAAGAGCATTTTTCTAAAAATAATCCTATTGTGCAATGTATCGTTTCATGTGCTAAGAAATATTTCATGGCAACTTAACTATCCTCCCTAAACTTAGATTCTTCTATTTTTCAGTTAAGGAAGTGAACATTGGAATCCCAGGGAGTTTTAGGATACCTGCAAACGCTGATATTTGGACCATAAACCAGTAAGCTACCGATAAAATATTTGTCAAGAGTCTTCTTTTCAAAGCAGGAAGAACCGAAAGACGGCCAAAGTCAAGTCTAACAAGAGAACGGATTTCCATTGATTCAAAAGTTGACATTTTGCTTGTCTGAACTGCTCTTATGAGCTTCATCTTTGATATCCTGCCGGAACAACATTTTTTTTTTTATATGATGTCTTGGAATTATCATGACAACCTATGTAAAAAGGTTTTTTTCTAAATCTAAGTATTAGCTACTAAAATGATTAAGGCTTGCGTTTTACGTAGAAGTTGAAACGTCTTGAAAACGTTTTCCACAGTTTTTTTACAGATTTTTCTTAATCGGATTTTGTCTCATGAGTGATGTAAAGCTGTTGTAGCTATGTGCATGTGTGGAGAATTTCCATGGAAGTTAGAGAATAATTAGTTGTCCGATTGCTCGATTATCTTAGTTTATGTCAGATGGAAATTGTGATTAACTTTTCGAGGATTTGTACCCAGTCATTGGTACCTAAAGTTCGTTTCTGCCGATCAGAATTTGGTTTATTTGGACTTAAAATGACAGATTTTGGTTGTAATGGCCATAATTTAATCCTGGTATTAGTTAATTTTCGGAGATTTTTCCTTTAATTTTGAAGGCGATAAATTGTGTTACTTTTTACAAGCAGAACGATGCATTTTAAGTATTTTGTTTAAACTAATCGTTTAGAGGCAAAACGTGAAGTTTTATATTAATTTTAGTTACTGGCGCACAAAGCTTTAAAAGAAGCTCAGAACGAGCTAGAAAGTTGGAGCCAAATGATTTCATTTAGTTTCTCCGATTAGATTGTTTACCTATTATCTAAGTACAATAAACTAACATTTGAATGTCAAACAATGAAACAAGTCGCTTGGCATTTTGTTAGAATGGAAGAGGAAATCAGTAACAAAGGGAAGAAAAATTTCTGCATCAACCTGCATAAGACATTTCTTGTCGTTTGAATTAGTGAGCGCGCCTAAGTCTTATTCCCTTAATAACTTTTGCCCACCCCTTTGAGTAGGTTTATTGAATGAGAGATGAATTTCGATATTTTCTGACCCTGTAACTGCTATTATCGATCATAGGCAGCCGTTACCGAGGATGTCACGCGACGCACTTCTTTAGCGCGTTATGCGACAGATGTGGTGTTTTGTCACATCTTGTCGTTTGAAGTAGTGAGCTCACCGATGTCTCATTCGTTCAACTTTGTCCATTTCCTTGGATAGAGTTACTGAATGAGGTATAAACCTCGATATTTTAGATCTTATAACTGCAAGTTTCATCGGTAGCCGTTCCTTAGGATGTCACGCAACGCGCTTCTTTTGCATGTAATGAGACAGATATGATGTTTTGTCAAAAATCGTTGGAGGCAAGAAAAGAGAAATTACCTTTCACTTTGGGAGATGGTGCTTTAATCTGTTTACCGAAAGCGTCCTTATCATAGGAGATACCGTAGGTCGGTACGGTTCCACGAGTGTAGAAAATATTGATGACTTTTTTTTCCACGATTGCAAACTTAAGTGCCGCTCTCGCTAAGAGCGGTCCTCTCGACTTCCCGTCCAAGAAAAGTTTTCCTTTATTTTTTGCCCATGAAAAGGGTTTAGGACACATATTTCAAAAATAGTTTGGTTGTTCTCTAATTCTATTGTTTTGCGTCGCCACAAGCCAAAAGTGATTTTTGGCTAAACCCCCCGTGTAGACCGCGATCGATATATATTCAGTCAGTTCACAGACAAAATATGAAAACTTCACTTGAAATCCTATTCATACCAGCGTGATCAGAAGAGAACCTTCCCTTCGACCTTAATTTGCATATGAAAAATTCATCAATTTATAGGAAATAATTCTCGAATGCAGGTGTAAATCGGGCTCAAAAAGCATATCAGTGGATAGTTTTATACACCAATGAGGTCACTGCTTGCCTCAAACCCGCGGGTGTCTCTCTAGTTTTCATCCACCAACATCTTGAAAACAACGCAAATCCATGTGTTTACTCAATCACGCAAATGTCAAATTGACCATAATATCTCTTTGATCGTTCAAACTTCGTTTGTTTATCTTCTACGTATATTATTTTAGGTTTTTATAACAACTAGATGGAAAATTAATCCCAAGTTGTCTTAAAACGCTGCATAAACGAGATCAGTCGTAACGCTAGCAGGACCAACAAAGTAAACAAAAGCGATCGAAAGACGTTTCCCTTGAATCAGGTCATGAACCACGCACAGAATGGAGAAGATCAAAATTAAAGAACACAACTTGGCACTCTGGTCATTGCGTATATACTGCGTAGCTTAAAGGTACACGGAAACAATTGAAAACAATTACGTTTCGGTATTATTTACAAAACAATATTTGTACACTCAGCAAAAATTCTTGCAGTTTCGACCAAGGTTTAGCACACGGAATGCAATCATCGGGCGTTCCTTTCTGAAAATTTGCTGGCATCATTCAATATTTTATACTGTTACAGACCACAACGTTCTTGAGGGACGACTCTAACTTTTCCTGTGACCATCCAAACCAGTGAGGCAAACTCAGATTGGTGTATTGCGTGACGCGATTATGCTAAATAGTTCACGTGATATGTGACTCGTTTCGCGGGTATGAAAATTGAACCTAAAAAGTAGTTTATGTAACGAATTAGAATGGACTGCAGTAAAGGAAATGGGGATGGTATTTAAGCTTGCAATGTTTTACCACCCCCCCCCCTTCCCTGCCCCGCTTTTATTTTCATGAGGGGGGCTAAGGTCCCAGCATACCTCGATCCAACCCCCTCGCGTAAGCTAAGGTCGTGCCCCACGTGTTTCCTTGGCGGAGAGGAGAGTTACTTCAGTTATTCAAATGTTTTGTGAAATTTCTCCTAGAAAAATGTCTACATGTTACTTGGAAAGCAGAGATTGTAGTGGCTGCGGGCATTTCAGCGGAGTTTCAGCCCTGATATCTCTCCTGGAATGCCAGAACGACGTATCAAGTCATTTAAAGTATTACTACCTATCCAGCAAAATCTTAGAGTGCGAGTTGATTTTGTTTCGTTCCGGTCATTTTGGCCTCGAAATGGGAAAATTAAAACAGATGTTTGTTTGTTCTAAACATCGGAACGCTTTGGGAAAACATTGGAAATGTGGTAAAAGTACTTGCCAGCATCCAGAGCACAAAGGAAAATGTGAGGCAGTGAAAGGAGACCGAGTGTTCAACGCCAGACTGGCTAGAGATGTTTTCGAAGTTTACGGAATTACAGTTTCAGTCGGATCACGTCAGTAATATTTTTTAATTTCTCGATTGTGAGAAGGCTAGTATCTTTCTAATAATTTATTCGCAAGGGCCTATCTGCCCTTGCAGACTGAGTTAGAATCGTCTCCATAAAATCATAAGACAACTTTTGCCATGAAAAATGTCTCAAATTTTGTCAGCGCTTGATCTGCTCATATGACTGGTCGGCATGGTTTGCCAAAGTATTCAAACTTCAATTCCCAGAATTCATCTTAAGTCTTTTCAAAGTTTTAAAAATCCGCGAGTTTCGCAAGAAATGACAACTACTGTTTACTCTGGTGGCACTTTTTGTAACAAATGATCGACCAGTTCAACACGGCTTTGTTTATTTAGTCGCTTTAGTCCAGTTTTCACCCGTGGGAAATTTTGTCGGCGGTGTACCTGGAGATTTTCCTGCTTCAGCCAATATTTGTCAAGTCGCGACAAACCATCCATACTTTTAAAAGGTGTTTTTGAAGACAGAAAATGTTTCGAGATAAACAATTTTTTTGCTGGTGTGGATCCGGATAGGCCCTACAAATTTCAATGGTTAAAGTGTTTTGGGAACGACGGATTTTGAAGAAATGGTGACCTAGGTTTTGAACGCTGGTTTTTATTTATCGAGTCCCTGTGAGGTTTGATGAATAGCAGAATCAGTACTCCACGAGGAACCATGAGCGAAGTTTCTTATATTATTTGGACGCCATTATGGACGAAATGCGCAAGCGCGGCCGCCATCTTGTCCAATATTTCTGCCGATGAGGATTGCTTCACTCACAGAACAAAAAGCCTTTTTAAGACGGCAAATGAAAAAAAAACCCTATGTTTAGATCACGGCATGTAAATTGCAAGCTTTTAAGACCCCGGTAGTAAATGAAATTTGCTCGGATGACTTGACCACGCTGATAACCGCATACAAACAGGCACCTTCGAAGAAGCTGAAAACCCAGATCTTGAGCATATATGCACCGCACTATTCAGCGAGATTCCTAAAAAAAATTCACGAGCCCTTTGAAAAACTGAGCGATCGACAAATTAAGAAGGCAAGAGCTCATGCCAAAAATGTCAAAGCTGGCTTTAAGCTCAACAAAACGCCACACCACAGAGTCGAATAGACTTGGTGAAACTTGATAATTTTCTGTCTTTTGTAGACCAACCATATTTTTATCAAGATGTGGCCTATGGAACAAGGACTTTAAAACTTGACTCTGGGGATCATCTCGTCGTGCCAAATGTCATCAGAATTGTCGGACGATCAACGATGATTGAACAGTATCCTGAACACTGTTGCGAGGAAGATTTCGACCCCCTTGGAAAACCAACGCTTTACAGAATTTTACAAGTAAGAGAGGCCTCTCAAAGGCGGTCCCTTCTAGGGCTAGACAACACTGCTGTAAGCGGAACGGAAGGGTTCGGAGCAATGCACAAGATAGTAGAGGAATTGGAAGAGGGAGGGGCAACTAAAAAGTGGTGTGAAGAAGTTCGAAGAGCACTGAAGGATGCAAAGCGATACCTGAAGACAGAGTATGGGATGCACTGTCAGGAAGATGGTAGTCCTTTGCCCTGACCATTGTATGTGTTTTTCTTTAAGTGATCCTCAAAACCCCGAGTTTCAAGGAAGTTGTTCCCATGAACATCACGCTAGCTGTGATAGTTGCGAAAGTTTGAAATCCGTGATTCAGGCAATTGGAAAAGAAATTGAATCTCCTTCGATAACTTTTGACAACATAGAGAAGAAAGAGGACCTGAAACACGACCATGATGAAGTCAGAGAGGCGATTTCTCAGTGGAAGGCGCATATCATCAGGACTAAGAACCAGGCGAGAGCAAAACAGAATCTACTCACGTCCCTCCAAAAGAATGCCTCCCTCATTGTCACGGACTGGGCCATGAAGTTCATCCAACTGAAATACAGAGAAAAGCAGTCTGAGTGGTTCGGAAAGAGAGGAATGAATTGGCATGTTAGTTCAGTTATTACCAGGAATGCAGAGGACAACGGCCTTGAGATTATGTCATATGTTCATCTATTCTAAAGCTCTGCCCAAGACTGGTATACGGTTTGCACAATTCTGGAAAATCTTCTCGGCAACATCAGACAGATCAAGCCTACCGTAAACGAGGTATTTTTGCGATCAGATGGTGCGGGTTGTTACCACAACAATAATCTAATTGCAGCTGTCTCTAACGTTGGTACAAGCGTTGGAATCAAGGTGATAAGGTAAGTTGAAAATGCTTTTCAGATTACAACACGAACACATTCTTCAAAGTTGCATGCGCCTTCCAAAAGCATGCGAACTCTTGGCTTGATCGACTTCAGAACTAAACTTTCATGCTGTTTCTGTTCATTATAGTAAGTGGTATTTCAGAGCCGACACAAAAAAAATAGATCGAAATCTTTTCATAATATACTGCAGGAATGTAATTATCCTCTGGACCCTTGAAACATCGCATGCCGTCGAACTCCGGCTTAAAAGCAAATTAAAACGCATTTTTGTTCAACCGCAGTAGTTTACATATAGTTGCTCTATGCAAAGTACAAGTAGCGAATGAATGCTTACCTTTCTCAAAGGGCATTCTGGGAGAATTTAAGTAGGTTTGTCTATTTACCGTGTTGTCCTTTTGTTGCCTCTTCCGTCTTTAGAACCGTTATAAGTATAATTTGTTCATGATGAGCAGAATGTGCTGGTAGAGGCAGGAACATACACTGAGCTTACCTAGTGTAGATCGCAACGCCTTACATTCTTTTTCGTTCGTTTATTGTTCTTGTGCAAGAGTGCTAATTGTAGTAAAATTTTGTGTGCGCTTTCTTTGTGTCATTGCGTAATGTTGCGTAACGTAGCATGTATTTAACCGTATTGTTCATCGTAATTTGGTGCAGTTTTGCAGTGTAGTTTCGTCGAGCGTAGTTTCGTATATTTGTTCTTTTCGCTTCGTGCAGTTTGTTCGCCACTAGGCAGGATCTATAACATCGCAACAAATTTAAGTTTTGTATCATGCAGTTTTCTTCGTTGTTTTCGTTGTAGCTTTCCTTGTGTATTTAGTCTAGTTTATATTGTAATAGTTTTCGTTCGCTGTTTTATTTGCAGTTTTAACCGTACCGTGTCGTTTCGTTCCGCGTTAATAATTGCGCTAGAATTAGTTAGTATTAGTCGCCAGTGGCAGTCACACCTAGCAACATCTATATTAGTATGACAGGTATTGATAGATCAGTTATTCTAACTGAGACACTTCCTTTCCTTATTCTGAAGGTATGATTTTTCTGAACCTCAATCTGGCAAGGATGTTTGCGATCGCATCATCAGTCCAATGAAAGGGGCAATTCGTAGATACTGCAATGAAGGCCATAACATTTTGACAGCAGCTGACATGCATGAGGCATTGAAAGTGAGTTAAGTGAAGGGATCATCAGCTGCTGTTGGCGAGATTGATAGCGACAGAAAAGAAGTAAAAATTAAGCGCATCAATAATTTCAGCTTTTTTCACAATTTTGCTTATGAAAAGGATAGTCTTCGTCTCTCAAAAGCCTATGGGGTCGGCAAGGGCAAAATAATACCATGGTCAGAGCTCATCCTTGAGAAGCATGGCCCTGTTGTGTTAAGGGAAGTTGGGAATCATGATTTCTTTGCCATAGGACCACGAGCCATAAAACAGAATTGCAATCACAGCCAAATTTCCAGCAATAATAAAGACATTCTGTTTCACTGCCCAGAACAAAGATGCTGCTCTGAGTTCACTTCTTCAGAAGAACTCCAAGATTATGTGCACCTCGGGGAGCACAGCAAGAGAGAGGTTTCAGAGAGCCTTTACGACAGCCTCAGACATGAATGGGCCATGAAATTTTCCTCCTTAACTCTTGAATCAAAGATAGCAACACTCGAAGTAACGGGAAAAGTTAAAAGTGAAGTGTGCAAGATGGGCTGGGCTCTTCAGAAAACGCGAGGCAGTGGAACAAGGTTCACGGAGAAAGTGAAAGAGTATCTTTCAAGCAGCTTTCAAACCAGTGAAAGAACAGGCAGAAAAGCCGATCCCGACCTGATTCAAGGGAAACGTCTTTCGATCGCTTTTGTATACATTGTTGGTCCTGATAGCGTTACGACTGATCTCGTTTATGCAACGTTTTAAGACAACTTGGGATTTATTTTCCATCTAGTTGTTATAAAAACCTAAAATAATTTACGTAGAAGATAAACAAACGAAGTTTGAACGGTCAAAGAGATATTTTGGTCAATTTTCATAATTATGCAAATAAGCTTTGACATTTGCGTAATTGAGTAAACACATTGATTTGCGTTGTCTTCGAGCTGTTGGTGGATGAAAACTAGAGAGACACCCGCGGGTTTGAGGCAAGCCGTGACCTCATTGGAGTATAAACTATCCACTGATATGCTTTTTGAGCCTGATTTACACCTGCATTTCGAGAATTATTTCCTATAAATTGATGAGTTTTTCATATGCAAATTAAGGTCGAAGGGAGGTTCTCTTCTGATCACGCTGGTATGAATAGGATTTCAAGTGAAGTTTTCATATTTTGTCTGTGAACTGACTGAATATATCTTGCAACTTTTAGCAAGAGAGAATTCCGTGAGCTACATTATTGTAGTCGCAGCACCCTCGACAAAAGTTGTGAAAATTACACTTTCGATCGCTGTCTACACGGGGGGTCTAGCCAAAAATCACTTTTGGCTTGTGGCGACGCGAAAAAAGAGAATTAGAGAACAACCAAACTATTTTTGAAATATGTGTCCTAAACCCTTTTCATGGGCAAAAAATAAAGGAAAACTTTTCTTGGACGGGAAGTCGAGAGGACCGCTCTTAGCGAGAGTGGCACTTAAGACTTTTGGATAGAATAATACGAAATTCATTATTATAATTCTTTTATTTTCAGCTCGATATAAATATTGAAACAAGTCCATGGTTCTTTTTTTTATCTTTATGCTATATTGGTCTAAAGCAGCCTTTTTTTCTATTTTTTTCAGATGCAAACTAGAACGTTATATTCGATTATGTTTTTTAAAGATGTGATTTGTCATTTAACGGACTATTGTATGGCTTGGTTTCCATTAGTTGATTTAAGTTCATGCGTAGTTGTGGGAGATTTCAATTACAGACATATCCCCCCCGTACATATCATGTTGTACATTTACCCTACGAAATCAGATTACGTCAATTGCAATCTTTGTTACAAAGAAACACCGAGTTCCATGATAAACACTTTTTTTAATAAGATGGGTGACACCGTATGATGAAGAAGTACGTGTAATTATTGGCAATATTTTTCTTCAAAGAATGATGAGATATTCATAATTTTTTCTCCATCTTTTTCAGAGAAAGTACTTCGAATTAAAATCGTTATCCTCATATGATTCTTGTGAAATGTGCTGTGACAGGAAGAGAAGTGTATAAAAAAATCTGTAGTAAGTTAATTTCATGTGAAAACATAACGTTTGAAAGTAGACCATGGTGCACTTTCTTTTCGCGGTGGAGTGAATGACAACAACAAATGAAATGATGACAACTTTGGACTTATCATCCTCATATTTATGCTTATTACACACCTTGGAAACCCGATGTTAACAGTAACGTTGAAACTATTACGCATGATTTTTATTTTTTTGAAATTTTTGAAACTAAGTTTTTTATTTTTTAGTGTAACGAGAGAGATCACAGAAGTTTGTTATCATTTTATAACCGTGGTCTCACTTACTAATATGAGTCATTTTTTAATTATAATTATCGGTAATAAAAAATTTTTAGATATTGCCGAACATTTTATCTATTTCTTTGATCAAAATGCATGGTTTTCGTTGTATGAATCTCAATCACCTAGTTACTTTATTTGCTATAATACAACAAGTCCTCTTTCTCTCGGTACAGTCTTACAAATTGACTTTGATCAACTAAATTCTTTTCTTTGATTTTTTCATTTCAATTTCAGACTTGAAGCAAGAGATTTACGTACTATTTTACAACAAATTCTTGATCATCTCGATATGCGAACATCGCTTACAATTCATTTGTATTTGAATAGACCTCCATATGATCTTCAATTAGATTTAGGTACCGTAGAAAGAAACACCAAAAGACTTTTATATCATTTTCTTCCAATCCCTTTGAATGATTTATTTCAATTGTTTTCCATTTTAAGTTCATTTTAATGCATGTAATCCATATCATCTAAAAAGAGTTGAAATCACTGAGTACACGTAGTTATCTAGTTTTTGTTTTTTCAGTTCGATTTTAGAACCAATTTGGAAGAAATACGTGACTTTCTCGTAACAATCCAGATTTACCTTCAGTTACCAGATTATGAAGATAACATATGTGGTATTCAATTATGCAACTCTGTAAGATTACTTATATACGAGCAAGGTCCTCATATTTCATGGCAAAAGATGGCTTCCATTAGAGATAATTATCAAAAGGTTGTAGAGTTTTTATTACCTACAGGATTTTACGATTTGTTCCGACAAATTAAAATTCAACTTTACTATAATGAACCTCGCTTTAATCCATTTTTTACACCTATTTTTCATGTTGTAAAAGTTGAAGCGGAAGGTTTCATGTTCTACGACTCTGCTGAAGAATGTTATGGGGCCTATGGCCTTTTGTAACTTGTAAAAAAAACAACCAAAACACGTCTTTATCATTGAATAAACTTTTTTATTGAGATAACAACTGTGTCAGTGGTACTTAAGCAAAATTCATTTTAGAAATCAAACTATTCAAAATCGTCTTTTTACTCAAAAAAGTCCTTCTTTGGCGTTTGTATTGCGTTTTTTTGGTCCCTTCTTCATTTTGAACGACTTCTTCTTGGGATTTTTACCTTCCGTTTTTATCATTCTCTTCTTTCGAGATGCTTTTCGAGCCTTTTTTTTTTTTAAATCGGCTCTTCAATTCTTTCACCTTCTTCGTAAATGCTTAAGAACCTTCTGAAGCACCCCCTTTAAAGGAAGAATATCAGTATTGATTGTACCCAATCAGCCACTCTATTCATAGGTGGATATGTCAATACCTTCTTGACAAGTGAAAATGACATGCGATTTGCCGTTGTTATAACTAATAAAAATGACACCATGACAACATCTTTTATATATTTTTTCCTATAAATTCACCAATCACACCATTTTTTCTATTCATTTTCTACAAAAATGGACCAGAACAAAAAATTAAACCTTCCAGAAACTCGACTCTCTCGTTGAAGAAACAAGACAAATCATACAAGATACCATGATTCTCTTTGAACGCGTGGAAAGTAGTGCACAACTTGTAAATGAAATGAAGAAAAACATTACAAAATAGACGACCTCATTTAATAAACTCAACAAAATGATGGTAAACTACACCAACATCCTACAACAAAGAGCAAATCAAGTGCAAGAGCAACTAAACTGTAACAAACTTGTAAAGGAATAATGTCATTTACCCGCAAGAAACAAGATTTTTTTCATGTAAAAACAACAAGATTTTATCAGAAAGCAAACAAAATGTTATTAAAAATTTTATTTTTGCTATATTAACGTTGTCTATTGTACCCTTTTTCATTGTCCGAAACACCTTTAAATGCTTGTTTCTCCCAAAAGTCGTCCCAAAGCAGCAAAAGAAGGTTCAGGTCCGGATAAAAACATGCTTGCACCCTGCTATTTTATCCCGTAAAGATAGTCCTTTATGCATTATTCTACGAACGGTATCAAAGAAGCTCCGCCCTTTTGTGTTCGCTCTCTTCTTCGTCTTCTTCTTCGTCTACCAGGCATTCTTATTATCCAATGAAAATAATTTACCTATTACCCCCTTTTTTATACACTTTTTCACTCAAACTAGTGCTCAGGCGCCTTCGCGGTTTTAAAGATGGCGGATAGAATGGAATGTGGAAATCTGGCAATCTGATTGGTTAATCCGAGTCACGTGTGCTAGATACTTCATTCTGATTGGCTCTCCGCTATACTGGCCCGTTATACCACTGAGGATACTGGCATTTACGAACCCGAAGGTCTGACTCTCACAGCAAGTTGTGCACGATATTTGAGGCATATCGTGAAATCGCGGCCTTCGTAATAAGCCAATACACGCTAGAACAAGCTTCCTCTCGGACGAAACGCATCTTTGGGATACATTGACGTCTCTCAAATGTTTTTTTTTTATGCTTTACATCCACGAATTTAGAGGTATTAGCTATTGCCGTCCCTGGCCAGCGCGAGAAAAACAACATTTGGTTCTGCAGTTAGTTTCAAATGAACAAGACAGCTTGAAATCTACTCAACCATCTTGAATCTAACAATTCGAGTGGTAGGTTGAATTGAGGGCTTTTTAGACACTCGATTTCTTATATGGCATCACTATGAAGACGTAATACAACTGATACACCTACACTACATAGTCCGTTACGCTGTTGCGGGAGGAAGGAAAATATTCCCGGAAGTGTAAACTCTTTAAGAGTTTCAGAGATTTTATCTTCGGCTGTCACAAAAAATTTACTCCCTCTTAAATTTACTGGGAAATATGAACTTACAAACTCCTTGTTGAAAAAATTGGAATTCATTTGACCGATATGCCGGTTGTTTCAATTTTTCTTTTTCCTCGGGCTGTTATAAAACAGTTTATAAATTGACCAATGAACAAAATATTTTGAAATACCGTTCGGAATTTGCCTTTTTTTTCTGCGTGCAAATTAAGGGTGGACAAAGTTTTTAAAACATTTTCCGAGAATTTCATGGGGTTCACCCTGAGAATTTTCGTCGGCCATAGTCAAGACGCGCCAAGCTAAGTGACATCGCCCTACAGTAGAATAATTTTCCAATTAACAATGTGTGGCGAGCGCGAGGAAACGCGCATTTTTTTCATTATTGTGATCAAAGCCCAATGATGCACCTAAATTGGTACTTACGGTATCAAACCGTTGATTATGACAGGGTGAGCTTAATTTTTCTGTCGAGGTCGACGTGACTTTACATTTAAAGCGTTTTTGACGGAACAAACTTGCTCGAACTGAGAAAGTAAAAACTTGTATTTATCTCCCACGCGTTTTGTCTGACAATAGTAGACTTCATCAAGGATTTTTAACAAACAGGGTAAATAAGCTTGCTCATATACAAATGGTAAATAAGTTGTCTCTTTACTATTGAAGCCAGTGGATAGAATTCGCCAAGTGCGCCTACGGTGTTATACATGCGTGACACTTTTCGGACGTTACATGTACGAGTACGTGATCCATTTGACGGTCACAGATTTAGTGTAAATATTTGACCCGTCAACATCACGTAACGTCTCTAGTTTACAGAGGTTTTAGGACGTTTCATTATATGGATTTGCCTTCTGCGGGTAGAAGGCTTAAAGCGAATTTCTTGGGCGTAATTTCCTTTGATTTCTCAATTGATGCTGTCGCAAACACAGTTTTTGGGAGTCACGAAACAAAAAAACTTCTCAAGACCTAGTTTCATGTTCTAATGGAAATAGATAGCAAATAAAAACACATTCTCTTGAGAAATAAAGTTATAAATAACAGGGGTTCTCTGAAACAAAGAGTGATAGAAGAGGTTTCAGTTCTGCTCAATATTGACATTTCATAGCCTACTTCCAAATCTGAGGGAACGCACTGAGGGAGCAAAATAAACATACATGTGTGATAAGGCAAGGAAGAGAATAAATACACAAATAAAGAAAAAGGAGAAAACATAGGAACCCGTGTTGCAGCGTGCAGATATCTTTTGAGCCAAACCCTAAGCCCGATAGCATGCAAAGAAACTCGAAAGAGTGCTGTATATGAACTGGCTCGCACGTGCACGCAGGAAAGGCCATAACAATCAGCGAAAATAATAGCAAATGCAGATGATATTTGCAGTCAAAAGACAGGCAAATAAGATAACAGAAGGATTAAGAACTTTCCAGAAGCGTCTTCTTGAAAAAAAAAAGATACACAATTTTTATTTCTCATGAAAGGTCACGCAGTCACGCTACAAATACTATTTCTACGTGGAATTTCTTGATGGTGGAAAGTGGAAAAAACATTTTCCAGTCTTATTTCCTGGAAACATGGCGCAGCTAATGGATTTTGTGGGGCTATTCATACTTCCTATCAAATTAGGGGGGCAGAGTTTCCCCGTCATCCGCGGTCTGGAAAAGCCGAAGTTGTTACACACGGGAACAAGCACGCGACATGCGACTTTAAAATCTACTCTCCTGTCAGTTTCCTTATTGTGAACTGTGCGATAATGATAAACAATCAAATTATAGCCTAATGAATGTTTTTTTCTGTGCAAGAGCCCTATTTCCTGATTTTCGCATGTCTTCAAGTACTAAACGACAGAAGAGAGAAACGCTACGATTTTCCCATCGATTTTTCGCCTACATGCACCTCTCTAAACGTGAAATTTTCCATTCCTACAAAAAATCTCGAAAGTTTTTCACATTTTTTACCTTTCTTGATCAATCCTCTTGTATAAAGAGCTAAAAAATGTAGGTTTATTTGGTCGAGTGGCCACCTAGAGCAAGAACTGCGTGACAGGTGTAGTTGAGAGAAACTTGTCACAGTCGCAGATTTTACTGAAGGCATCCAAGACAAAAATACGGTAGTGCCCAAAGATCCCAAGAGGGAGTTACCCAATACATTCACATAATGGTTTCCCACATATCCCATGGTTTTTCCAAATGTACCAAGTAGTAAAAACATTTACAGGGCAAGGGGTTGAAAGGATCATTGATGCTGCAGGGTCTACTGTTTTCTGGAAATTCAACAATTGGGACTCTGTTGGAGATGTTCTTTGTCAAGAGTCATGCTAATGGTACTTAAGAAAGAGGGAATGGGAGCCCAGATCCTATCAGAAACACAAAATAGAGTACTGGGAAGAGGATATATTCCAAAAGAGAAAAAATGTACCCCCTGAAATTACTACTCCACCTCTTTCTAATCTGCAGAGTGGTTAAAGTGCTGTTGCATCTCAAACTCATTCTGTTGTGCCTTTGAGCTCAATTGACTTTACAAAAATGACAGTTCCTCAGCTTTAGGAAGAATTAAAGGAAAGAGGAATCAAAGGCATTGCTAGGAAAACAAAACATTAGCTTGTAAGATTATTGAAGAGCATTAACTGACATAGAAAACCTGTCAACCTCTATTTAAAAATAAATGACATTGTCATTAGATGCAGATTGTAAAAGTGGCATAGCATATAGCATTTGGCCAGCTAGTGGTTAATAGCTTTACCTGTTGTAATGATGGCCTGTTAATTAATACCCAGATAAGTGCAGATAAACTCAACGGATTTCTTTAATCTAAACCAGCGCTATGTAACAGTACCATAATTCTTCTTGCACCGATAACTCTATATAACAGTGACGAAAACACTACACCTGTCCCACTTTATTACATTCTGATAGTCAATCTGAGAAATCAAAATTGTTCATTTTACTACAAAACTCAAACGTTCTTTAAATATCAGATCACAATTTCTCTCCTACTGTAAGCTTATTAAGCTCTTTGAGCTCCGGAAATATGACAGAAGTTTTACGTACTTTGTGATCCAGTGATCGCCTTGAAACGACTCGTTGGACTCTAATCCTTTAACTCCCAAGGTCTCATTAGTAATTCTCCTTACTGTCAGCCATACAGTTCTTGAGATGTTAGTTTTGAGAATTTGATATTGGATCAATTAATAATCTTCTAACTGATATTTTTCTTTATTCTCATCACTTGTGTGCTTTATATTGTATTGATATTGTAAGGAGAAATTCTGTCTTGGTCATTTATTGGAGTTAAAGGGTTAAAACATACTCCCCGACTGTTAGCTTTTCATCTCCTTTCCATCAGCTTTAAAAAGCCACTTGTGACTTGTGACAATTGCTTGAAATAACTGCTTGGGGGCATTTTTCTCTGTTGCTCTGCCATTTAAGAGCTAGCAAAAATACATGCCCGTCTTGTTAACCACTGATAAAATCCATGCCCGTAATGGTGATCACTGACAACACATGCATCAGCAATATGAACTGCTGACTTATGAAATTGTTTGTCATGCCAATTGCTGGCTGGTGCCCAAAAATGAAAATTTTGATTTAAGTCAGCACATGTAGAAAGAAGCGCATCAACAACAAGTCCTTTAAAATAGCTTCATGCAACTGACACATAAAATCTTCTCCTGACCCTTTTTTTTTTTAGTACTTGGTTATGAGGGTAGCCACATTGTTACACTGTGCTTGTTTGAATCCTAATGGGAACATTCAATTTCATGTTATTTTTTTGCTTCATCTCATTCTTGTGACAAAATGAAAACACCTATCTGTCTAATCTTGTATACATATTATTTGATTTGAGGAAAAAAGTGAGCACTAAATATATGGAAGGAATTTCAGCAGACTTTCAGCTGTGCCTCAATTTTTAACAGTGTGCTGGGCTGAACTAATTAGTCACAAGCAAAACTCACAACAATCAAACGCTTTCTTCAAATTAGAGCTTTAACATCAAGCTACTTCAAAAAGAAATACTTTTTTGTTTCTGCTGCTCTGTTTTTTTTTTTACCATGGATCTCCTCTAACATGTAACAAGCTTACTCTTGTCATTGACGTGTACTTCCAAAACCTGCCATCATTTCAATAATTGCTATATGTGAACGACCCAACAACCAAGTTTGGTTACAATCCACTGAAATTTGTGAAGGGGAAAATGGAAAACTTTGCTTTTTTCACCAAAATATAGCTTCAATCTAACCTAAAGAGAGTGTATTGGCAAAACTTTATATCTATACTGCATCTGCTTCCCTATTGTGTTCATTTCATGTATTTTTTTGGTAATCTTAAATAAGATAGACTTACATGCATCAAAAATAAAATCAAGGCAACCTCATGTGTTCCTCATAATGGTTAACAAGCTGGGAAGCACTGCTCAGTTCCTCCTGGCAAATCCAGCAAGTAAATGATTCATCGTAATCTGAAGAATATGACTGCTGTCCAGAGTGCAATTTTTCATGTCTTTGTAGTGTTCCCTTATGAGTAAACCACTTATCACAAGCTTTGCACTGGAATGGCTTTTCTCCAGTGTGGGATCTTTCATGTCTCTGCAGATCTTGTTTCCTAGTAAACCGCTTGTCACAAGTTTTGCACTGGTATGGTTTCTCTCCAGTGTGGGATCTTACATGCACTTGTAGATTTCCTTTACGAGTAAACCGCTTATTACATGTTTTGCATTGGTATGGCTTTTCTCCAGTGTGGGATCTTTCATGTCTTTGCAGATCTTGTTTCCTAGTAAACCGCTTGTCACAGCTTTTGCACTGGTATGGCTTCTCTCCAGTGTGAGATCTTTCATGTACTTGTAGATCTCCTTTACAAGTAAACCACTTATTACATGTTTTGCACTGGTATGGCTTCTCTCCAGTGTGGGATCTTTCATGTACTGTTAGATGACCCTTTTGTGCAAACCACTTGTCACAAGTTTTGCAATGGTATGGCTTCTCTCCAGTGTGGGATCTTTCATGTACTGTTAGATGACCCTTTTGTGCAAACAACTTGTCACAAGTTTTGCAATGGTATAGCTTCTCTCCAGTGTGAGACCTAATATGAAGTTGAAGATTTCTTTTGTGAGTAAAGCACTTATCACAAGTTTTGCACTGGAAGGGCTTCTCTCCAATGTGGGATCTTTCATGTCTTTGCAGATCTTGTTTCCTAGTAAACCGCTTGTCACAAGTTTTGCAATGGTATGGCTTCTCTCCAGTGTGAGACCTAATATGAAGTTGAAGATTTCTTTTCTGACTAAAGCACTTATCACAAGTTTTGCACTGGAAGGGCTTCTCTCCAGTGTGGGATCTTTCATGTCTTTGCTGATCTTGTTTCCTAGTAAACCGCTTATCACAAGTTTTGCAATGGTATGGCTTCTCTCCAGTGTGAGACCTAATATGAAGTTTGAGATTGTTTTTCTGAGTAAAGCATTTATCACAAGTTTTGCACTGGAAGGGCTTCTCTCCAGTGTGGAATCTATCATGTCTTTGCAGATCTTGTTTCCTAGTGAACCGCTCTTCACAAGTTTTGCAATGGTATGGCTTCTCTCCAGTGTGAGACCTAATATGAAGTTTAAGACCACTTATCACAAGTTTTGCACTGGAAGGGCTTCTCTCCAGTGTGGGATCTTCCATGTCTTTGCAGATCTTGTTTCCTAGCAAACTGCTTGTCACAGGCTTTGCAATGGTATGGCTTCTCTCCAGTGTGAGACCTAATATGAAGTTTAAGACTGCTTTTCTGTGCAAAGCATTTATCGCAAGTTTTGCACTGGAAGGGCTTCTCTCCATTGTGGGATCTTTCATGTCTTTGCAGATCTTGTTTCCTAGTAAACTGCTTGTCACAAGTTTTGCAATGGTATGGCTTCTCTCCAGCATGAGACCTATTATGAGCTTGTAGATTTCTTTTCTGAGTAAACCACTTGTCACAAGTTTTACAATGGTATGGCTTATCTCCAGTGTGGAATCTTTCATGACTTTGCAGATCTTGTTTCCTTGTAAACCACTTGTCACAAGTTTTGCAATGGTATGGCTTCTCTCCAGTGTGAGACCTACTATGAACCTGTAGACTTCTTTCCTGAGTAAACCGCTTGTTACAAGTTTTGCAATGGTATGGCTTCTCTTCAGTGTGAGACCTATTATGAACTTGTAGATTTCTTTTCTGAATAAACCACTTGTCACAAGTTTTGCAATGGTATGGCTTCTCTCTAGTATGGGATCTCTCGTGGACTTCTAGATCTCTTTTTTTATCAAAGCACTTGTCACAGGTTTTGCACTGATATGGCTTTCCTCTAGTGTGTGATCTCTCATGTCTTTTCAGATTTCCTTTTCTCGCAAAACACTGGTCGCAAGTTTTGCACTGATATGGCTTTGCTCCAGTAGTGGAAGTGTTTCTTTTGGCCATGGAAGCATAAACTAGAAACAGTCCTTGACAGAAAAAGTGTTTGAAAATGTTAAAAGCAAAAAAAAGAAAAAAAAAATATTCACTAAACCACAATCAGGCATATTGACAGGGTTTCAGAAGCAATGTATTAAGTTTTAATAAACAAAGAAATTGGATGGTGAGTTGAATAAAATATGTTTCAAACAGTAATACTCTTCCAGGAAAGGAAGTTTTATGAATGACAATCGCCACTAATAACAGAATTCACAGACAGTGCAGTTGTTGGCCAAAGCCCTGAAAGAAAAACCTTCACACGAGTAAGGACATGCAAAGAGAAGTGCATTTCCAACAAGTCCCTTTACATAGCTTCACACAACCAGTTCATACAATCTACATGTTGTCCCTGTGATTTTAAACTTTAATCTATTGTTGTCACTGTGTGAACAATTTGTTCAATGAACTTGTCTAATTGGAAAAGTCACTCCACCTGTCACCATCAAGTGGAGCAACCCAAAGTAACAAAAGTAGACAACAGAATTTTCTAATGGACACCACAAAAGAGATTCCCAATAGACTTTAATAGAAAGAATCTGGTTAAAAGGTAAAAACAATGATAAAAATTAAAAAAAAGTTTAGTTTAACACTACATGTGTAGCACAATTTGTATAAAGTATGGAAAAGAATTCAAGATTGTATGATACTAGAAGGTAGTGTTGCAGAAGATTTGTCTCAGATGCAGAAAGCCAACTGCATCCCACATATTTACAAGTACCCTGTTCCATAATAGAAAGATGATTCAAGAATATACTGATTATTTGACACTCAACCGATAATTGAATGGTAACAATAATATTAACAATATTAAATATAATAATGATAACAATAGGAACAGTTATGATAATTCATATCTGCTAGCACAAAAAGCTCACTGTTCCTCTATCAGTCTATCCTCTAGGCTCAAATAATGATTAAACTATGCTCCTTTTGATTTTGCTTATTGATCAAAATTCATTTTCTCATTTCACCACAATTTGTCTTTGTTTAGCACAACAAGACATTCCCCATTGTAGGATATTCCACCATCTCGCCCTTCCACTGGTCACATGTTAAACTCAAGGTATCTTATTTCACACCTCGCTCCCTTCTCAAATTTGGCAGCTCTTTTGGTTATAAGTTGTTGATTGAAATGGTAAAATGCCCCCTCTTCAAATAAATAAAATTAGTCTTTAGAGCTTGTATGACAAACAGATCACCTATCTAGATATTTATGCAATGAAAAGTCTTGTTGTCAATTACGTGCCAGAGACACCTGTGTAAAACTATTTTGAGAGATGTTATCATCTGTTGTAGTGTCACCGCAAGGACTAAAAAAAAACTTTATTTTCCAATCTACCGGGCATAATTCCCTAATTCAAGCATTAAAAGGCTTATTCTTGAGACAAAAAAATTCCTCTATGTCCTCAATGACACTTTTTAAGATATTTCTATAAGGAAAAGCTTTGTTTTTTCAAGCACCAAACTGAGATAAATTTATGTTTATCGTCTTCTTTTGTGCTCTGAAATTAACTATCATTAGCACCAGGAAACATCGGGTCAAATTTGGGTCAAGATACAAATTCCATTGTTACCATTAATCACTCACTGACTCATTTCAACGACATACATGGCTTCGCCTCCTATATTAGGTAATAGCCATACAAATAGAAAAATTACTTTCTTTCATCAACACTCCTATATCAAATCCTCTCAATGAGTATAAACGTTTCCTAACTGTATAATTGCACCTGTCTTTAAACTTCAGGTTTTTGGTCTTTCACTTGAGGAAAAAATCCTGACTTTTCAGGGTTCAAAATAATTTTTCAGCTTTTAGCGTGAATTTGTAGGCTTTTATCAAGGCTCATGTTTTTTCCTGGCTGTTATTAGTAAATGAGCAGTCAACGTCTTCAACACTCAACATGATTTCTTAATAGTATCGAAAGGATTACCTTAAATTGCTTAAAATAATTTCAGCATCAGAATCTTTATTTGATCAACATGTTTTGTGGCGGCAATTCCTTTTCTAAGAAAATGTAGCGAACGTCTAAATTTTTCGGTGTTTGTTCAAGCGTGAAATATACAACTTCGTCGAGACAAACTGTCGCGCTTCTCCATGGGAAATCCGTACTGTCCAGTACCGACTTTAATTTGAACGCGTAAGAAGGCTTTGCAAACGAAATTGAACAGGATTTGGCAGAAAATAAATCTTGATTAAAGGTAGTATGTAAGTGCAGAAACATAAACACGGTAATGTGAGGGTGTGCACCCAAACTTGCATGTTTCACGCTTGAAAAAATACGTAGAAAGCTGAAGACTGTAAACAAAAATACTCCCTGTAGCACGCTTCAAATTTCGAAACTTTATACTCGTTTACGTTTCCGAAAACCTTTTAAAACATTTCTTGGCTGCTTAATTGCCTAATATGAAATCTTTACCATAGCATGACGGCGACTTTTACTTCAGTTGGACGATCAGTAAGCGTAATATTTTGTTATGAAATTCTAGTTCTTCGGTGAAAAATCGCTGATAAGTGTCCTAAAAGTTGCGGCTGCCGCCGACAGCCGGCTGTTATTTTGAACCTTGCTTTCATCAAAATACATTCATCTGTTTTATTCCAAATTATCTGTTGCCTAAATAACTTATTAAGTG